TCTGCAGGTGGGGGCTGCCCTTAAAAGGCACAGCAGTTAACAACAATGGCAAGCCTAGACATCAGCCTATTTCATTTATCCTTTGTTTCGTTTGTACGGTTGCCTAGTCCCCATGAAAACTGGCACCGTTTTACTGAGGAGGAGGCACAGGGAGGACCGAATAGCAGATCTATTCAAACAGGGAGGGGTGGCTGTGGTGTGATCTTCTGGTCAATTAATTTTAAAAAGGAGAACTATACAAATGAACCCCTTTTCCTCCCACCCCACAAATATTTGTCTCCCTGGGGATTGCCTCTCTTCCGACTTTTATTTAGTGTGGACCTCACAGAATAAATCTTAAAAGAGCAGGGCGGGGAGCAGGGAGAAGTGCCCATCTGGTTGCATGATGAGCAAACTGGAGCTTTATCCACCCATTGTCCCAACAGCAGAGAACAGACGAAGGGGCTTTCAAAAGGAAATCTACAGCCACATACTCCAGAGAGCTTGCTGCATGAGTCTGCTCAGCAAAAGCAGCCGTCAGTCCAAATCCTACATAGGCTTAGTTGGGAGCAAAGCTCACCAAACTCAGCATTCGTGAGCCTGAGTCCATTTATCCAGATGCACCCAGGGGAATTTAATTTAATTATCTCCAGTGCAAGGAAGCTTGATCCGAACTCAGTCTGGGTTCACAACAACCTGCCATGGAAGTAAGTGAGCTAGTAAGAAGACATGGGCAGAAATACACTTTCCTTTGCCAATGGAAGTCCAGGCTCCAAAATCTCCCCCTTATTTCCAGGCAGGATGCAGCAGTTTCGGCAGGTGTGGCTCACCGCTACGGTGCTGCTTGGAGAAAAGAAAAGCTGCACCTGCCAAAATTCTCTCTTTCTACGTGCCTATTTTCTTTAAAAAGCACATGAGCCTTGACCTCTATTGGGTTGGGTCCCAAGAATCTGTAGAAAATGAATCACTCTCAGTTTTGGCCTTGAAGGGTAAGCCAACTCATTCCTTGTACTCTCTTGCTGATAGCTGATGCCAGATGAGCAACCTCAGCAACAGCAGCACCCCCCAGACCCCCCCCCCCGAAAAAGGAGGACCTGCATCTGTTATCTGGGTGTCAGATGAAGCTTCTCTGTTCCCTAGTGACCATCCTAAGCAATCACTAGGCACATTTATTTCTCAGAAATCTTGTAGGTGTGGGTAGTTGTAGTGGAACAAGGGAGGCTGGGGTTGCAATCCTACACACCCAAATGACCTAGGAATGAGTCCTATTGAGCTCAAGGCGGCTTGCTTCCGAGTAGACTAGTCAGGATTGCAAAGCCAGGCAGATTTCCCTCTTCTGCTTAGTTTGCACACCTGTATAATGTGGCTCCGTTTCCCCTTGCATCTACTATTCCCCCTCCCTCAATTTTCTCTGTCCGATTTCGCCGGCGTCAGCCGTAAAAAAAAGGGGGGGGAGCGGCGAGTGAAGTGTGCCCGCTCCAACACTGCAGTAACAAGAAAGACCAACCAAAGCACACTAACGTGGAAACCGATCCACCCGCCCCGTCCCAACTCCACCCCGCGTTTACTGTTCCAGGACCTTAACGATATAGCAAAGAATTTTTGCACAAGGTGGCAAACTGAGCAGGAAGCGAGAAGGCGAGATGCCAGCCTGGAACAAACACACGCACAGCCCCCCCCCCCCCGGCGCTGCGTGGCTTGCCTTGCAGTAAACGGCTCCGCCGCCAAAGGGCTCGTCGAAGTTCGCAAGGGCGGGTCTCCGCCTGGCCGCGTCGGAAGGAAACGGGAGTTCCGACGGGGCTCTGCGCAGCCAAGCAAAGAGGTTGCAACGCGAGCTTGCGCGGCGGCCAGGGGAGATCTTTGCAAACTCGAGTGTGTCTGTGCGCGTAACAGGAATTAAACCGCGAGGCTGCAAAAGCTATAGCCGGGGATCCAAATCCCACTTGCTCTCGTTTTAAAATAAAGAATCGGGACCCACAGTGCAACCTCAGCTCTCCCAGCCCCGCTTTTTGCTCGACAGCCGCCGTGCAAAGAATCGGGTGCAGGTTCCCACCTACCCACCCAGCTTTCCCGCTCCAAATGCACCAGCCACTGGGAGGCCCCCCCCCGAGCCTTTGCAACGGTTGCTCCGCACACTGCTGCTGCTGCAACCGGCGATTGCTCTTGGCGGCTCCCGGCGCGCCACCTGCACGCGGGTTGGCGCTGCAAGAGGAGCCGCCTCAACCCGCCACCGCCTCCTCCACGCCACGCCTGCACCTACATCCTCGACAGCAGCAGCAGCAATTGTTGCAGGCTGCCAATCGCTCCGTTGCCCATGCACCCCCGCGGGTGCAACGCGTTGCAAGAGCCTCTATCCACCGTTCCCTCCCTTCCCCACTCCCGGGTTGCCCTGGATGCTAGCGAGGCGGAGGAATTTGCATGCTACGAGGTAAAAAAATAAAATAAAAAATCATGCATGGGCTACTCCATCCGGACTCACGTCTCGGAAGCGGTTCCAGTGCTTGATCTTGCCGCTGTACTGGGAGATGGAAGACAGCCATTGCTCGTCCTCCATGAAATTGCCGGGATTGTCGCCTTCCTTGGCCGCCTTGCCGTCCCCTTCCGCCAAGGCGAGGGCCAGCAGCAGCGGCAGCAGCGGCACCAGACAACAGCCTGGGGCTCTCATCTTGCCTGCTAGGCGGTGGCTTCCTCGCTGGCCGCAAAGCGATTATTGAGACTTCTTCTTCCTCCTCCTCTGATCTCTCTCCCGGCTCGGAGGGAGAGAAGGACGGCTGGATCCCCGCTGAAATGTGACCTGATTAGGAGATGCACTACTTCTGCGAAGCCCGGCGCTGCCTGGGAGCCACCGGGAGGATTACGGAGTCTGCGCCAAAAGAGGCAGGCTTAAGTCACTGGAGCATCAGCATCACATTTGACATCATCATACCTGTTAAAAGAAGCCTACCCCCGACGGAAGGGGGTTGGAGGGGACCGGGGGGGGGGTAAGGACTCGGAATGCACCGGTCTCTTCGACTTCTGCCTAATTTGTAAAGAGCAATTTATTGTGGCTATTGACTCATAATGACAGTGCATAGCCCAAGAAAGACCTTGGGAGTGGGGTCCTAGATTATTTTTATGAGCAGGAACCCTACAGCTTTTTAGTTCAGTAGCTGTGGACAATTTGGGCGTAGCCAGGATTTATGCTGACTGGGTGGGCACCCGTCATCATCCTCTGTCTTGTTTTGTCATGGGGAATGAAATGTCTCCACAACTGTTGTTTTAAATTGCTTTCTTTTGACACCAAGTGCTCAGAAAAATATTTTCACAAATTCTACTTTTAGTTAAGCCTTTTTGTTTATTTATTTACTTGATTGGGGGGGGACTGCCCTTCCCCCCCCCAAGCTACGCCCATGTCCCAGAAGAAATATACACGAAAGAGGAGCTTATTGTGATCAAAGGCATCCAAGCATTCAGGGTTATACAGAACTCTGAGCAGGTTGGGCAGACAGCAGTTTCTTTTAAAGCTATAGGACAGGTAAGAACATCAGAAGATGCTGCTGGATCAGGCCAATGGCCCCTCTAGGCCAGCATCCTGTTCTCACAGCGGCCCACCAGAACCCAAGCACAAGAACACTTCCCTCCTGTGGTTTCCAGCAACTGGTATTCTAAAACATCATACTGCTTCCAGCTGTGGAGACAGAGCTTTGCATCTCAGCTAGCAGCCATCGATTGCTCTCTCTTCCATGAATTTGTCCAATCTTCTTTGAAAGCCATCTAGGTTATGGTTACCAGATTTTTTTCAATTAATCCAGGGACACTATTTTTTTAAGCTGAGTGGCAACAGGGAGTCAGTAGTGGGGATGGTGAGGCAAAAGACCCTGGGCCCAAGCACACATGCATATTGTATAAAGGTGCAAATCCCTCCTTTCGCACCCTGTGAAACATAAATGCGCAGAGTTTTTAAAAAACTGGGCAATGGCCACCTGCCCGCAACTCCCGAGCCTCCTTCGACCAGTCAAAACAAAGGGGGAAGGATATCTGTACCGCCGGATGTCCCCAGTTCCCCTTCAGCAGTGGTGACAGCAGCGGCAGTCAGCAACCCAGAGCCAGCCTGGTAGCGCAGTTGGCTCTGGCTGGTTTCAGGAGCTGCCTGCTGCCCGCTGCCGTGGCGCCCACCATTTGTTCTTGCCGGAAGTTCCAGCGATGAAAAATGGCGGGCACCACAGCAGCGGGCAGCAAGTAGCTCATGAAACCAGCCAGAGCTGAGGCTGCCGCTGCCACGTTTCCTGGGGACAGATTTGCAAATCTGGGGACATTCCGGGGATGGAATTTGTCCAGGGACAGATTTGCAAATCCAGGGACATCTGGTAACCGTAATCTAGGTTGTTGGTTACCACTACTTCCTGCGGAACTGAGTTCCATAGATGAGTTCTATGCGCTGCATTAGGAATCACTTTCCTGTATCTGCCCTGCATCTTCCATCATTCAGCTTCACTGAATGCCCACCACCAGTGCTGGCATTGAGAGAGGGGGGGTGCTTCCCCCCCCCCATGTCCACTTTCTTCCTGCCATGCATAGTTTTATAAACTTGCGTCGTGTCGCCTCTTACTTGCCTAAAAAGTTCCCAGTGCTGCAGCCTTTCTTCATAGAGGAGTCTCTCCATCCCTTAAAGGGTTGTGTCACACAAGATGAATGGGCCTGCCATAGGCTTGGCACTCAACAGGGAGCTGTAGCAAGCCCAAGTGTACCCAAAGGAGACACACAGTGATGCCCTTAGGTAATATTAGCTTCTGGACTTCATGGTCATATGGGACCGTTAGTAATGTGTATTATTTCCACTTCCTGCAATATGTACTAAGCCAACCCCACTGTTTTTGGGGGCGCTGCCCAGATGGCATCACTTGATATAGCTGTTTGTTGCAGTCACACTTTACATCTTAATTTTACTCCCCAAAAATGTCCCCCTGGAGCTAGAGTGGCTTTAAACCCCTCAGGTCACATCAGATAATGTTTCTCCCACACCCATGTTTCCCCCCCACTTCCTAGCTACAGTGGTGCCCCGCAAGACGAATGCCTCGCAAGACGGAAAAACCGCTAGACGAAAGGGTTTTCCGTTTTGAAGTTGCTTCGCAGGACGAATTCCCCTATGGGCTTGCTTCGCAAGACGAAAATACCTTGCGAGTCCTGAGATTTTTTTTTCGCTTTTCCCCCCCTTTATCTAATCTGCTAAGCCTTTAATAGCCTTTAATAGCCTTTTAGCAGCTAATCCCCTAAGCCTTTAAGCCTTTAATAGCCGCTAAACAGCTGATAGCGCTAATAGCGCTAATCCGTCAATGGGCTTGCTTCGCAAGACGAAAAAACCGCTAGACGAAGACTCTTGCGGAACGGATTAATTTCGTCTTGCGAGGCACCACTGTATATGATACCGCAGGAACTCTCTGGGGGATTACAGCTGTTTGTAACGACTTTGCCAAATGTGATAACTAAACATTTCAAGCCCAACTGCTTTTACTCAAACCCCCGCTCCCCAACTGAAAACTGCTGGATTCCGTACAATCTGGTGTCTCGAGGGATCCTAACCTATTCTCACCCAAGCACCAATGTGGCAACAGCGAGATCATACAAAGGACCAGGCCTGTATCAAACACAAACACCTTATCAGAATATCTGGACACATTTTAAAAGTGGGGAAGGGGCACCCATTTGGTAGGGCGCGACCCTGCCAGTATTAATAATTGTGAGGCCATTGTTCTCCACAGGAGAGAGTTATGCATGTCCTGGGCTTTCCTTCTGAAATAATAAGTGGGAACTGAAAGTGCTTAACTGTGGCAGGATCATGTCCACAACACTGACTCCCCTCACTCCCAAAATGCATACTGTACTCAGATTATTAAATGCAGCTACTCTTGCTGACCTGAATACTGTAGTTGTAGAACCTGTCAATTGAAACAACAGCGATAAAAACTAACCTCTACCTCACCAGATGTCCACCCTCCCTGTTCTATGCTGCTACTATACTGGGCAATTAAGTGCACTGTCTAGCATATCACTTACGGGTTCAACCACCTAGCAGAATTTGATGTTGCAAGTCTACAGTGAGACTTCCTTACTTTTGCAGCAACAAAGCCAATCAGTCCTGGTTCTTCCTGTGCTGGGATTTTACAGTCTTGCCAGACTCATGCTGCAACCCTGTGCACACCTATCTGGAAATAAACACCATTGAACATGCATAGGAGTAATGGGGGGAAGCCAACACTTTGATCTTCTAATGTTGTGCATGCTTAAGACAGTATCTTTCCAGCTCTTCAACCCAAACCCACCCCCCTCAAGAACCTCCAAGTCCATAGTCAAGGATTCATCCACTCTAAATTAGGGAAGCAGACAAAGAGCTATGGTTTCTCTTCTCAGAAAATCCTCCAAGAACAGGATACAAATGAGCTCTCCCGTACCTTTTCCTGGCCAATCATTTTTGATAGAAAGCTTCGAGGAATCCCAGTAGGGCATTTAATCATTGGACTATGCAGGGATGTTGAAACCCGTTTCAAGAGTTGACACACATGCTTCTCACTGTCTTGACCTGCTGATAACCAACTGCTGGAAACTATAAGCCACAGTGGGCCACCCTATCTATCTATCTATCTATGTATCATCAGTGAACATTGCACATGAAGAGTACAGATGGGTATATTGAACAGACATTAAACAAAAACTAGATGGTGAGTTTTTAACATCACGTGAGTTAACCAAAGAAGAAGAAGCCAGGACATAATAAGATATATGATTATTTCCGTGGATCAGATGAAGAGTCATTCCAAAATGTGATGGGGGAAGCTGAAATTTAGAAATCCTGTTATTGATATATGGAAATTATCAGAGACCATTAAAAAGTTCTTGTTTGGCTGTCTCCTAGTGGGGGTGGGGGGAGTATTCCTGTGAGGCCCAGGCAACATGACAAATAGCATGGGATGTTGTTGTGTCCATGTTGTCCCTGTTACTCAGATAATTAAAAAAAGAAAGAAAAAATCCCAGCCCAATACTGTAAATATAAAGCAGGACAAAGTTTCCAAATGTCTATTATTATTATTATTATCATCATCATCATCATCATTATCATTATCATTATTATTTTGATTGAATTTATATACCACCCAAACCTGGAGGTCTCAGCTATTTCCTTCCTGCCTGTCACTAGTATAACATATTTAAGAAGAAACTGTCATTGCAGGTTAGAGGGGAGCCTTCAAGATAACAGAGAAAATGATGGTTCTAGTTGCACCAGTTGTGCTAAGTCAGAGATAGTGCTAAATGCTCATTCCCCAAAGATATCTACATCATAGCTAATCTATCACACATGAGTAAAAGATCCTTATTTCTTGAACCCAGTTGACTAGCCTTTTCAGTATCATATGCCAAATGTAAAGTAGCTTTTAAGTGGACCAGTCTTATTCCCCACCCCACAGTCTCCATCCCTATTTTAAAAAAAACAAAAATCTAGAAAGATATTTAAATGGAAAGCACTCCATCCTAAGAGTCCCTGTCTGGAGTAGTGCAGCCCAGACAGAGGTTTAGCACCTCACTGAGTACTAGACCCATGCAATTAGCAAATGAAGTGCAGAATTAGTACCTTAGCGGATTCAACCTTGGTTGCCTGATTTATGAATAAGCCACATGTGGCTATAAGTTTGCAGACAATGCCTTTGCGGCGCTACGTTCATTACAGAAATGCATCAGCCATCTGTTCCGCTGGCAAGAGAGGCACGATTAAGTATCATGTGACACATTGCTAGCCGTGCAACTTAACTTGGTTTAAGATGCTGCTATTTACACAGAGAGTGGACTGCTGAGGGTCTTAAATGGAGCCAAAGCTTGTTGGCTCCAAAGTCATAATCTATAAACCGGGCACCACTCTCTGACGCGGTTTTGCAAATATGCAGGATTATGAACTAGAAAAGAACGGTTTTCTGTCGAAGCCCAACAAATGCATTGATGTGATCTGAACTATTTCACACCGTCCGTTCATTACAGCCATAGCTTGCAGTTGTTTGCACACAAAACTTTAATTATGCAGGGGAGGAGGCAAAAAATGTCTGTGTGTGTGTGTGAGAGAGAGAGAGAGAGAGAGAGAGACAGACAGACAGACAGACAGACAGACAGAGAGGAGGGTGCTTTCTGGGGGAAATAGAGCTAAAACCCTATGCAGACTAACTTGGAAGGAAGACCCATTTAATTCACCAAAAATAAGGAATCATACATAAGATCGGGCTACGCATATAAAGGGCCAGGGTGCCTTTAAACATACAAAAGATTCAGCACCGTATAGTGACCATGAGTGTTAGACTGAAGAACTAAGTTCAAATTGCCATTTAGCCAAGCAGCTCACTGGGTGACCTTGGGCCAATCACTCTCGTTCAACCTAGCCTACCTCACAGGGTTGTTGTAAAGGTAGAATGGCATGGGAGATGTGTGTATGCTGCCTTGAGTTCCTTGGAGGAAAGGCAGAATATAAACGTAATAAAGAAACCCTGGTTTCTTGCAATCCTAGGTATTTGTGCCACGATTACAGTCAGAAAGCATTTTGTTGATGAATGCAAAAAGGCGCTCCTAAAATCCTGAGAGCTGCCTCTGTATTAGGAAACTCAGCCATCGCTGGTCACATGTTTTTTCCACTTGCCAGTCATATTTGTTCTGTGAGGCATACAGAGGCTTGATCTACTAAAAGCCGCACATAATCTGATCAAATGCAGCCCATCCTAAACTGCTCCATCTATCTTATTTATTGTCTGCATGCAGATGGCACATCATGTAACCTTCTTTTAAGCAACGTGTATTACAGACAGGAACTCAGATGGCAACAGGATTCAGAAGGGTCCAGGTCTACGCAGCAACCCCCCTCCCAACCCTGTCTCCAGTAACAAATCATAGGAAGAGCCATCTAGACACAGTTCATGCACATAGCTTTTGTGTGTGTTTCGAGATTTAGCAAAAGCAAAGATAAAATAAAACCGGAAAATTCAAGCAGTATTTATCTCTAGCTCAGACACCATTGTTGGCAAAGCTTCCTTCTATTCCAGATAGGGAGAAAGAGATAGAAAAAGTACGCAGCAGGCATTATTCACAAGCTGGTCCTGAATGTTTGGGGCCTGAGATGCAAAAAATATGCAATCTTGGGCACACACAGTATCATTTTCAAGTCAGGGATGCAATTTCAAAGTGGCTATCAAGATGAAAGGCTTTACGGTAAGAATAACCCTGTAATTTCCAGCTAGAATCACAAGGGATGGATAAAGCAGGGCAACATGAGCAGCAGAATCAATTCAGCTGTATTGCTCTGCAAAAGATGGTGCTTTGTCAAAGCGCAGTGCCAAGCTGTCTGTCGGGGGGGGGGGGGGGAGAAAATTCCCAAGTCAAAATGCTGTGCTCAGAAATTTCAGCCGGAGCCAGTTGCAAGCAGAGAGACAGAGGTGTGCTTAGATTGCCTGCATCTAACACACTTGTCAGATGTCAAGTGGCTGTGCGACTACAACCTGATGAGCCCAGTTCTTAATGTTTCTAAAGTGTTGACCCTGTCAGCTGGGCTTGTCTTTTGTGCAGGGCACAAATCAATTGCTACAGTCAGCTAATGCTACAGTGCTCAACACAATGACTCAGAAATAAGGACTGCTTAGAACACAATGCAGTGATTTTGAAACTGCCTTGGGCAGCAGATCCAGTGGTTACAGAGCAATGTTTTGATTTGCTTGCTCCTTGTAGATTTTTGTGCAGTGTCTCACAAAACCCTGTGGCTGCCAGAAAGGTTTCGTAATTAAGGCTCGTATACTTCTGTACCCTGATACATCTGTACGGCGTGCTCCGACTAAAATATATATTAATGTAGCATCTTCAATGTATACTGCACTTTGCATAAGAGGATATGCCCCTGCCCAACTGGAGACAGGAGAGATGACAGAGGAAGCAGAGGCAAATGGAGGTGCATGTTCCATGTCGCTGTCTGTCTTGATCCTGTTATTCAGGGCTTTTGATGGTATACCTTGTGAGGTCACCTTGCTTAGACATCTTTGACACAGGGTTCTCTTCTCTCTCCACCCCCCTCCCTTTGGGATGCCTTGCACCCCTTGGTCAGCACCTATTTGAGGTGTGCTAATGTCCAGAACCTCACATTTTTAGATAATTTTAATTTTAAAAGGCCCTTAAAGTGTCCATTGTGCACCAGCTCCATTAAGCTCAAATAAGACTGGACTTTGTGCTTGTGTTTCTTTCAGTGCTGTTACATGTTACAACAGTCAAGACAGATCCTCATTTTTGCACCTCACAATTTTTAAAGGATGCTTACGTCTGTAAACATAGGACCGACGATTTCCCAGCTACTACAATTGGCCAAAGTTCCCAGGGGTATATTCATTCCTTGCTTTGAAATATGTGAGTGTCCTTCAAACATTTAACAAAAGCATAGTCAATCCAGTAGAAATGCAAGGATTTGTTTTTGTTGCAAAATGTAAGCCACTTCTCTCTCACTGCAATAATATGCATCTTTAAAAGCAGAGACATCACCTTGCCGACAAAGGTCTGTATAGTTAAAGCTATGGTTTTCCCAGTAGTGATATATGGAAGTGAGAGCTGGACCATAAAGAAGGCTGGTCACTGAAGAACTGATGCTTTTGAATTATGGTGCTGGAGGAGACTCTTGAGAGTCCCATGGACTGCAAGGAGATCAAACCTATCCATTCTTAAGGAAATCAGCCCTAAGTGCTCACTGGAAGGACAGATCCTGAAGCTGAGGCTCCAATACTTTGGCCACCTCATGAGAAGAAGACTCCTGGAAAAGACCCTGATGTTGGGAAAGATGGAGGGCACAAGGAGAAGGGGACGACAGAGGACGAGATGGTTGGACAGTGTTCTTGAAGCTACCAGCATGAGTTTGACCAAACTGCGGGAGGCAGTAGAAGACAGGAGTGCCTCACGTGCTCTGGTCCATGGGGTCACAAAGAGTCGGACATGACCAAACGACTAAACAACGTGTAGGTTTGCATACTGTACTAACCAGCAGATTTGGGGGGGGGGACCTTTCCCAAATCTTAAGACTTAAGCCAGCATCAAGAAACACAAGCTGCTGTAGTCACTGAACACTGACAATGCTTTGCCACCAGCTCTTGTGATCACAATTTGCCTTCACCAACAGCATAGACCAGGTTTGCTCAGCTTGGTGCCCCAGATGTGTTAGACTGCCACAGTGCTGCACCAATTACCCCCAGCTAACACAGCTGGAAGGAAGGCTGGAATAGATTGAATGTCCATTTATTTGAGGTGGGTTAGAGTTAGATGGCTATTTGGATAGACTTCCCAGTTGTCTTCAGAAAGAGGTATCCAGCGATGCTGGTACATAGTCATTATCTTTGTGATGTGCTGAACCCAAACGTTTGTATTAGAACACCTACCTGCAATGTAAGAATTTTGATAGGACTTGTGATGAGGCACCTGAGGTATCCCCAGTGCTAAGCATTTATAAGCTGTGTGTATTGTATTAGCTAACTGCCAAGGTTCTGCTGAGGACAGCTTTCAAAACAGATGTATCTAAAATAACTAACTATAAAACAAAAATATATTTATTAATCAGCTTGCCCTTAAACATGTCCATATGAGGTATTGGACTACTACTCAACTTCATAGAAATTAATTCCAGATCTGCTTCTCTCTGCTGTGAATTTTATGTACCAACTTAATCCAGCGTTGCTGAATTAATTATACTTCATACATTATAAAGGAACAAACTTATTAAATATATATATATTCAAAAAAGAAAAAGTACATACAATTAAAAGAAACCCTTTCCAATCTCATTTAAAATAAATTGTGTTCTCCGAGTTTAGGCCTTGACCTACTAAGTAATTAACTATATTCTAGTGGGTTTGCACCGAAATTCTGTGCTATACTACTTAATCTGTAGCACTGGAAAAGATTTGTCAAGCTTCAGGTTGGCCCATTTGGTATAGGTGGTAGTACCCAGAAAGAACTACTCTCATGAACAATGAGAATGGCAGAATCCGGCCCTGCATAATCAAACCCAGCCATATTAATGTCAACCTCAATAACCAACAAGCAGCTAGGGGGAAAATCAATGCTAGACGAGAAAGGACAAAACTGGTCAGGAAAGAAAATTTATTGGAAAAGCTTCTACGAGGGAACTGCAGACAAAGAAGAATAAAAATAGTCCTCGTCTCCTTTTCGGGCTCCAATATGCAGCATGAAGTGCATTGCTAAGTGCATAAACAGCTTCTTGGTTACTGTTGTTAAAAATAAAAATATGTCAAGAAGCTTTCTGATGTACTTCTTTTCTTTCTGCTGCAGAAGAGATGCCTGGCTTTTGTGAGCAAGTGGAACAACAAAAAAACCCCACCTCCTTCTGCCTTTGCTCTGGGTAAAGGAAGAACCAAAGGGGCCTGTATTTGGGCAAGCAGAGTACCTCTCAAAAGGTGCTGAAAATTGCTGTGTGCAGAAGAAGAGCACTCAGGATCAGACCTCCAATGAACTATCTGTGCTCTTCGAGGTGACTGGCAAAGTCAAGCCTTAAGAGCCTCAGAAGAGACTCTTGATAGCTGAAGAACGAAAGTGATGACATCAGCCAGCTAAGGAGTGAATAGGGAACGCAGGGGTTGCATATTTTAAGAGTAATCATTAAAATGGTTCGTAGTTATTCATATGCCACAAAAAGAGTTTCACTCTGCCTGCCTTTGGGAGAAGGGCCATAATGCATGCAAAAGATCCTAGCTTCAATCCCCATCTCCAGGTAGTGATGGTAAGGAATCATTGAGAATAGTCCTGTAGGTCTGCTTTACCTGTGGAAGGTCCCAGCTCCAGGCAGGGCTGGAAGAGAATCCTGTCTGAAATCATGGAAAGCCACCGCCAGCCGGTGTCAATGGACCAGTGGTAGGACTCTAAGGCAGCTTCCTACATTGCTATATACTGAAGAGCCACTGGCAGTGAGCGAAGATAATACTTAGATAGACTGACATAGTATAAGGCAGGCTACTGTGTTCCCATATGCCACTGGGTGTGTTTTTTTAAAAAAATAAGCCACGACATCCTGAGATGCTAATGCAAGGAAACAGGTGTTGGTTGGGCTGGTAAACAACAAAACCCAGCCCACCCTCATAAAACAATTGTGCTGCTAGTATAACTGGATGTGGACAGTGAGGATGATCCCCCAAGTGACAAACAAGAAAATGTATGCCATAGCTCCTGCATTCTAAAAATGGGCAGGTGTACATTTATTCTCTTTAGCAGAATTTCTAGAAAACTGTTTTGTAACATTCAGGGGGCAGGGATATGGATGCGAACTGGGCATTTCTTGCCAGTACTAAAATAAGCAGCATGATTCAGTCCCAAATCAATTACTGTCAACCAAATAAACAATAGAATTGTAGAGTTGGAAGGGACCACGAGGGGCATCAAGTCCAACCCGCTTCAATCCAGGCATCCTTTGCCCAGTGTATGGCTATCAGTCATTAAGAAAGACTGGGTTAGATCTTCCAGAATTTACTCCAAGCATTCAGTAATATGGGGAATAATATTTCAGATATTACTAGGATGCTTGTATTTGCTTTTGCCTTCCCTTCCATCTACCGTTTCACTTCTCACTGTTGCTCCTTATATACCCCTGTTCCCTTCTTTTTGTTATGAGATGAAATAACTCTAGAACTCATACATAACAGCTTGTAGATATTTTTAAGATACGGGTCACAACACTGTGAGCCATAGTAAATGCTCAGAGCTGCACACAAGCGAACACATCATGCCTACTGCCTTTGGGGGCTAACACAAGGAAATAGGCAAGCATTATCACACTGCTGGGTGTGATTTTTCACCACCATGTAAGCAGAATCATCCAGGGTGTTGTCCACGTGGCAAAACCTGGCCCCTCGTACGGAAAAATGTCACTTTGCATGGATTGCGCTCTCTGAATTACAGTGACCATTTCAGAGATGAAAAGAGTTACTTGCAGCACACCTGGACATGCAGTAAGAACCCCTTCTAGGCAACTGAAGATGGGAGCTTTTGTAAACTGAAAGCATCGATTCTTAGGGCAATCCATGAGTAATAACTAGCATTAGCTATGTGATCAAAGGTACGCTAGTAAAAAAAATAGATTGGTAACCGTGTTTAATTTATTTACAACTATCTGAAAGCCTGTTACACGCAGAATGTATTATTTCATCTGTAACCAGCACCTATTCTTCAATAAAAGAACCAACCAAGTAAAATATCTTATTTGAACAAGTAATTCTTTTCACTGTGTTCAGGCCAAGGTTCAGGCTAAATTTGCAAATTTAGAAGGAGGACAGAATGACACTGGCCCATCAACAGGATCCATTTAAATCTTCTTCTTCTTCTTCTTCTTCTTCTTCTTCTTCTTCTTCTTCTTCTTCTTCTCCTCCTCCTCCTCCTCCTCCTCCTCCTCCTCCTCCTCCTCCTCCTCTTCATTGTGCAGTTCTGATGTCATTCTGTTGGGGCATTGGTCTCTACTTCAGGAGAAATTTAACTGCCCAGATGTCGCATAGTAACCAGAGCTATCTGTGGAGAATCTCTGAGAGAGGTAGACTGAATTCAGCTGCACTTCTCCGAAGCAGAAGTTCTCAAAGAGCTGAAAGAAACGAGATGGAAATAATGAAAGATCCCTAAAAGCGTGTGCTCATATTTCTTATGAGTGAAACTACAAACAATATTTTTGAAACACTGGTAAGAAGCCAGATATAATAGCATCACAGATTATATCTGGCCTCTGGCCCAACCATTGGCCATCTCTGTTCCTGACATTTCACAATCCTTGTTTACACTTGCCTCAGTAAAACACAAAGGGAAACATAAAAGTGGAATCAGCCCTTCAGACAAACTTTTGCTTGCTTCCCTGGGCTCCCCACAGATTGGAATGTGAGTGCTGCTCCTTCATCAGCCAAAATGAGCTCAGTGACCAAGTTCCCAGGAGATTTCATAAAAGATGTTACTGCCTCTCTTTGTTGGTATGTAGTGGTATCACAGAAGATATGGATTGTGGCTCAAGGAAGAGGTAAAATTATAGTTTAACCCTGAGTCTTCATTCTTCAGTTAGGTCTGAATATAATTTAGGCAATGGCCATTTAAGTGCATCTGACTGACAAGTGATCGCCGGTGCCACAGGTCCTTTTGGACCTGGAAAAATGGCAGAGCAGGGGTGGGCTGGGGTGTAATGGAGCAGGGAATGTGGGGTAGGGGGACCAGGAACAACAGCCCCACACAAAATGGTCATCGCCAGTAGTTCATGAACTAGGTTAAATGAGGCTTTCTTTGGTGAGAGCTAGTTTGTAACGTCCATGATAAATAAACTGAGTTCATTTAATTAATGCAGGTTATCAAACTGCATACTGAAAGGAGACACCCTCGGGTGCTTTTGTTCAAGATAAGAAGAGTGAACCAGAACAAAAGGCTCTTTGACCCAATTCCTTCAATGAAGTCTTTCAAGGGCACTTAAACCACACACACACACACACACACCACTCCTGAAACCTAGTTCAGGAGAAAGCTGCTCCAGTGATTAACACTGTACAGGAGACAGATGAAATGATTACATCAGAATATATTACAAAGGGAAGCCAGTAATATTGCTTTGAAGAAACATCACATTCAAGTGCTTTTCTCCATTCCATTAAGAAGCAGGAAATTGCTCTGCCTTTAAAATGCCTTTGGAAAACCTTTCAACAAATACACTAATTTCAAACTCGGTTTAATGCTGCTGTGCCAAGGGTCAACAAGGGCTGAGTAGCTTAGCTTCCCCATCATGGAGGTCTTAAAAACCCACACTCCATCTGACTTCTTCTGCATTTTATATCTGTCCCTACAGACCTCAGCTCAACATGGGCACATACAACTCTTCTGGCCATTAAAGACTCCCAGCGGCTTTGAAAAAATCTACAGCTTCATTAAGCCCTGCTCATCCAGAGCTGACAATGCATTGATTCTTCTGTGTGAAACCAATGAAATTCAAAAATTTACTTGGCAGGCATAATGTAATATATTTCACTTCTTTCCAGAAATGTACTGAACTCTCCCTGGTACGGTTTATCTTAAACCACTTCTTCACTGATGTTGGCCATTTATTTTATGTTCCATGACCCTCTTATGTAAATCAGGATTTGCCCAAGTGGGTGGGGCATCTGACACCATAAGAGTGTGCTAGGGGAGCCTGAGGGAGAGACATATACTGTACTGCTTAAAGATGAAGACACTTCAAGGCAAGCTGCAGCTGACTGGGCTGTACTGTCAATCTCGCTGCAAATATATGGATGGGGATGGGCAGAAGCAAAGACAGGGACTTAAAATGATCTGGTTGGCTGTGCAGAATACATTACTGGATCTAATAGGGTGGTAGGCAAAAGGAATTTCAGAATTGAGTCTCTAAGTATGGAGTCTTGGAAACAAACAAAAGGTTCTTAAACTATAAATCTAAATATAAAAGTAGCAAAGGAGAATTGCAATAAACCTCACTGTCCCTACTTTGGCCCCTCCTTGACTATTTTTCTGGTTGCCTGGATGGAGGACAGAGTGGAGTGTCAGTGTAGAAAGTCACCTACTGCGTAAAGAGTAGAATTTACATTTGTTGCTCCGCCCTCTTTTGGCTCTGGCCCCGCCCACCATTGGCATGTGGCCCCTTGAAGCATGCCAAGAAGGGAATGTGGCCCTCAGTGTCCTCCACCCTTGGTCTGGAAGCTGGTCCTGAAAACCTGAATTGCTAAAAGACTGCCCCAACAACTGCTGGAAGTGCAGTTACATTTTGAAAAGGACATGAAACTACACAGGAGGCCAAAAATTACTTTGAAATAATCAAGATTCTAGGAAAATCAATATTTGGATAATAAGACTTATCCTTTTATCGCTTCTTGTTAAGCCTAGCAAGAATACATTTTATTGAAAACTTTAAAAAATAAGTTTTGATTTCATATTTAAAGCACAGGGTAAAAAAGGAGAATTGAAAAGCCCTATGCAATTATAAACATGAATCCATAATGAGGCTTCAAAATCTTGATTCCTGCAATCAAGTTATACATTTCTCATATATAAGAACTAATAGTGGTGTGTGTAGGGGGTTGTTTTTAAATTAAAATCCAGTTTGACTGAGCACAGTATTTAGAGAATATTTTTTGAAGACTACAGCAATTTTGACAGGGCATAGGCTTTGAGCTCAGTGGCCAGAAGTGGGATTTTAAGACTACACCTGTTTTTTATTTTCCATATATTTTAAATAAGTAGCTCTCACAGGTCCTCATAATCCTACCTTTTTGCTTACTCAGCAAACAGGATACTCCCTGCACTGCCTACACAACAGGAAATTGTTACTGTCAGATTGTTTGTGAGCCTGAAGATGTTTTTAAAGTGAGGAATATTGAAGTATTTATTTGCAGTGGCGGGGGCGGTATGTTGAAGTTTTAACTTCTAAGGGGATTATTTGCCTCAAGACAAGCCAGCACAGGAAGCAAAATGCATATACAGGATATTGCAAATATTTGAGATAACAAAAGCAAGCTCTCTCTTACCATATAGGCAGTTCTTATTTGAAAATAAGCTCATGCACACACACACACACACACACACACACACACACTTTTCAGGGGTTACTCAAGAATACGCAGTACCGGCACCTCTTTTTGTTGTTGTTAAAAAGTGTAGCACTTACTGTAACAACGTCATGGTGAGTACCAGCACCTATTTTTCTAGAAAAAAGCACTATATATATGTATACACACATACACACACAAACACACTTTGTGTACACAGACACAGACACAGATATAGTAACAAAGTGGAAGAGCATTCTCCCCTCCTGCGGTTTCCAACAACTCGTATTCAGAAGCATATTGACTTTGACAATGGAGACAGGAAATAGCCATTATGGCTAGTAACCACTGCAAGTCCCATGTCCATGTATTTGTTGAACCCTCTTTCAAAGCCATCCAAGCTGGTAGCCATCACTGCTTCATGTGGGACTGAATTCCATGGTTTCACTAAGCTTCGCTGGGTGTCCGCAAGTTCTAATGTTATGATCCACTTTCTCCATGCCGTGCTATGATTTTACAAACTTCTATCATGTCACCTTTTGTCTAAACTAAAAAGCCCCACAGCAGCCCTATCGTTCAAGAAAGGGTAAGGGGAAACATGAAGCAGCTTAGTCATGCTGGCTACATGACCCGGAAGCTGTCTGTGGACAAATGCTGGCTCCCTCGGCTTATAGAGGAAGATGAGTGCCACAACCTCAGAGTCGTTTGCGAATGGACCTAACGGTCAGGGGTACCTTTACCTTTTTTTTAAGATAAAAAAGAAAAGAAAAAAGGATACACTTATTTAAAATAGCCACCTGTGCCCAGAGTGGGGTGTGACCTCAACATGTAAAAAAAAGAAGATAGAAAATAGCACTTTCCCACAGTGAACTTTACTAGAACAATTGATTTTTCTGGAAAGGTACCAGCCGTACATTAATCATGAGCGTAGCGCAAGATTTAAGGAACAGCCACAGCCTTTTCTCTTCCTGCTTTCACATCAAGCCTCCTACTTTTATTACCTCACTTTATTCCCTCAGGCCTCAGGTGACTGAAGCCACTGGATACCAAGAGTAGGCAGATGAGGGCAATAGCGTAGTCCAAAGGGCATAAGCTCCCTCTCAAAGCACAGCTAGGAAAGAGGCTCTTGGGAGCACAGATGGTAGCAAAAGGTCTCTGATATTGCAATGTTAATTTCTTGCTTTGAAAAAGGGGTCCCGTGACCCTGCCTCCTGAGCTTCGGTTTAATAGAGCTGCCTTCTACTTCACATCTGATGAAGTTGACTCTGGGCCATGGAAACCTATGACATAATCAATTAGTTTTCAAAAGGTGCCACACCTGTCCTGATTTTGCCTACATTATTTCAGATTAAGGGGAGTTAACAGCAAGTAAAAAAAACGTTAGCAAGTTGGATGATATTTCGTTTGCCCTCCTTTGTTTTCTCTAGCCACCCAAACTTTACTTATGATTGTAGGTCTTTTGAAGACAGAGATGAAACTGCTGTAGGCCACCCTGAACCCATGGTCTTGAGTGGGTTATAAATAGGATTAATAAAATTAAAATTTTCAAAAATATTTTAACTATAGTATTAAGAATACTTTAAAGTGAGGCTTCCATAAATGTGCTCAATATATTTTGCTTTGGGCAGAATGAATGAAACACCCCCTTTCTCGTCTGCTCGGTTCCTGCAGTTTCCTTTTGGCTACCTTCCCCCAAAATGTGATGCACCACTTCTGTTTTCAAACCTGGGAATAGCTACAATCAATCACAGGGCTAATATACACCAGGCTACCAGCAGAGCAGCACTGCAGCACCATTTATGAAAACCTGGACATGCCAGCACAAACTACTGCTTTTAAATCACCTGTCATGAACACAGCAAGCATGAGAAACATTAATAGATTTGGCTGAAAAGGTGCTGGGCAGCAGGACGACAAATATAACCAAAAGAGAGGAAGGGGAAGCAGAGGTATTTAAAACTTCCTTCACGTAATCTCTCTGCTCTGCACTTTGGGCAGCCTGGCCTGGATTTCACTGTTACTGTCACAGGTATTGATCAGTTCCAAAAGCTTTGCTCTTGCCTAAAGTGGCAAGGCCAAAAGGACCATTTGGAATTAATTTTAAAAAAAGAAAAGAAAAAGAAAACCTAGCAGTTCTGCAAAGAATTTCAATACTTCAATACCATGGGAACAACTCACTGCAATGCTCTGCAGTTAAAAATCTACCAACAAAGAGAAGCAGTATCAGAGGATGAGATGCACACATCCACCGGGAAATGAATACACACATGCAGTCAGTTTGTAGGGAATCCATTTGCTGAAAAGTATCAACCATATAAAGCACCGGCTAAGGATAAGGAGATTAATGGTGCAAAACTGTCCTTTGTGAATCAGCACAAGAAGGCTGGCAAGAGAAATAACATGTCCTTAGCTGCCCGTACAGTTTATTCACAAAACCAGATACTCCCAGCCACCGGTGTGGGAGGCTAAGGACTCAGCCTGAAGGTAAGAATGTTTTAAGCATCAGAAGATGGAAGGGGGCCTTTCTCAACCTTGGGTCCCCAGATATTGTTGAACTACAACTCCCATCATCCCTCGCTAGCAAGGCCAGAGCTCAGGGATGATGGGAGTTGTAGTCCAACAACATCTGGGGACCCAAGGTTGAGAAACACTGTGTTAAAGGAATCAGATGCCCTGTTGGTGATACAAAGCAGCTACGCTGTGTGGTATCAGCCCCAAATCTAAATATACCCCTAAGGGTGATAGTTCTTAGACTTGGATACAAGGTCAGATAGGATATACAGTAAGAGCAACCAGGGACATAGTCAGACTTCTGGTGCTGGTGGAGCAGAGAGAGACAACACACCCATACCCCCACCTCAATTTCCTCCTCAGGCAAGCCAAGCTGCCTAAACTGGTCCCATCGTGACCCGCCCACAGAAAAGGACCTAAAAATATGATTACCTCAGCTTAACCCCAAGGATGGATGTTTCTAAGGGCACTCCATCAACAGAAAATGTTTGTGGTGACTGCCCTTTCCTTTATCACATCTGCAGCACCCAGTTTTCCCCAGAGGAGATAAAAAAATCCCCACCAAAAGATTCCATTGTGATTGTTTTCATGTCCACTCTTTTCTGAAGGCAAAATTCACACTTATTTCGAAGCAGCAAGGTTCACCACATCATTTTTAGCAGGGAAAGTGGTCGCCTACCATCTCACTCTCCCACAAATGAAAAGCACCAAAGTGTACACTTAAAATATGGGGGCAAATTCACCATACACATATTAATTAGCTCTCAGCCACACTGATGAAGAAGTGGAGGACTTGACTTCAGCTACATTCAAATAGGTACAGACTGGTAGAGAGTTTGGGGTTACACTCAAGATTACATTATTTGACTACAGTCTTAAAGAGCAATACATGCTCTGCATCTATCATGAAGATATTAGAATGTAACTTTGCTCAGTTCTTGACTTACATATCATAACTCTCCCTAGTTTCCTACCTGGAGACTTTGAAATTTTCAGTGACTACAACTAAATATACACTTTAAAACAGGCATTCCAGAGCCCTTGGCTTCGCAAACTTTCATCTACTCAAGTGCCTAGCCTATATTGCAAAATACAGGAGAGTACCAAGCCCTCAGACAGCTTCTCTTGAAATTATCCATGAAAAAAATTAATAATCTTACCCTAAACAAGTATAAAATGACCTAAATTGAAAATATATTGGTCCCGTGGCTTAGAAGAACTAGCTAGTTAAACCCATGCTCTTTATAGCCTGTCTTTGTGGAAAATATTACTTAAAGTGCAAATTATTATAATCTTTCAGACTTTGACTAAATCAGAACCTTAATACCAGCACAAGCTAGAGGGAAATAAGCTGTAAGTAGCTCACCCATCAAGCATACGATAATTTATCCAAGAAGACAATGTTTGTTGTATTGGCCTGCAGCTCTTGTTCAGTCTTTTTTGGCAGAAATGAGTATCTACTACAAGGTCTCTGACAAGGAGAAGATTGGTTTAAAACCAAAGAGGGGTCTGCAAGTATAAATAAAGAACCTCTACTGCAGTCCTCTGGGAACCACATGGATTTAGAAACACATGCTATCCTGAGATGGCAGATATTGATACTGTGAGAGAGAGAAAGGGGGAGGAGGAATGCTTGTAGGGATAAGAAATAAATCAAAGTGATTGATAGGACAAAGGAGACTGATTGATACAAATGGGGTGAATTTCACAGTTCATGAATATGTGGAATGGATCTCAGTTGGCTAGCAGGCAGATGGGAACTATGGACGCAGTATGCTTTGGCCATCTGTCCCACACAACTCTCGTTAATGAACCTCCATTGCAACATGGAACGAATCTGATATTTTAGTTCCTAGAAGGCATGAAGCTGGAAGGAATCTAAAAATCACCTAAATCCAGCCTCTACACATCATCATGCTTTCTCTTTCTCTCTCACATACTGATTTACACAGGTGATCCAGATTGCAATGCCTCACCAAAGAGGAAACTGGAAGGAATAAGAACATGCAGTCAATGAACATTTAGTAAAACAGTTGAGTTAAGAGCCTGTCTGTCCCTCGCCCCCGGCACATTAGTACAGTGGTACCTTGGGTTACAAACACTTTGGGTTACAAACTCTGCTAACCCAGAAGTAGTACCTTGGGTTGCGAACTTTGCCCCAGAATGAGAATGGAAATCGCGTGCCAGCAACGTGGCGATGGTGGAAGGCCCCATTAGCGAAAGCACACCTCTAGTTAAGAACCGTTTCGGGTTAAGAACGGACCTCCGGAATGCATTAAGTTCGTAACCCGATGTACCACTGTAGTATAAAAATACTAATGATAAAAAAGGTTTCTGACCAGAAAATGTCTAAAAGTGCATGTTGCTATAGTTCTGAAATGATCAGATATGAATCTAATCAATAGCATTCCATACACACTTCAGAAAAGAGCCTGACCACTCCCACATTACATAGATGAAAAATAACATGAAAAATGTATTTCAGTCTCTATTACGTAACAAGAACCACAAACTTACAGCACTTTAGTGATTTATGTTCCAAGATCGTTCAACTATTTCTAACGAAAGGGCCTCTTTGCTACATTTCCAAAGCAAAGCCTATTTCAGGTCACGGGCGTCAATAAAATCAATAAAAATACTTAACTAATTGAGGTTCTGCCCTCCCCCAACATAAAGCCTGACCCCCCCCATCAATCTTGGCTACACCCATGCTTCAGGTGGCAAGTTGTTGTTCAGATGAGTAGCAGTGAACAGGCAGTCAGTGGAATTCATAGATATGTTTCTTGGCTCAGGAGACAGAAGTCTGCCAAGAAAACTCCATGGACAAAGACAGGAGTGCCTGGCATGCTCTGGTTCATGGGGTCACGAAGAGTCGGACACGACTAAACAACTAAACAACAACAACCATCACAACGAAGGAACAAATATGGAGGGTTAATTAGTTGATTCAGATCATTTCATTCCACATTCGGAATATGTTTTCAATAACATTTTGGTCACGCACAAAAAGCATATATCCGACTGTGTGCGACTCCAGACTCTGCAAGCCTAGTAATTACCTTACACCATTTAATGGCACCTAGAAGCCTTCCAGCACTACACCCATTAAAAGAGCAGGTAGGCTGGTGCTGTTCCAGAGCGAAAGACCCTACCTTCTGCTCCAGAGTGAAATGAACGCTACCTTCTGTCAAAATGAGCCTGCTGCTCCTTTCTAATGGGTTTTTAAAGGCATGCTAGCCAGATGAAGAACAAAAACTTCTGTTATGGCACAGGTGCTTTGTGATTAAGATGTGCTGCAGAGTTTCACAAAAAGCATGGGGGACAAAATGAAAAGAAGAAAATGAAGGCCTGGCATTCTTTCCTTACTTCCCACAGCAGGGCTTCCAAAACAACCTACAGGTTATCAAGGCCTTCCACCTTGAAAATACAGCTTGACAGATTTCTGGAACAGTCTCCCTAGAATAGCAAAGGGAGCAAATAATGTCATCAAGTCCCAAAGGAATAATTTGTAAGAGTATTTTATTCTTTTTCTTTAAAATCTGGTGTATTACTCAATCTGTTGCGTTCAGCTTTTCTCCCCCCCCCCCAATCTTGTATGTTTTTTTCTGGGTCCAATTGCATCTCCAGTCATTACAAAACTTTGGAAGACAGCACATGCCAAAATTCTCCCTTATATGAAACAAAAGGTACAGAAGCCTTCTCAGGACCAGGCTGGGAAATCCTAGCTTTTTCCTGCACTTCTGGAGCAAGACAGATTGTCAGCCTGAGAATGCTGACTGGGATGATGCTGTGATAAGAATGCCTTTTATTTGAATAGCTTGTGCTTCATCCTCAAGAGGCTACCAATTTTTTTCCTCCTGATCCAACAGGCTAGCTATCCAGCGACATTTTCCCCCTCCTACTGCAGCATTTGGCTTGGCTCAGACAGATTGTTCCACTAAATAATAAGACAGTGGTTCTTCCATTAGTGAGTGTGCCTGAAAAGTGTTCCATGAACATTGGAGGAGACTATTGATCTGGATGAGGTTTCACGAAGGACTTTGCCTTCAAGAATGAAGTGGTCTATCCAGTCCACTTCCCTTCCCATTCTTTTTTTAAAAAATGTCTTCTGTATTGTATTAATCTTTTAAAGAGCTATGATCTGGAGATGTAGGATTATAAAGGATTAATGGGGTCTCCTTAGTATTCCATAAAAACACCTTCAAAGTTCCCCAAACGTTGTGGCTTATTCTGCAAAACTAACATGTCAAGCAATTTACAGAAGCCTCTGTTTTATCAGCAAGTGCAATATTCTTTTTGTTTAGTTCTCATTTTGATTAACTGTTTCCACAAGAACTTTAATATAATGAAGCTTATTAAAAAGTCTCATGCTAGGGTTAAAAAAACCCCAAGATTTGAGAACAAAATTAGATAGTGTTTGAATTATGAAGGCAATTCATAGAATCATAGAATTGTAGAGTTGGAAGGGACCCCAAGGGTCATCTAGTCCAACCCTCTGCAATGCAGGAATTTCAACTAAAGCATCCATGAGAGGTGGTCATCCAACCTCTGCTTGAAAATCTCCAAGGAAAGAGAGTCCCTCACCTCCCAAGGGAGATCACTGTTCTTCCCGTCATTCGAGCATCACAGAGCAGTTTACAATATAAAAACACAAAAATACATACCACAGTAACAAACAAAAACAATACCCCCCCCAAAACAGTTTAAAAGGCCATAGATTGTTTAATTAGCCAAAGGCCTGTTATACTTAAATGATCATGCAACAGAGTCACTCTTGGTACAAGACCTAATTACAATACCTGGAAATATCCACATTTGCTGCATTTTATGCTCCATTATTTTCAATACCCACTGCTAACAAACTACTAGCCCACCCACAGGACCGCACTCAAATTAGTAACAGATCATACTCTTGGGTAACTAGCTGCACACAGAGACAAGCACATACAGAGTTTCCTCTCCTTTAATCGGTGTTACAAGAGAGTTAAGCAAGCAGTAATGGCACCTGCTGAAAAATAATGAATTAAAGATACATCTGCACAGAGCTCTCTGGCACATTTTAGTGATGCTCCATTAACTTTAATGCACTTTGAATGAAGCCATGTAGGCCTCTGAGAGTCTAATGTGTTAATGAGGTATTGATGGCTTTAGAAGTAGTTAGGCTGCAAAATGGGCCTTATTGGTTGCTTCCCAAGTAGCCTTGCAGCTAAACAAAGACTACTTGAAACAGAAGCAAGCATTCCGCTATGTCTCGCCACATTGCAAAACTTGGGCATGTCACAATATTCCATTCACACCTTCAGCAGACCCTGCTGTCTTGGTACCAGTGCTACTTCCTGTGAAGCAGTATCTTGCTGTTATGTTACCTCTTTCTACTACCTTAAGCAGAACTATCACATTCTTTGGCAACCAATTTGTGTGCCCCATCCCTCTGTTTGTGTTTTGCTGACGGAAGGATTGAACACTGAGATGTTCACAAGAGTGTAAGGAATCTAGACATTCGTCTTCAGATCAAGAGCTATTTCCTCCTTAGGGTGATACCAAAGATTCATATATGCTAATATGCCACAAGTAGGTCCCCCAAGAGTCTGTTCTCAGGCAAAAACATGTGAATTACTCTTACAATAAACCTAAAGATTGAGACTGGAACATCTCTTTCTATACATATGCTTGCCTCTGGGCATTTTTCCCATGCTTTTTGGAAAGGTTACTCAAGGTCAGTAGCAGAGAATAATCAAGTAAGTTAGCACTTGCAGATGACAACAATACCCGACTCCCAGTATATTGTGGAGTGCAAACTGGAGTGCTTTGTTTAAAAGGAGAGAATAGATTTAGTGGGCAGTCATGGGATAAGAGGACAGGTCCTCTTATGGATCAGGCACTGGTTAAAGAACAGGAAGCAGGAGCTGTAATAAATGGATAGCTCTCCCAATGGAAGGATGTACTTTTAAGTATAGGAGTGAGAGTGTGCTCAATGATACTTACCGCCTTGTAGCTGTGTTTGGAATTGCACACATACTCTGGAAAGTCTAACATAAAGGGGATACAGAATGTCCAAAATCAATCACATACCTTCTCCCATAAAGTCTCTGTCTCGTAAGATACATAATGCATTGGGTCAGTGTGGTCTACTGGCCACTGTAAATCAAGTGTAGGACTTTCAACTCACCTACTAGAAAAGAGGCAGAGCTAATTGCTGCTATACTGATCAAAGAGAACCTAAGATTGAAAGGAATGCCCATGGAAAGGAGTGGGAGGGAAAGGAAAAGATACAAAAATATCACAAATTCCCTATATTATATTTCTTATTCACTTCTTCCTAGAATTGTTTCTCTAGTGGGCTGCCTTTTTTTTTTTTTTTTTTTGCTGTATTTGAGTTACTCCAACAAAATAATTTTTCTTCCCAGTCTCTCTTCTGAATGTTCTCATATTCTCTCTTAGATCACAAGCCCATATTCAGAGGATGTAAAAAAGCTTTCCCCCCTCAAATATTAGATTTCTATTAATGTATTTATACAGTCATCCAGCCCCTTTAATCTTCCTTTCTCCAGACAATGCAAAAGTTGATTTTGAATCTCTCTTTAGCCCTGCGGTCTCCCTACCACAGCATCATTCTAATTGTGTGTTCTTGAATTTTCTCTAGTATATCAGAATCCTTTAATAATGCAGGGATCAGAAATAGATGCAATGTTCTGCAGTGTGCAAAGTGGCATTATGTGTTTCCAGTTCTCCTTTCAATTTTTCTACCTAGCCACTCCAATATTAAAAAACCACTCTTAACCGAATATTCTATCCAAAAATGATACAAAACATATATTTGTTTTCTTTCATCAACTTCTTAGTTTTATCTTCTGGTGTTTATGAAGCATGCCAGTAGTGTGTTCTAGTCATCTTACTTTTATTAATTTACTTGTGAAATGCCTGTCATTATGAAGGGTGGAAGGAGAGCACATATATTATAGGGACTCACAAGTGTGAGTATAATATTATTTATTTAGAAACTTTATAAACAGCTTGACTAAAAAAGTATCTCCAACTCGTGTACATTTAGCATGCAACATTGTCAGTGGAGACTGGATCTCCTAATTTCAGAAGAAAGAAGCAGGCTTCAGAACAGTGTACCCAAGTACAGTACTTTTACCTATAAGACCAGACAGCAGCTACTCATTTTAAAATAAAAAGATGCATGTGGGAACACTGCTGCGATGAGAGCTGAACCCACTCCTGCACCAAGTGACCCAAGTAGTTGCAATACAAGACATGTTCCACTCCCATCCCTACTGACACACCATCTTTCAATTCATTTCTTTGTCACAGGAAGCGACTGACTCATAGCCAATGAGCTGCACCAGGATACACTCATGAGCCCCATGTCCAGAGCACAGGTAGATTTTCCTAGTCCCCTGCAATCCAGTCCCAGTTTGCATCTTAGCTTACTTTACCCAATAGGACTCTATGGAAGCCTTTAAGAACTAAGTCCATTCCTATATGCATATCCCCACCCTTGGCTTTATAGACTAGTCTCTCATTTTGTGTGACAAAACAAGAGAATCCAGGAGCTGGCTTTTATAAGAATATGATTGTGGGTTCATCCAAGTCACGCAGATTGCAGCCGGACCCCCTCAATATGGCCTGTACAAACTCAACAGTGCCTTAGCACTTCTTTCTCGTATTGTAATTAAATAAAATAACCAAACTGATTTTCAGTGTTCAGCACTAGTGGAGATGGGGCTGTAGCCTGGGAGGGTCATTATTAAGAAAGTTAAGCTCTGTCAGTTTCTCAATAATGGCTGTTGTGGAATGCAATAAAACCCTTCTCTATCAGGATGTAATTAACTCTGCTCAGCATTATGTAGGCAGCTGTTACTCTAGGCTATTTTTTAAAAAAATCCAGGCAGTTTCCCCTCTATTTCACTTTAAATATATGACATTACAAAGTTAAGGGTCATACTAAAAATCTGTGTCCTGCATCTAGGTTATATCTATTTACCGACATGAGGATTACAAGCGTACCCACAGATCATACCCCATTATCACTTTATTATCTTTTCCTAAATCTCCCTTACTTTTCCCAAACACAGAGAGATGCAAAGACACCAAATGATCTTCGCTTCATTACAGGAGCAGAGTACCTCAAGGCCTGGACATTCTAATGGATTGGAAGTGAAGTAAGTGTGAGGTTTAGGCCATAGGATGAAAGGGAAACCTTAGTGGGCCAGTGCAGTGCAAAGAATTGTTAAGGAAATGTATGATAAGACCTTGCTTGCTGTGTCATGCATTCAACTGGCAACAGAGCCTTCGGCATGAGTGTACCAGTTGTAAGGAACTCTGTTTCCTTGATGATTGGACAAACCTACTACTCTGTCCTTTTTGCTCAGGCCTTCTCCAGCACTGCTTTTCAGTTGATATGATCTATGATGAAGGCTTTATTAGGAAAAAGGGGCTTATAGCTCAGTGGCAGAGCATCTGCTTTGCATGCAGAAGGTCCCACCTCATTCTCTGGCAGGTAGGGCTGGGAACATCTGAAACCCTGAAACCCTGTCAGTATAGACAATAAAGTGGTACCTCGTTTTTTTGATTGTCTCTGAAGTCAAACGTTTTGGTTTTCGAATGCCAAAAACCCAGAAGTAACTGCTTCGGTTTTCGAACGCTTTTCAGAAGTCGAACATTCCACGCGGCTTCCGTATTGAGTTTTCCGTAAGTAGATGCTTCTGGAAGTAAATGCTTCAGTTTTTGAACGTTTCGGAAGTCAAACGGTCTTCTGGAACGGATTACGTTGGAAAACCGAGGTACCACTGTACTGTGTTAGATGGATCAATGATCTAACTCAATATAAGGTACATTCCTACATTCCAACTATGCTTGATAGTTTTGTTTTATGATGGATTTTATCTTATGCATTTTTATGCACTCTTGTTCACCACTTAGAGGTTTTATGTTAAGATCTTTATACATCCTTAAAATAAACAAGAGTTAAGTGTATGCAGGAATCTTATGAAGGGATAGATTATTGCCGAGCACTGTCAGTTAAAGCCTCTGGAAATCTGCAAACCTGGGGATATACACTGCAATAGCCCCCATATTTTATCAGTCTACAACTCCCATCAGCTTTAGCCTGCACAGACAATTGTGAGAGATTATGGAAATTGGGAGTCCAACATCCATAATATGTTGACTACTCCTGCTTTAAACAAAAGGGGACTCTATGTCACTGGGATCCCATTATACTGGACTTTGCATATGGAGTAAGAGATGTCATCTTCTTTCAGAACATACAGTCAATAATGTCTTAGACTCATTAGAGCAGAGTTTCCCAAACTGGGGTCTCCAGTTGTTTTGGACTACAACTCCCATCATTCCTAGCTAGCAGCATGAGGGATGACGGGAATTGTAGTTCAAAAACAGCTGGAGACCCAAGTTTGGGAAACCCTTCCTTAAAGCCTTCCTCTCACATGTTTCTTCATGATTTCTAGATCAGCTAGGAGTGCCCTCTTCAGGATCACACTCCTGGGTTGTTCTGGTGACAATGGCACATAGAAAAGCACTATCAGCAGCTGTCCAAACATAGAATCCACAAGCCTGCCCCAAATTTTCCAAAGTTTAAACATTGTTGGAAGCAAGAAAACATTTCTGTTTACGTTGGCATTTGGTAGCAGAGTTAAAACCACGCAAAAAATTATTTATGTTCTCATCCATTTGAAAACATGCGACACCTGCTGAGCCCTTTCTATCAGATTACTTTCTACTATATATTTATTACAGTCAGTATGGTGTTGTCTACAGGAAGGTACCAGCAGACTTTAATCTCAAAATTCTCCCAGCCTCATGTATTCTGGCTTCTTACAGACTTACCTCTTGAGCCCCTACTGTTGCATCCTAATGCCTAACTTCTGGCTTCTTCAGTAGTAGTAGGAGTAATTATTCTCAATGCATTTATTTTCTGCCTTCCTGCCTTAATATGAGGCACTCAAGGTAACTCACAGCGTGGTAAATACACACATACACCACAAATCACTTTTAAAAAACTCGCCTAAAAAGGGGGGGAGGTATAGCAGAAAATACAGATCAAATACATGCAAAAGAGAAGGCGAAAAAAGGAGAAACAAACTGCTGGAACAAAATAATAAATAAATCTGCCAGGCAGAGTAATCCAAAGCCTAGACACAATAGGGGAGAAGGCTCTATTGAACATTCCTACCAGCCCACTCTCAGGTATCAGTGGGATACACAAACAGGCTTCTCCAAATGACCTCACAGAACAGACAGGCTCATAAGGTAGGAGGCGCCAGTGCATTTGATATACTGATCCTAAGGTGTTTAGGAATTTCAAGGTAATGGCCAGTACTCAAGTCCCAAACAAACCGGAATGAATATTGTAAATAGAGGGGGAGATTTGACAAAATCTAAGAGAAGGGGGTGGGAGGTTTGGCTACTCAAGGTTTCCAAATGCCCCCACCCCACGTTTCTCATTCAAACCTCCACAGGGGGTGGCATGGGGGGTTACACGGAAAGGCATGAACCCACCTGCCTATCAGCTCCTCCAGCACCCACCCCCCATAAACTTCTCCCTTCAAACCTCGGTTCATTTTGATGTCCCAGCATAGCTTTAAAAAAATCACTTTGGCCCACTAGGGGTAGGGGAGATAAAGATTGAGCCTGATCTAATGGGGAGGAGTTTGGCAAGCTGGGGAGGGAGCTTTGGCAAGGAAGGGGAGAGGGTGGCATTGGTGGGGTGGGGGTAAATGAGGTTGGTGAGTTAAGCCAGCAGGGGTGGAAGCCCCTAGTACAGGGTTTCCCAAAATTGGGTCTCCAGCTGTTGTTGGACTACAACTCACATCATTCCTAGCTATCTTTAAAAGACATCTGAAGGCAGCCCTGTTCAGGGAAGTTTTTAATATTTAATGCTGTACTGTTTTTAACACTTGATTGGGAGCCGCCCAGAGTGGCTGGGGAAACTCAGCCAGATGGGCGGGGTATAAATAAATTATTTATTATTATTATTATTATTATTATTATTATTATAGCTAGCAGGACCAATGGTCAGGGATGATAGGAACTGTAATCCAAATACAGTTTGAGAAACCCTGCCCTAGTACATTGACAAGAGCAAAATGACTGATCAAAGTGTGGCAGTAATCCTAAACATACTTGGCATAACACACTTAAAGCTGCAATCCAACTCCCCAATTTGTCACAGCCTCTCCTCAGAGCTCTGCTAGCATCACTCCTCCAGCCTGGAGCTCCTTGTTCTGCCCACTGAAAGTGTAGGTTGGGGTTGAAGTATCGCTAGCAGGAACTCACAGAAAGCCCCCCAATGGGGTATGCTGGGGTGGTTGCACTGGCCCTAGATTCGCTGAATCCCAAACTAACCCCACTGCAGTCACTTGATGGTATCGGGCCTGATCCAGGAACAGTCACCACATCAGTTCCACATCAGCATGGAACAGGGTTTTATCTGCCCCAGGCAATGTTGAGTAGCAAGGCTGTGGATGCAGCAGTGGCCACCCCATTCATTCATGCCCCTGGGCTGCCCAGCCAGTGTCATGATTACTCTGTGATTCAGTGGGTTTAATTCTGAGTAAATATGCACAGGATTGTGCTGTAACGGATCTTCTGTTTGTCTAACAGGGCTGTTGCTGGAAAACGTCTGGATGCACAGAAGCCTAAGGTTTGTTTTTAATATGCATATTGCTTATTGTGAAGCATTAAATAATTGTTGGAAGACACTGGCAGATGTGCTGATGTGGATGAAATTAATTCAAGGTGAGTTAATAGATCTCAAAGATCTACACTGGTATGTAATGACTGCAAAATTTAAAAAAATCTACATTTATAACATAAAAGGTTATTGGAAAGGCTATCTGCAGTAGTGTATTTTGGAAGAAAATGCCACTGGAGGTGTATCGGTGGCTGATACGGTGCTAGTCCAGTACCACAGCAGAACAAAAACGAAAAAGAGTTTTAAAAAATAGGCCTGTGTCTAACTTGCTGCAGGAAGTTCATCAGCTTGTGCCTGAGCTGTGCACTTTCTTTTGGCTGTTCCCACTTGAAGTTTGCAAATATACTTTAATTACTACTTCCAAATGAGATTTCTTTAGACTACTGTTCGACCTCTTTTGGTTATGCTCTATAAAAAGGGGCTTGCTCTTACCTGGCATGCTCTCATTTTCAGTTATCAAACCAATCTGAAAGTTATCCGACTGGGAGAATTAACCCCAATCACTGAGCTGGTTGCATAAGCATCCACAAAGCAAATAACAAGTCAACAATACATAATCTGGACTGGAAGTAAAAGAAATGAAAGACTACAATTTAAGGAGTAAGGGAGAATGGGTGAGTTTGTAAAGCACATTGCATTTGGATAGCAGGATGCAGCTGGTATGCTGTGACAGTCGCTGCAGCTGCATTCGTAACCAATCTGACATTTGGGCTTCTGTCTCTAAACCTAAGGAAACTACTTTGCAAAGAGAATTAGCAGAAGAATGTAACTAATATAAAATGGCAGGGGCAAGAGTGCCTATCAGAGCAAAATTCAAAAGAATGCATCACTGATCAATGGTCGGGCTGTCAGGGCTCTACTGCCAGTTATGAGTCATACTTAATTAGTGCCAGTGGGTGTTCCTCTGGGCAGTTGGCAATGAGGAGGGAAATGCCAAATGAGTGGCGAAAGAATGTGGGGGTGCTGGAGAAAGATGGTGTTTCTTAAAAGAAGGCGTGCTTGGGGGAAATTAGCAGCACTCTTTCATGCATCAAACAGCCAATGGTTCTATTGGCTGAAACAGTAAAAAAAAAATTTTTAAACCCCACAATTAATGCTTCTAAAAAAACAACTGGTCTGTCTCACATTTCACAGAGCTGTGGTATGAATAATAGACATGGGTGATCAAATTTAATGTATTTTTTCCACTTAGAAACTGCATACATCAGCATGCCAAGTCAAGACACAGAAGTGCAAATGACACAGCCTTTAACTTGTTGCCAAGCAGGAAGATGGGACAGGTGGGAGATGAATGAACTACTTAAATGTATGCTTCTTTTAAAAATCTAAGTATTTGGGAAATGTTCAAGGAATGAAAGACTCAAAAGTACCTTTAGGTAGACCTAATGACCGCTTATATTCTTTTCTGCTGTGCTGCAATTAAGTATTTATTATTGTATGTCTTTGTCTGTTTTTCACACACACACACACACACACACACACACACACACAAATTAACTATGCTTGGCTAATACTATCTGGGTTTGACATGCCAAGATATGAACAACTCTTTTGGCTGCATAGACAGCAGCTTATTGCATGTTTGAATGAAATGCAGGCATTTCTAACTAAACAGAGTTTCCCATTTTGTTCCCACTGGTAAACTATGGCTATCTGCTTTGGACTACAGTTTCAATATCTGTATATGTGTGCCCCACCCCATTCTGCCCCCATTCCACCTTCTTCTGGGTCCAAAAGGACCCATGCATCAGCAATCACATGTCTAATAGCTATATTAGGATCTCACTTAGTCCAGTCAATGTGCCTCCATATGTCAGTGTCATTTATACATTTTGCACATGCTAGACATGCCAACAGCATTTCAGATTGAATTCCTTTCTTTTTAGTGCACACATTCTTTTTAAGTACATACATACATAGTACATACAATAGTCCATCCTCTCTCCCGCCAATTAGGATATCATAGATACAATATACAGGTACAAGTTTGCAATTTATTTTTAATTTCACCTGGAATGTCATTTAACATAAGCTAAACAAGCCTACTTCACACTAACCTTCAATATATTTCGTCCATCAAATGACTCCCTTTCCTTGAAAAATTTGCCTGCAGATCTATTACTTTGCTCTTCAGCTGCAAAATAAATATATCAAATTACAGCTCATCCTAAAAGGGTTTTTTCACACATGGAATACAACTCTGCACTCACCTTTTATACAAGAAAGAAAACCTGCAAATTATTTCCCAAAGTATCATGTCAAAATTCCTACAGTCATCAATATTGTTGCAAGGATTATGCAGGGCTGACAGCTCGGTGTAATAGAATCATCCAAGGGGAAACTAGAGTGTAATACTCAGTGCTCTGTCAAAGCACATTTCAGCAATAAAGCATTCTCTCATCTCTTGAATTACCAAGTCCAGCATCAAATATCTGATCACTCTGCATAGTATATATTTAAAACCAATGAGGAAAAGTAAGCACTTGGGCAATGCATCCTTGTTCACAAGGTGTCTCTAATCCTTCAATGCCAGTATCTGAGAACAAACTCAAGAAGATGAATTACCCCTTAGCTAGGGTTCTGTTACTCTGCAATCTACATATTCTCCTCACAAGCATATAACCACCAATATGATTTCTGAGATGTTCATGCTTCATTAAAAACCCCCTCAAAATTCTAGCCTTATGATAGCAAGGAACAAACTGTTGCATTGCACTGAGCTAACCAAGGTTTAGCTTAGCATATCATAAGAACCGGAAACAGTGGTTCTCTCCTCACTAATCACAAGCTACAACCAAGAAAAAACTTCAGTGCTATCTCACTAAGCCATAGTTTGGCTTACTATGTTGTGCAAACCAGCTATCTGAAAATACGACTTTTGAAAGTCATCTATTTGTTAAAAATAAACATGAGCAGTAGTTCGTAATTCAGGCTTGTAAGCAGCAAGCTACCTGTTCACCTGTGAGAACTGCTTCCAGGAAGGATAGTAAAAACCTTGGTGGACTAAGAATTTTTCTATTTTTTAATTTGCAGCCCAGGCACAGGATTTGAGATTGTGTGGACTCTTTGATAGAAAGTCTGAATTTTCTGATGCAGACATCACACAAACACATCTATTAAGTGTCCTATTTGTTCCATCAGCTAAAATTAGAGACAAAATCTTGATATACAGTTAGTTGGATGAACCTAGCATGGTAGTTCTTATGGCCTTAAAATATGCAATGCACAGAGTGACTTAAGGAAATGTCCTTGTCATAGTTTGCTGTAAGCAGTATGTTAGAATTAGCGCAAGGCATGTTCAGGGTTCAGTTCAATAGTTACTCCGTTACTATTCTATTTACTGATATAGTCATTCTCACTAAAACAAAACAAAACAATACAGGAGCCTGGAAGTACATAGCATTAACCAAATCCATTTTTTAGATATAGGAAATACGAATGAAGACAGTAACTGTCTTGTCTAAAAAGCAATACAATATCCTAACTTTCATCAGACATAAGGGGAAGAAAGAGCCAATTTCTGCCAGACATAAACAGTGTGTTTAATGTTTTAGCAAAATATTTATTCTCTGCTCTACTGTGTAACCTTAATGAAGGAACCCAACTCCTTTTGAGGGTCATGAACCAATTATCTTCTGCCTAAAGGTCACAAAACAATAACAAATGAGCAACACCAAACACAGGAACCATATAGCAATTTCAGAGATCAAAGTGGTAGCTGTATTTCCTCAAGGAGACCTTAACAAATGCTCACCACTAGGATCTTTCCGGAAGATTGTGTTCATGACTGTGGCATGGAGTTTCACCTGATCCCACTCTTTCATCATTAGTCCAGAGGTCACAAACCGATCTGTCAGTCTATCTGCTATGAGCTGGAGCCTATGGAAAGGGAAAGGAAGTAAGGAAAGCCACAATTTTTTCATTACCGTAATGGGATACATAATTGTATCTTCATAACCCTGCGAGGAAAAATACATAAAACTGTTGTTACTAAAACAACAGATGTTGCATTTGCAGCCTGCCATTTCTTCAAGGTAGGGAGATATCAGTGGGGAAAGTTGGAATTGGCGGGTCTGGAGGACAGAACAAAATGTTTCAGTCACATTTGTCACTGGGCTTAGAATACAAGGCAAGCCTAGATAAGGGATCAATCATTGGATGAGGTGACAAAACTATGTTCTTAAGACCAAAAATATACTGACCCCACCTGAAGATGGCTTGATATCATGCTAAAAACAATTTTTATCTTGTTCCATGTACAACTTTGTAGTGTGGAAATCAGAACCTTGGCCAAGGATGCTTTGTCTGAGATAAAGAAATCACCTCTGAATCACAAGCACTTCTTCAAGTCATGCTGGCACCTGGCACTAATCGTCTCCAGTGACAGAGGTGATAAAACAATGTAGCTGGGAACTGTCAAAACCTTGCTTAACCCTAGCAATACAACACCTTCCCCTACCCTACAATGCAGACATTTCTAGTACAATGTAGTGCACAGGCAGGTCATCATACAGGATCCTTTTATTTGGGTGTGCACATCACATTCATTTTGGAATTAACCTGCAGCACACAGCCACAGGGTGGAGCTTTATTTGGACATGTTTGTTTTCTGAGCATTGCCAGAATAACCCGAAACATTTACAGTCAAGTGTTAAGATGTATTTAGAGACAAGTCAGATGCATCGTTTTTTGTTTATTCACTGCCAAGCATAATTGAACCCATTTGGTTAAATCTGCTGTGGTACAGCTCAGCTGCATGGTTTATCCGGGGATGCTTTCCAAGGCTGGTGCTTATGAATGAATTATTCTGCCTTACGCCATTTAAAGCACAGAGTGATGGAATTCAGACAGAAGGAAAACATGTGGTCACCATATACAGCAGCTCTCCTCACCATTTCAGCTCCAGCTTGAGATAATAGTTCTCCACAGGAAAAGTGGAAGGACAGAAAGTGATAGAAAAGAGGCAAAGCAATGCTCCCAGTTTAGAGCGCCTTCCCAAAAATGAGCAGTTGACCAAAGCAGCTAGAACTGTATAGAGTTGCCGTGAGATCTAAGCTGTCTCTGATGACATCAATCATAATGAACTATGTTGCTTCTATAAGTGTAAATATATATATATATAAAGAGAGGGGGGGCAGGGGGACTGGAACAGATATATACCCAATGCCTGAGCCAAAAATCCACCTATATCTGTAAGCAATATAGTTGTGGCCATTTCTAATCCAGATCATTGTCTGCTTGAGTTTATTAATTACATCTTACATTTAGCCACTGCCCGTGGGGGCGGTGGCACTATGACTGGGCCCGCAACAAACAAACTTCGTGACGAGTTCCCCCACTTTTTTTCGAAAAAGAAAAGCACATCATCTTAAAGGCATCAGCTTAATTCCAGTTCTGATTACAACTGAACGTTTCTGAAAGGTCAAATACGGGAATCAGGAAGTTCAATAAGTGTACAGGAACTTGTCCCTGCTAGAACATACAAGTAATCTCCCCACACAAAAGTGTGATGATTCATATTTGTGCTAACTGCAAGCTAAATGTGTGCACTACGGGATGAACACATTTCTAAAGCCCTGTAGCTCTTCAGTATGTTTTCTTCCTTGAAAGGACTGAGCAAGATTCATAGCACCATGGACAGAGAACATTCATTAAAACCAAACATTCCTGCTCATTAAAATGGAGATCATCACACAAATGGGAAGTCTTATACAATCTTGTCACTAAGTCCATTAGCAACATAATTTGCCAGATAGCTCATCCCTTTCCAGCTATAAGTTGCCACCTTGGCCCTTTAGGTCTTACTCAGAGATGGAACTGTAATAAGGTTATTCCCTCTCCCTCTCTGGTCACCATTTGCTTGACAATCCTTGATGAGCTAACGCTACAGCCTGCTAGCTTTGAGCTGTCCCTTTGAAGCAGTTACTGGCCAATTTCTAGTCTTACTGATTGAATCTTATGTTTTGCCCCTCATCATTTTATTTCTGGTGATACATCAGTGACTTTTAAAATTAGCGATGACAAATGAAAGAAGTATCATCACAGATGATACTAAAACAAATTAACAAAATAGCTCAAGTGAAAATGGTGCTTTATTATGTTATAAAATTAATCAAAGAAATGAGACAAATTAAAATGAATTACGAAGTCTTTGCTACATGGGAACCATCAGAGCATAACCTTATTTCACTGTCTCCTCCCACCCCACAGTCTAAACACAGTCTCCAGCATCACCAAGGCAAAGGAGGGAAATGGGAACTCTTATGCTTTGGGAAATCAACTATTCAGAAGCAAACAAAAATCAGAAAGGATATTTGCTTCTCACATTGCCATATAAAGGGTGGAACAAGAACTTATTTTATAATCCTAGGTGTTGAAAGAGTTGGTTACTTTTCTTAAGGTATCATAGTAACTAATATGTTACTATTAGTTACTAAACTCATGGAATCTACTGGGTATATCTATTAAATCCAAGCGCCTTAGCTTTCATATCAACCCAAGTATGTATGTCCTGGTAGCACAGAATCCAGTTAACGGGTAGTGAGAGCTATGAAGCAATGGACACTTGGGCTTTGAAACTGTAAAATCCCAAAGTAATCTGTCTCTACCACTGATCCTACTGATCAGATTCCTTGTAAGGCAGAAAGCTAAAGCAAATAAAAACATGGTAGTCCTTATTTTAACAAAAGCTGAAGATTAATTTGAAATGATACACTAAAATCTTGTTTATTTAATTTTGCTGCAACTATTTACTCTGATGCTTCTTTTCAGGAAACCACAGATACATTTCAAAGGGAAGAAAGAAAGAAATTGAAACATTCAATATACATTCAAATATACATTTGAAATATACATTTGAAAAGAAAACAAAAGGAATGGCCTGGTCTATATTTAAACTTTGGTTTCTTAGAGAAGGTAGTGACAACACTGAATACAAACTAAATGAACATTCATACTTTGCAAATAGGCAAAGAGCATCACAAAATTGTGATAACAATGTGACTTAGCAGTCAGTTGCAAAGACAGGGGCCACATTCTCGCAGTTTAGCCATCTAGACAAGTCTGAATGGGTTCAAGCAAAGTTTTCAGCTTGCATGCTCCCCCTTCCCCTCTCTGCCTTCCATGGGGCCAGGACTTCAACAGCATTTAGTTTCACTTTTAAAGAATTCTGGCTCAGCACCAGCATGTGCATCAGAGATCCTAAAAAAAAAACTATGGCTAGCCACATAGCAAGCAAACTCCAAACCATGGGTCATGAAAGTGGGTTTTACAATGAACCAAGGTTTGTTTTAAATCAGAATCTGTGGTTCAAACCTAACACTTTAAATGTGAAATAAAACTCTGCTGAAGTCGTCTTGCTCCTGACTGCATGGAAAGAGAAGATGGGAGGGGGGAGTGCACAAGCCTGATGCTCTGTTTGGGCACTTTCAGGGTCACCCACATATGTGTGAACGCAGCCACCAGCTAGCAGGGGTAAGAATTTCAACCCCATATTTAAATTAGAACTAACGAGAGTGGAAACAGTTTCTAGTTTTCAGAAGTATCAACATTAAGCAGAAACTGCACAGGTGGATACTCCATAATTATCTCTCTCAGTAATACTACTTGTTATCAGCCCAAGGGCAAACTCATTACAGACCCTTCTCTTTACCTACAAAGAGGTTGCAATAACCTTATCTCCTGGATAGCTTGTGGTATATTTTCTGGCAGAAACAATCAAACCCAGAGGTTGAGAGCCTTCTCAAGAGTCATTATATTACTTTTGCAAATTCATATATAATCACTTTGTGGAATGAAAATGATTTTTTTTAATTAAAAAAGAAGGGGGAAACTTACTTGTTAGAGCCATCCTTCATATGAACTTTTGCATAGAGAACATCCATCATGGCTGGATCATCATTCATGTACTCTACACCTGCTACTTCTACAGTGAGTGGTTTGCCTCCAGCAATTGAGCTGTTTGAAAGAGGGGAAAGATTTGGCAACTGCATAATTCACTTGGTCAGCTGCACTAGGCTACACCAATTCACCAACACAGTTTCTCCTCCACTTTTTAATGGAGGTTTATGGATTACTTCAATTAAAATTATATATTTTAATGCGGCTGTTATTTCAGTAGTTTGATGCATATTTAATTTTCATTATTTTGTTTTAAGCCTTTGTATGCTGCTTGAGAATACTTTTTGGAACAGAAAATAATACAAAATAAAATGATCATCGGCAGAATTCACAACTATATCCTGTCCCCAGCAAATTCCCCAGAATACCTACCCTTTCTTCCCTAGAAGACAGAATGGATTGTTCATCACTATTGACTTTTGCCCTTTTTTCTGCTGTTTCTAGAATCATATAAACCTAACTTAGTTCCATTAATTTCAATGTGTCTGCTCTGAGCACGTTAGCCGACTACAACCCAATGGATTCAACTCACAACAATCTTACACTATAGAACATTGAATCATACAGAGCAATGCCTCCAGGCCTCCTAAGCCCCAACAGATTTATGTCTCATTGTGAAACTTATAATGAAGACATTCAGATTATTTTGCCACATAGAGTGTCACAGGCTGTATTAATGGTCCCATCAAATGAAATGTTGTATGATCATATGAGGGTCAGTTCATATGAGGTCATCACAGGGATTCATTGAGATAGAGGAAAATTAAATCCTGTCATTATTAATGTAGATTGCAAGCTTTACATGCAGCAACTTCTAGATACTATACAGCACAGTGCTAGTAATATTTAACTGTTAAAGAGTACAAACAACTGTAGCATCTTTTCCATACATAATAAACTGCCAAATACTGTCAAATATTAAAGCAAAGGATGAGAATTTTATCTATTTCTGTGGATAGTATCAGAATCCATGCAGATAGCTGCTCCCTGAATAACGCAGACAAAGGCCTTTTCTCTGACAATTTAAACAAACAATCTAGAAAAGCACGTTGCTCATTGTGCTGCCAAGTCCTCATCACACACTAATGTCAACTTGGTGACACACACACAAGCGTCCTGTGATGCAAAACTGGGTCCAGAAGTCCTCAATTTTTAGTGGCCTCAATAAGCCAGTTCAGTTGTGACTGCCACCAATCCTCCTGCTATGGATAAAATCTATGCCATTGCACTTTGGAGGCATTGAGCAGTGAGAAATTTGGCTGCATTAGAGTGACTCCGAAGCTCAGCAAAGCAGGGCCAAGCCCTCTCCATCCACCCCTTATGCCTTAGGAGAGAGTGGTGGGAGGCTCAAGCCTGCAGTCACAAAAGGAATGTAAAGTAAGAGATGGGTAGGGGCTCATCTCTGACCTTGCTTTGGGCTTCCGGGGCACAGTAAGGCTTCTTGCCACTTCTGAGCACCTCCCTGATTTCAAGTGCCTCTGAAGCCCAAAGCAAGGTCAGAGACAAGCCCCTGGCCATAACTCACTTTGCATTTGCCACCAATGTGCTTACCTGCTAAAAAAAATATGCTCATCATTTGCAAGCTCATCTGCGGGTCTCACCCTGCAAGCTAGGAATCATTCTGCTAAAAAGTCCTTGCAAAAAGATTGGAAGTGGAAAAAATATCGGGGGGGGGGGGATCATAGTTTCATAGCTTGCTAATTCTACAGCTCAAAGACTATGGTTTTGTGTAGTAGATTATGACAACTCCTGCACTGTAGAATCACTGATCTACTGTATTAGAGCTTATTTTTTTAATACAGTTCAATACTCTCTACCTTCGACTTGTTTCGGAAATTAATCTCAGGGATATACGACCATTGGGTGGGGGGAGCTATTTGCCAAAGGCTCTGCTAGTGAAAAAGTGCCAAGGCAATCACATTTTTCATGCACTTCCAGGAGGGGAGAATCAATCTTTGTTCATGTACAAATAAAACCAGCTACTGTGAGAGAGAGAGAAATGCTAGGTTATAATAAGATTGCAAGCAAAGAGATGCTTCTAAATGGTTTATATCAAGAACAAAGTGCAATTAGGTCCTTGTATTGTTTTGTGTAGGCTTTTCACTTACTCCTAATAATGGTTTGCTGAACTGCTGCAAGCTGGGATACCCCACACCCCTCTAAGTTACCCTGGCCCTAGAACCAGTACTTCTTTTTGAGTGCTGCAGCTGGATTATGGCATCCCAAGTGCTTTCAATTTACTCACTCAACAAAGTCTTCTTTACACCTCTGTAGGAGTTCTTGGGCCTTCTGGATTTCCTGTTCATTCAGGAGTACCAGCGTCCCAATAGTCAGATGGAGCTTGGCAGGGTTCTGGAACAGGCTACTACTGACACCATAGTCCTGTAGAAACATTGAGAAATTCATTGAGTGACATCAGAAATTCATTTTTCTCTTTACTTTTGCATATCTAGGAATCTGTGTCGCTTTTAAGGTATAGAGCAGATCTCTATTACAAGCGAGGCTTTATGTTCTAAAAAATGTGGAGCAGCTATTGGTTCTTTATTCCAATCTCACAGATTTGTAACCAGGTACCTGTAGCATCTTAGGGAGACTTATTCAACTGCTATCTCCATCTTGTAACTGAGTCTTCAAGGTAACCTCATAGCTAAACATCCAGCCCAATTTTACTTTATTTCTTTTTCCTTCTCTCCCAATCCCCTATTTTGTGTAACATCTTGCCTAATTGAAGAATTCTCGAGAACTCAATAACTTTTTGTAATGTTTTGCTTGCTTCTGAGAAAGGTATTAACCAACTCCAGATTTTTGAAGTAGAACGTTTGATGTTCAGAATTCAAAATGGGTGACATGCAAAATTAAAGTCATATAATAACATGGCAATAGCAGCAAATAGGAAATATTATTTTTTTAAAAAACAGCAAACTAAAAAATGCCCAGATAAATGTATTCAAATTACATTACATAATTTCCTACATTTTGCTGGCTGCTGCATTTTAAAATCAGTTAGCTCTTATCCTCATAGCTGCTTTAGAAAAGGTAATTTCCCTACAGGTAATTGTCTTGTCTCCATTCAACCACATTGTTAATTTTTACATTTCAGAAACCCAAGTGATGCTGCACAGCAGGGGGCCAGCTAATGACTCCCTTTCTTATATGCAAGTCTTATTTGAAGGAGCAAAGTGGCAGATCATTTGCTACTCCCCGGCCACATATACAGTGATGCAGGCTGTAGAATCAACACACCCTTACTCTCATCTTGTTTGATGCCTCCCTATGCGCTGCACACATGGGAGCTGCTAGCAATATGTATCACACTGGAATAGCTATATGCCGGGGCTAGGCGTGGCACCAGCAAGGCTGGGGCGCATGTGTGTCAGATGACAGTGCATGGCAGGAGACACCGGGTGATGCAGGAAGCGTTGGAGTAGCAGGGGGCTCTGCCACACAAGGACCCTGGAATTATGATGACTAAATGTATTACCAACCCTTCATCAGCAGGTCCCACAACAGTAACAACAATTTAAAATTTGGTATTAAAAATGTTAAAAAGAAATAATAGTCACAGAATAGGATGGAAACACACATTTCAGGTGCCAAAGGCCGGGGTGAATTGGCGTGTCATCAGCATTCACTGAAAGCTGTATAGTGAAGTCACCAGATGTATCTCTGTGAAGAGGGAATTCCACACCTTAGGGGTTGCCAAGGAGAGAATGCCCTTTCCCCAGGCCACTGCCCCCTGAATTTCTGAGGGTGGCAGAACTACCAGGACCGCCCCCCCCCCGATCTTAACACCTGAGAGGGTCTGTAGAGAAGGAGGCAGTCTTTCAGCTATTTGGGGCCTAAGTCGTTTAGGGCTTTAAACACTATCTACACAGGGAAATTAATTTTCAACAGTGAATGAACTGTACCAACTGGAAGAAATATACCAACTGGAAGAAAGACCAAGAACATTGATTTAGGGCCCTACATCCTCCAAGAGTCAGGAATCACTATAGCATATCTATTCAGTGTAAAAATAGATCCAAGTATAAGGAACGCAGAGGTCTTGATCCCTGAATAGTAGAAGTTTGACAAAGGCTTTTTCTTGTTTCTAAGCTTTTAGAAAGACTGCTCCAATTTGAGTTTTGTCAGCCACCTTTATACACAGAAACTTTTAAATCATTCGCTGAAATCTTCCAGAAACAGAAAGTTCCACAGCAGTCTATGCCAACCTGGTGTCCCCAAGATGTTTTGGACTATAATTCCCATCAACCTCAGACAGCAAGGCGATGATGGACAGGCCTGATGGGAGTTACAGTCCAAAACATCTGAACAGAACCAGGTTGGCAAAGACTGCTTTAAACAAACCATTGTATTGTTCCATATCTTATGACTCCAGTTATGATCCTGCAGACTCCAAGACTCACTGAACATGGGCAATAATCTGCAGACAGAGCTAGGAATCCGTTATCAATGCTGCCCATGTTATTGGGAAAGCGTTACTACCGTCACTGCTACCTTCCAGGCCCTCACAGACAAAGGAGGCCAAATTGATAATATTCAATTCAATTCAGTTAATGTCAATTCCACCTTTCAACGGGAATGCTCAAAGCAGCTAAGAACAAAAGCTCTCTCTCTCCCATTCTTTCCATTCTGCCAACTGGTACAAAAACAAAGCTGAAAAAGGTCCTCATTCTCTTCTGCATGAAAGCTTATTTAGGATATACTGCAAAGACAAAGTGGTTGTACTTATGAGCTTTCTCTTCAAATATGGGACAAGCCCCAGAAGCCATTTAGTCCATAATGAACACAGGGAGCCTCAGAAGCTGGGGAGGCAGCAGGGGGCAGGTTTGTTATGTTCCAACTGTTGACAGCAGTTCATTTTAATTTCTGTAATGCTCACAGATATGATGTGCACAAAATATATTAACACAATAAATAAGCAGCTTTTAGGAAAAGAGGCATATTCAATCTAATCCCACGGGGGAGGGGAAAGGAGATTTCATGTTATAATTACCAGCAACCTAATCAGCTGAATTTCTTCTCTACAGCTTTCCAGGAATCAGTGGTATCTTACATGCTCTGACAGCTTCCTATTCTGATGCTGCACATCACTAGGAAACACCTGAACTAGCTTCGCAGGAGGAAGCCCCATTAATAGCAGAGAAGATCCATAACTCCTTCCTATAAATTATCTGCAAATATCAAACCAACTGCTTCTCATCTTTTACTACATTTTCAGAGCTCTAGTGATTGTGGTCTAAATTGGGCATAGGCAAACTCGGCCCTCCAGATGTTTTGGGACTACAACTCCCATCAACCCTGACCAATGGTCCTGTTAGCTAGGGATGATGGGAGTTGTAGTCCCAAAGCATCTAGAGGACCGAGTTTGGGGATGCCTGGTATAAACAGAACAATCCTAAGTAGGTTTACCCAGAAGTAAGACCTACTGAGTTCAATGGATCTTACTCCTTACCTGAAGGCGCAATCTTAATTCCTGGCAAGGGAACAGCAGGCTGAACAGAGAAGGAGAGCTGCCACCACATCTGAAGCTCTGCTGCTCACACTGGCCATGGAGGAAAGGGAAGGAGTATTTCACCTAATTTACGCTGTGCCAGCTTCATGTGACAACAGCAGAGAGACCTGGATCAAGTCCCTCCCTAGCTGCAGGACCAGTTCAGGGTCCAGCAAATTCATGGCTGGTCCAACTTCTCTCCACTGCCATTCCACCCCATATTGAGCCCTTAAACTGACTATTACCAACGGGAACACCACTAGCCATAGCATGTCAACAACTCACATTGTTGATGGTCAGAGACAAACAGAAGGGAAATCCTCCATATACCCTAAATGCATCCCAGCAGTGGAGGTTGGGGGTTAGGATTGTTCTGCAAATGTGTTTTAATCTTAACAATTTAACCCCATGACGCTTCTGAGTGGACTTTTCCCAAGAAAAGCCTGCAGCAAAGTTGCAACAGGCTGCTCTAGCTTGCTGAGCCCTTGCTGTTTTGCTTAGATGCTTGCCTGCTTTAAGACAAAGAGCCTTTAAATTACTTGTTCAAACTCCCAGTTCATAATTTACTATTTAGTAATCAATGCAGTGCCATTGAATTGCATTGATTTTTCCTTTACATCTGCACCCAGCAATATCTTCAAACAACCCCTGTTGTACTTGAGCATCCTAACAGCAGCAACAACAACAACAATAAAAAAGCAAGTCAGAAGCATATCTAGAACAACTCTTAAGTAAAGCAAAGTTAGAGAAGAAAGTTCGCTCACAAAAATCTGGACTAAACCAGACTTACAAGCTGTATGCAGTGGTACCTCGTGTTAAGTACTTAATTCGTTCCGGAGGTCCGTTCTTAACCTGAAACTGTTCTTAACCTGAAGCACCACTTTAGCTAATGGGGCCTCCCATTGCCACCGTGCTGCCAGAGCCCGATTTCTGTTCTTATCCTGAAGCAAAGTTCTTAACCTGAAGCACTATTTCTGGGTTAGCGGAGTGTGTAACCTGAAGCGTATGTAACCCGAGGTACCACTGTATCTAAATTCTATTTTCTTTCACCATTTAACTTGACACAAACTAATTTGGAGCCTCAACATTAGAATAATGGAAAGCTACCATTAACACTAGATTACTTCTCAGATACTTGTCACAATTTTTTCTAAGCTTTCTTAGATGTAAGTTTCCAGCAGTAAATGCATCAGTTATATTGTGATAAAGCAACAAAGGGATATAAAGTGATTGGAATGGTTCAGAGCCACATGTGTACAATGACTTTCTATTACTATCTATGGGATTGTGCCTTGTGTGCGCATAAACCCAATGAAATCTTTGATGGCCACCAAACAGTTAAAGCAGTCCTCTTGTATTCCATAAAATGCAATGTATAATGTTGGTACCATACGATCACTGTTATTATTAATGACTCAGAGAAGACGAACATTCAATTCAGCTGGACACATTGGTGCAAACTCAGCTTGCTTCATGTGACAGAAGGACAATGTAATTAGATATTATTATCTATGCAAATAGTGGTTAGATTTCATTTAAAAAGCAATTGTCTGTAATAGGTCTGCACATATGGTAGAAACAGAACACAATGTATCCATAAGTACAATCAAATTACTAAAGTATGAAGTAACCAGTAGTCCAGTGCATTCTGCCTCTTCTCAATGTGTGTACTTAGGGTCACAGTTTTTATATTGTTGTAGGATGAGTTGTACTCTGGGGCTCACTCTTAAAATGCTAAATTGAATTTAGAACTCCACTAGAAGCTAAAAAGATGCTCTAGCTTTTACAGCCCTTATAATTCGGCTTAGATACTTGCCTGCTCTGAAAAAGAAACCTCTTAACTATAATAAATAATAATAGTAATAATAATAATAATAATATATTTATACCCTGCTCATCTGGCTGGGTTTCCCCAGCCACTCTGGGCAGCTCCCAACAGAATATTATTGATAATAATAAAGTGATAAAACAGCAAACATTAAAAACTTCCCTAACAGGGCTGCCTTCAGATGTCTTCTTAAAGTCAGATACAGTGGTACCTCGGGATGCGAACAGAGCGTAAGACGCGACAGCGCATCTGTGTCTCGCGTTTCGCCGCTTCCGCGCATGCGTGTGATGTCATTTTGACCATCTGTGCATGTGCGAGCGGCGAAACCCGGAAGTAACGCGCTCTGTTACTTCCGGGTCGCCGTGGAGCACAACCCGAAAGCGCTCAACCTGAAGCGTATTTATCCCAAGATATGACTGTAGTTGTTTATTTCCTTCCCACCCACAAGCCATTTCCAATTCAATTTTAAGTTCAATTATTTATTTTTGATGTGGGATAACTACTCAAGTTTGCCAAGGAATAATTTGCCCAGAATCATGAGAAATGTCCCAGAATCAAAGTCAGCCTAAAAGTTCATCAGAACTATGGAGCTAAGTAAATGCACTGAGAAGAGACAGTGTGTGCTGATGGGTTGCATCCAACAATGGCAGAAAGCGTTTTTGCTCATGCAAGTCTGGGTAGCCAATTCTTGTTGAGCCACTTAAGTCTCACATTTTCCCTCCCCAAAGCTGTTGAGGAACTCCCTGGATAGGCTGGTAAGGGCAGTATATTCAAAACTGAATATACTATCCAACATCTAAGAAACTTTTTTTTTTTTTAATGGAAGCACATTCCATTTAAACCAATATCATTTATTTCACATTCATGTTTAGGAGTCGCGCATCAGACTCTTAAAATACTGAGTTTCAGATATCCACTACTGCTGCCTTCCTAGCACTGCCCTCTGCTGGACACAAAGTAATGGCAAGCCTTTATAACCCTATAAATAACCATAATTGTTCCATATAGTGGGAAATACTAAAGGTTGAAGGCTTAGAAACAGATGAAGGAAATTAAAATTTGAAGGAAAGAGAAAATTGAGAATAAGGCTGCTGAGGCTTTCCCTGACAATGTTTTCTTCATACTTACATTATAGGAAAAAATAACTACAAATAAAAATGTTAGTTCCATGAACATTCTTATTTCAACATGGAAGTTACATTTAAAACAGCCAAAATAGCTCATGGTCAGGGATGGTGATAGTTGTAGTCCAACCAAATCTGGAGAACCACCAATTCCTCACTCATGATTTAAAAGAACTCGGGAGACCATAGTAACTTTATCATCATAGTAGCTTATATAATCTATGGCATGGAAGGTACCTCTGCTGATTTTGGGATTCCCCCTTCCACTCTCAGCCCTCCATTCCACATCCTCCTCCACTGAGCAAGGCCCATAAGCCCTTGAAAGAGGTTTAGGGAGAGATGCCAGGAAGACCACCTTTTCCATCCAACAAGCGACCAAGAACTTCCACCCAGCCAGCCAGCCAGCTGGAAGTGCCATTTTTACAATCTGTTAACAATCTATAACAGGGCCTACTTTCACTTATGGCAGTCTCATGCAATTTAGTAACTGTCAGATGCCATCTACCAAAAACTGTACTTAGTACAGTGGTACCTCGGGTTACAAACGCTTCAGGTTACAGACTCCGCTAACCCGGAAGTAGTACCTCGGGTTAAGAACTTTACCTCTACCGGGTTAAGAATGGACCTGCAGAACAAATTAAGTTCTTAACCCGAGGTACCACTGTACTTGTATTATATCCTCAAATTAAATTTCCAAATTAGAACAAACAAAGCCATGACCAGCTTTAGTCCCTTGAAAAAGACTATTCCATTGATTGCATTGCAACAATTGATTATTGCCTTCTGAAATGTTTCTGAATAATGACCACCAGGTGGACATACCATAACAAATTGTCATATGTAAACTTCTATGAAAAGACTGCTTAATGGTTGGGGAATGAATATTGAAGTTCTGGTGCTCAAAGAAGGCAATAAATCTGATTCGAACAATTGCTGTCAATTAGCCTGTTAGACAGACAACAGCTCAAGACACCACCAGTTTCTTTACCAGTAAGTTGCAAGATTGGGCCAATTTAAACAACATAAGTAATTTCAAAAGAGCTGGTGGTGTTCAGGAAAGAGAATGATCAGTGTTTTGTACTAAATCACCCAATTAGCAGATATACTAAATATACAAAAAACCACAATCATTTGTAGCTTTTCATGATGTGCCTCCGCCGCTTGTCAGGATCAACTGAAATAAACTGTTGTTGAAATTATGGAGCAGAAACACAGAGGTTGTTGTTGGCCTTCATTACAAAAATCATACAGATACTGCAAATGCCATATAATCAGATTTGGGGATACATATCACAAATGGTTATTTGATGGGTGTCATCAAATTAGGTCACAGCTTTAATTATTTGGAGGTTGAATTTTCAAAAAGAGGTACCTACAATTAAGTATGGGGTGGGTATTCAGTAGGGAGTGCCTTCTAAATAAGGCACTCTCAGTTCCTCAGTGAAATCTCCCTTGTCTCATATTAGAACTCACATTCTGCCTCCGTTATTTGCAGCCAAGATCTCCATCCTCCCCTTTCTGCTTTTAGGCAAGGGTAACAGGTAAAGAGGAGCAGAGGCAGTTTATGGTAGTGTGACCTATGTAGTTGCACTGGGAACCACAATGCAAGGAGCTCCAAAACAATGCTATAGAAGCCAGAGGCAGGGGGCACCAAATTTTAGTGTCACACAGGGCACTGCTGAAATCTGAGAACCCAAAGTCTGCTACTGAAGGGGAGTGGTGGAATTGCTTGCCTGTTTAAGTCTTCTATCAAGTACTCACCTTTAAGAGTGTTAAAAATGCCTTGATATCTTCACACGTTATCCTTTCTTTTGTTAAAAGTAAAAGAAAATCTAATCTGTTGAAGTATATATGAGGAAGCGAAGATCTGGGGTTTGATGGTGATAGAAGAAGTGGAAATGATCTTGGCCACAATTTTCAAAAGTTCTGTACTTGGATAGAGACAGGATTTATGCCTGAAGTTTTTGTAATGCCATTTTTTTATGTATTGCTGTAAATTTCGAAATGGATAAAAACACATTACCAAGAAAATATTTCCTGGGGGGAAAAGAATAAATCTGGAAATAGCTGTAGATCCAAGTACAAACCTAAAATGCAGATAATTTAATATTGGTTCCCAGAATCTAAGCAAATGGAGCCCAGACCAGGGCAAATAAAATAAAAAAATTAAATAGGCAGAAGGCTCATTTATCTAATCAAGCCATAGATTCTATGTAACACTGCCCCATGGTTTATTTAGCATTATGTGAATGGTCAGAAGTGAGTGTTGGGCTTGCGACCTACTCAACCCCTCTTTCGTTGGTGCAGTTGTGAGGAAGAGCTTAGTGGTATCCACTTACTGGTTTAAACTAATAAGAGTCTTTCATTTTATCTGAAATGGGAACTCTAGTTTAAACTGTGGTTCGATGAAATGAGACATCATCACAAACTGGTTTGAAAGTGTCTTGCTGCAATTAATAAACCATAGTTTAAACTCACAGCAGTTAGTAATTTTGGGCCATAACAACAAACTGTAGTTACTTTAAATTAGGAATCAGATGTTTCCAATCTTCTTGCTGCCTTTGGAGAAATCACCTTTAAAATGAGTTTACTGAGACAGGGTTTCCTTTATATACAATAGATGAGCTTACTGTGCGCATGGGGCTAGGTTTGAAATACAGTGGTACCTCTGGTTAAGAACTTAATTTGTTCTGGAGGTCTGTTCTTAACCTGAAACTGTTCTTAACCTGAGGTACCACTTTAGCTAATGGGGCCTCCTGCTGCCACCGTCGTGCGATTTCTGTTCTCATCCTGAAGCAAAGTTCTTAACCCAAGGTACTATTTCTGGGTTAGCGGAGTCTGTAACCTGAAGCGTCTGTAACCTGAGGTACCACTGTACTGTACTTGATTTACTCAATAATTCGCGGAGAAAGCCTTTGAAAACGTTTCTTGGAGCTTTATGAAGAAGAATCTACAGGGGATGGGGGTAGGCCAAGGTTTTGAAAATGGTATAGGTGCAATTTACTCAGAACAAAAGGCAAAATTAATTGTGAATAATGTAATGACAGAAGAGTTCAAGATTGAGAAAGGGACACGACAAGGTTGCCCAATTTCCCCACTGCTTTTTATATCGGTCCTTGAGGTTTTGCTAAACATGATAAGAAAGGATCAAGAGATCAAAGGTATACAAGTGGGAGTTAAACAATATAAATTGAAAGCATTTGCTGATGATCTAGTATTGACTCTACAGGAACCAGAATCTAGCACAAAGAGGGTATTGGAATTGATTCAAGAATTTGGGCAAGTAGCAGGTTTTAAGCTGAACAAGATAAAAACTAAGGTCTTAGAGAAAAACTTAACTGTAAATGAGAGAGAGAAATTTCAGGAAGAGACAGGATTAACATTGGTTAAGAAAGTGAAATATTTAGGGGTTAATATGACTGCTAAAATGTAAATTTATTTAAGGATAATTATGAAAAATGTTGGATTGAAGTGAAAAAAGATTTAGAAATATGGTCAAATTTGAAGTTATCATTACAGTGGTGCCTCGCAAGACGAAATTAATTCGTTCCGCGAGTTTTGTCGTCTTGCGATTTTTTTCGTCTTGCGAAGCACGGTGTCGGGAAAGTTTTGGAAAAGCTTCAAAAATCACCAAAGTCTTTAAAAACCTCAAAAAAAGGCTACCACACCGCGTTCTATGAGTTGCTCCTCGAAGTCAAGTCGCAACTGTATTAACGGTGTTAGGAAACAAACTTGCAAGACGTTTCCGTCTTGCGAAGCAAGCCCATAGGGAAAATCGTCTTGCGAAGCAGCTCAAAAAACAAAAAACCCTTTCGTCTAGCGAGTTTTTTGTCTTGTGAGGCATTCGTCTTGCAAGGTACCACTGTATTAGGCCGAATTGCAGTGATAAAAATGAATGTGCTGCCAAGGATGTTGTTCTTGTTTCAAACATTACAAATTTTGGATAAGATGGATTGTTTTAAGAAGTGGCAGAAAGATATTTCCAGATTTGTCTGGCAGGGCAAGAAGCCTCGAATAAAATTTAAGATATTAACTGATGCTAAAGAAAGAGGTGGATTTGCCCTGCCAGACCTAAAACTCTATTATGAATCAGCTGCTTTTTGTTGGCTGAGAGAATGGCTGCTACTTGAAGACACTGATGTGTTGGACTTAGAAGGTTTTAACAACATATTTGGTTGGCATGCATATCTGTGGTATGATAAGGTGAAAGCACATAAAGCATTTAAAAATCATATTGTTAGAAAAGCATTGTTTAATGTATGGATAAGATATAAAGATTTGTTAGAAAAGAAAACCCCAAGATGGTTGTCACCAATGGAAGCGAAGGCACAGAAAAACTCAATATGGAGGCCAAATGGCCGAAATATTGGGAAATTCTGGAACAAGAGGGAGACAGACTAAAATTGCAGAGCTTTGAAAAATAGAAAAATAAAGTGCGAGATTGGCTCCATTATTATCAAATAATGGAGGCATATAATTTGGACAAAAAAGTTGGTTTCCAGGTGGAAAAATCAAAATTGGAAACAGAACTGTTAGATTCCAAAATCAAGAATTTGTCAAAAATGTATAACTTGCTATTGAAATGGAACACCCAGGATGAAACGGTGAAATCAGCTATGATTAAATGGGCACAAGATGTCGGACATAATATAATGATGGCTGACTGGGAACAGTTATGGACCACAGGTATGAAATTTACGGCATGTAATGCCCTAAGAGAAAACTTAATGAAAATGATTTATAGGTGGTACATGACACCAGTCAAGCTTGCAAAAATTTACTATTTGCCCGAAAATAAATGTTGGAAATGTGATGAGACTGAAGGCACATTCTTTCACCTTTGGTGGACATGCCCAAGGATTAAGACATTCTGGGAGATGATTTATAATGAAATGAAAAAGGTATTTAAATATAACTTTCTGAAGAAACCAGAGGCCTTCCTCCTGGGCATGGTCGGCCAATTGGTGCCAAAGAAGGATATAACTTTTTTTATGTATGCTACAACAGCAGCAAGAATACTCATTGCGAAGTATTGGAAGACACAAGATTTACCCACCCTGGAAGAATGGCAGATGAAGTTGATGGACTACATGGAATTGGCGGAAATGACTGGCAGAATCCGAGACCAGGGAGAAGAGTCGGTGGAAGAAGATTGGAAAAAGTTTAAAGACTATTTACAGAAATATTGTAAAATTAATGAATGTTAGAAAAATGTTGGAATGAAGTTATACGGCTTCAGTAGAAATGTTATAAGGAATTAAGTATAAATAGATTAACAGAGAATTAAAGGGAAAATAAGGTTAAAATGTGTTAACTTAATTATAGGATGGAAAGCAGAGGAAGATGGAAAGGAATTGCTGAAACAACTAAATAGAAGTGGAATACAAAAAGGGAGGTGTGAGGAGGTCATGGAAATAAGTGAATGAAAGATTGAAATTATTTGATGTGTTTTAAATTGTTTCTGTCTTGTTTTCTTAGTTTAAATTGTTTTTGTTTTGTTTTCTTAGTTTAAATTGTTTTTGTTAGTTTAGTGTTAGGTATTGTTTTTGTATTGTATTGTTTATTTTCTTTTTCTATGTATGTTCAATTTGTTGGAAAGTAATAAATATCATTAAAAAAAAAGATTTACTCAATAATTAAAGCCTTGATCAAATTGTGCTTTCCATCTTTCTGACTTTATTTGGGCATATATCATTACATTCACTGCTTTTGATTTATATGGTACTAGAATTATATGCTCCCTTGTTCACAGCAACTTCCATTAGCTTTTAGTTGTCTTAAACATGCTTCGTCCTTCCTGCTTTAACAGTTTGAGGACCGTAATGGAAATCAGCCTGCAACTTAACCTAAATAAGTGAAACCAACACAATCGCACATTGCCTCCATGCTCACCCCTATTTCTCCAGCCCTGTCTTCCACTGAACTTTATATTGTAAACTCATCAGAGAAGGAACCTGCCTCATCTGTTATGTAAAGTGTTAGGCACTCTGATTGTGCTATATAAAAATACTGACACTAACAAAGGGACAAACCCACAAGCTGCAAGTAGCAGAAGCTACCTGAGAAGTAAAATCAGTAAGGGCAGGGTCCTTTTTTACTGTGATGCTTTGATGAGAAAACTTAGTCCCCTGAGACATCTGCCAGGGCAAATTGAACTTGTACACTTGTATTCAAACTTTTATTCTTTCAAAAGGCAAGCTATATATTTTCTGTTCAAGCAGGCATCTTGAATTCAACTTATTTGTGTTAGATTTATTTTCCATGTTATCCAGCATGATATTTTTATGAATTTTGATTATAATTGCTGTTATTCTGATGTTGTTAAGGCAACCATAGCTTTCCTCTGAGAAAGAAATTTGTGGTTTGTATAAAAATAACTTATAATAAATATAAATGTTCCTTGACCCTCAGTACAAGTTGTCTGCTCAGTGTAAAAACTTAGATGGACAATGCTTATTAATTTTCATATTTTAATACACCCTTAATTTTCTAATGAAGCAAAAAAGAGGAAGAGTTATCTGCAGCATATACAGACGCATGAGACTACAGCAATATAAATGATGGATGTTCGGTTGCCATGGTAACTATTATCGTGAGAGGGAAAGATTCCGTACCATTGCTCAACAACCAGCAGAAATGTTAATCTCAACACATGATATTATTCCATTTTTTAAATAACATGGCTGTTAATCAGCCTCATTTGAATAGAGACATCATTAACTGACTGCTCTATTTTGAAGCTGAAAAAAGCAGCAAGAACAAACACATACAGCTTCCATAACTAGCACCATATTCAGGTTCTAAGCATCCTAAAAGCTCACCCGCTGCTTTGCACAGCTGTATATACTTTCATATCGTGCTACAAAGCATAGGTTTGCAAATATTGCTTTCTGGCACATCCCACTGTGAGATAAAGTGACATAAGGGTGGGATAACTGACCATGAAATGAATGAGAGACATATGCGAAAGCAGTATGTTTTTTTCCTACTAACTAGCAGCTGTGTATTTTATACAACAGAGTTTAGAGAAAAGTGTGGAAAAAATAATGTACCTCACAGACTCCAGTCTCTCTTGCAGTGACTTAATTCTAGGTTTTAAAAATGTGAAGACTATGAATTTTGACAAAGGGGATTATGTTGTCAGATTTCAAGGAATCCAATTAAACCCTCATAAAATACTGGAGTCACACATTCTGATGCACTATCAAATTATTTTCTCAGAATAGAGTATCAGTAGTTTGAAGTTGTTTTTTATCTGGCTGCACACAGAATTTCACCAGAAAGGTGCCAATACTATTCAACATGAAATGAAAATAGTGTGCCATAAATATATTGTGAGACTTACTGATCTCCAGATATATAGATAAATAATAGATAATAGATAATAAAAGGACTGGTTTGTCTGTAACTTTTAGGGATTTTCTTAAAATTTAGTTATATAGAGAGTATAAGTCTGTTTTTCCAGGAATACCAACATTTGAGGAACACTACACAGTTTCTGAAAGTGACTCCGTGTAAACTGGACGCACTTCTGATCCCTTCTGCACAGACAGGCCACAGAACTTAGCTTAGAGGTCCTGGAAGTAGCAAGGTGCCAGTGCTGGGGAAATACTTGCTTTAGTAAGGGAAACATCTTTCACTTCTTCATCACTAAAGGATGTGGGCAGCTTCAATGGGGAAATCCTGGATTTTATCTTTATAATGTGCGAATTCCAGGGACAAAATACAAATTGTATTTCTATGATCTCTCATGGCTTATCATCATACTTATTATCCCACCATATTGCTAACGTTGAGTATATCATCTCAGGTAATAGTGTTGTTACATATTTTTAATGTGTCTCCCGATCTAGACAAGCTCATGTAGCATTTTGCAACATTCTCTACTTATTTTTTAAACTCAGATTATTTATGAGTATTATCATGGCAACTTACGTTTGAGCACTTCTCCAACACCTCCTCTTTGAACTGTAGAAACTTTTCCTGGATTGCAAGTTGGTTGAGTGCAAATGACAGAAAGTGTGTGAAGGGTTGCTTCTTGCGGAAGCTCTCCACAAGAACATCAATTCGCGTTCGAGCTGAAATAATACCATTCCGGTGTTGTCCTGTGATCACTGGAAACAAGCAAAACAGAAGACAGGATTTATGACAGCTTGCTACATGTGCTCACAAAAGTTTAGAATTAATAACAAGATTTTCCACTTCCTAACAAGGTGAGAGCTATCTCAGATGAATACACAGGTCAGTGTTACTATCAAACTAGTGTTTTTAAAGTGTGAGATGAAGCTCCCTGGTTTTAATATATTAATATTTATGTATTACTAGAATCTAACCATTAAAATGTTTCTGTCCTTTAGTTCATACAATTTTTATTTCTCCTGATACAGGTTTGTATTTATTTATGTATACCTATTGATATTGCCAGGACTTTCTCTCTTATCAAAGTAGACTATTTTTGAGTCTCTTTGTTATAATAACTGATTCTACTTCCTCTGGAAACATTTGAGGTTTTCAGTTCACATTATGGGTGCACTGCAGAGTTTTGTCACTCGTTTTAGCCAAAGAGATTTTCGTGTGTGTTACTGTTATTACTGTGCAATGATTTGTGTAAAAGCAGTCCAAACACTGTATGAATAAAGTGTATTGTGTGGAAAATAAATATCTAATGTTACATGCAGAAAGTATACCGGTAATTAAGGGGAGGGAAATAAATAAATGGATAGCAAGCATGTCTGGTTCTTAAAAAAAAATGTCATGCTAACCATGGTACCTGACTCTGCACAATTATGCAAAGCATAAATATGAAGAGAAAAATGTAGTTCCCTCTTTTAGAATAACAGGATGCAACCAACAATGATAGCCTTAACATTAGATCCACAAGATTACTTTTTGGCAATACCATAAGTGGAATTAAAGAATTTGACCCTCTTCAGTCTGTTTAAACTGTGTTCACACTGTGCTTCTACATTCCTTATTTTCAGCCAAAATGACAGTAGGTGGGCCAACTGCAGTGAAGATTCAGTTACTGAAAGTCTTCAAATCAACACCAAAACAGTAATACAAACAAACCTAATACAAACATGCTCAAAACCCGTTTTTGTGCATCCTGTTCTGGGTGTGCATGAAAGAGCTTGGAATGCGGAAAGAAAGCAATTGTCTGGAGGTGTAGCAAAGGAGAAGGCAAGTACAGAAAGACTATTCCCAGAAGCCTCAGGAGACAGATAAGCAGACAGATAATATATGGAGGAGGCAGCAAATGCCAGGAAGGCAGTAAGTGAAACAAGGACTAGAATAAAAGAGTAAAGAGCCCATAGTTCTAAAAGGTGGCTTAATTTTTCCTATACCCAGAAAGGTGTAGGAGATAGTGAGGGGATAAGCAGCTATTTGGACACAAAAAAGAATACAGTGGTGCCCCGCAAGACGAATGCCTCGCAAGACGGAAAACTCGCTAGACGAAAGAGTTTTCCGTTTTGGAGGTGCCTCGCAAAACGAATCTGCTATTGTCTTGCGAGTTCCTGGTTTTTTTTTTCCTTTCCCCCCTCTTTTTCTAAGTCGCTAAGCCGCTTATCTGCTTATCCGATAAGCTGATAAGCTGCTAAAAGCCGCTAAAAGCCGCTAAAAGCCGCTAAAAGCCGCTAATAGCGCTAATAGCGCTAATCCGCTAATCCCATCAATGGGCTTGCTTCGCAAGACGAAAAAACCGCTAGACGAAGAGACTCCCAGAACGGATTCTTTTCGTCTTGCGAGGCACCACTGTACATGAGTGGCCTCAACCAAGACTTAAGTGGACAAAAGCAGCTGGGGGAGAGCAAAAATGAGCTGCGATAGGCAATAATTGGTGTAATATAGTGGGCATTTATTAGGGAATTTCACAGCATGGAAGGACATGCTCACTACTAGATACTTTCAGTGGCTTGGACCTAGCCTTTCCTATGTGCAGGAGGGTCTTTAATTAGGCAGGGGTTTCTGATGGCAGAAGAGAGGGAGGCAATTTTTGTCTATATCCACTTCAGCTCCCATGCTACTTCCTACACTCTTCTAGTGGATTCGTCAACACCACAGAACAGATTTTCAAGGGTTGCAGGTAGAATCAGCCAAAATCGCCTCCGTTCCTCTTCCATCAGGGCAGAATCCACTGAGCACGGACCTGCCCATGGGATCTCGGGATCCAAGCCAAGATCCCATGGGCATCTCGGGATTGTAATAATTGCCACCCTTCAGTCATAGTCACACAAATTACTTTGACATTCTGCAATGAAGACATCATATTACCTTTCCTATACTGAATTCAGTATTATAGAGGCAGCTAATTTCATTCTTCATGACAGTTTTTACATTTATTTTCCAAGTACTACCAGGATGCCTTTATCATCTCTAAGTTTCACACCATGTCAGACCCATGCATAAAAATTAAAGGCATTTAAATTTTTACAAAACCCAGAACTCACCAATTTCTCCTTCAACTCCAGGCTTAGGAATAATGATAGAGGTTCGGGTTTCTGTTTCTATTTTCTTCTTTGTTTCTCCTTTTTTGCCTATTATATATCTATATAAGCATACAGTGGGGAAACAGAAAAGGGAATTGGTGATAGTTTTTTTAAAAAAGAAATGATTAAGTAGTTCCAAACTTTAACAGCTTAAACATCCTACCCATTTTGGAATCCTAAATGCTAATACAAGCACCAGTTTCCTGGTGATCAAGGCATAGGACAGTCCCCACAATGTGAGGCTACTGCAACTAATTTATCCCAAATTTCCTAGTAGTAGTTGTCAAAAGCTAATTGTAAAATCAATAATAAAGACTGAGAACACCTGACTTTCCCCTCTGTTGTTCTAGCTGCATGATTAGCAATTCTGAATATACACACACAGACTTACTTGTATAGTGGGCTGGGAATGTCCACAGCACATTGGTAGCCTCTTTCTGTCTCTTCCACCACAAAGGCATCACAGGGTTCATCTGCACAATCCTCAGGACCTGCAAGGTATGGAGAGATTAGAAACTATTCATCTAAAGCAGGCATCCCCAAACTTGGCCCGCCAGATGTTTTGGGACTACAATTCCCATCATCCCTGACCACTGATCATGTTAGCTAGGGATGATGGGAGTTGTAGTCCCAAAAAACATATGGAGGGCCGAGTTTGGGGGTGCCTGATCTAAAGGGTAAATAACAAACAGACTTCTGTTTGCAAAATGTGACTTGACCACCACCCTGTAGCACCTCACAAACCAAAGGTTTTGGGATCCTCTAGATCTGGGGGCCTATGAGGGGGCTGGCAGGAGGAGGAAAGGAAGTTAAATCCAATTACATAAGCAGAAGTCCACTCACACTACAATGGCTTCCACCCATTATGCTAACTTTTAAGTCTTCTTGACATCGTCAGGAAGCAGCTGTTGCTGTCAACTGGAGGGCTTTCTTTCTTTCTTCTTTTATATTCTCATTGAAAATAATCTACAGAATAGCCCTGTGGAAATCTATTTTTCTCCGAGATGTAGGAGAAAATTTTCTCCTAGATGTTGAATTTTTGGCCTCATACAAATGCTTATTTAAGAAAACACTGAACAGCAGTGGATACAGATGCAGGACCCAAAAGCTGAAAATTGAGGCAAAGTGATATTGACTTCTATTCTCAACAGCAGTGACTGTAATATGTTGGAAAATGGGATATTTTTAGCTCAGTAAGAAAACACTGCAACTATTTTTCAGCTAACCAGAAATATAATTTCAAAAGATGTCACAAACCTCTGTGTTATCCCACTCTCACCATCATCGGATTTGTTAAGGTGGAAAAAAAATTTCATTGTATGAAGCAGAATTTTAAAGCGCCTTAAATTTAATTTACAGTATGTTACTGATTTGATAAACACTGTGGTTTGTCAAAGAAAGAACTATAGCTAAGGCTAATAACTGCGAGTAATTTGCTGAAAGGGTGTTCAAGATGCACGCCACTGCAAAAAATGAGGCAAATATATTATAAACTGATTGTTTATAGCAAACCAAAATATACAGCCTGAAATGTGTGTCTGTACATGTGCAGTGTTGCACAGTGACATTTGCATACTCACAGTGCAATACACACATAGACATTTCAGATAGTTGTGAATGCACATGTACACTCTGCTTCCTGCTGCTTAACCAATTCCTTATCTATAAGAGGACCTTTCCTCTTACTCCATAACTGATAAACTTACTCAGGAATCTTCAGTGAAGTACCTTGTTGGAAGCTTTTTGAAAGTCCAACAACACTATGTCAAATGGATCTCACCAATCTATATGCTTGTTGACACTCTCAAAGAACTCTAAAAGGTGAGATTTCTGTCTCTGTTCAGCAAGGCTTATTATTCTATATGCCAAGTTATTTTTTCTTTGACAATACTTGCCACCAGTGGCTTGTAATTTTTAGGATCCCCCTCCCCCACCAGATTCCTTTAAAAAAATTGGTGTTACATTGGCAGCTTTCCAGATGTGGAGGCTAGTCTAAGGGATAGAAGATCTACAACTTCACAGCATAGCTGTCAACTTTTCCCTTTTCTTGTGAGGAATCCTATTCAGAATAAGGGAATTTCCCTTAAAAAAGGGAAAAGTTGACATCTATGCTTCACAGTGTTAGAAGATCTACAACTTCACATTTGAGTTCCTTGAGAACTCTCAGGTGAATGCCATCCAGACCCAGCAATTTGTCATTTTTATTTTTTCTATTAGGTCTGGAATTTAATCTCGTTACCACTACCTGCCTCAGACACTCCTTGTCCTAAGGGTTATCCTCTAAAGAACACAACATGAAACACAAGGAAAAGGGATTGGGAAGCAAGATGCAAAAAGTATGATAGCAGCTGGTTCAGTTGCCTAGGTGAATGGGAATATATCCATTCTGGATCCAAGTGTACACATTATAAGGATCAGGTGTGCACTGCATCAATTCTTCTGACCTAGCATGATATTTACCACCCTGTTCCCCTTTTCTTTTTCCTTTTCTGCTGTTTCTCTTCTCCTTATGTTTTCTGCTCATGAATTCATGCCTAAGCTTCTTATTCTGCCCACCCACCCTTCAGGGCAGGATGGCTCCTCAGAAGCCCATCTGGTGCTTCCGTTAAAGTGACTACAACAGTAGTTTCAAATGCAAGCAAACTTCGGCACAAAAACAAGTGTTGCCTCTTGACAATAGAGCTTTAACTCCCACTCCATAACAGAATGTGAAATATTTAGCAATTCAACACAACTTACTAATGTTGGCATTTTTCAGCACTGTGCTGAATTCCACTCCAAACTGTGAGTTAAGTCTGTGATATCAATGGTGACAATTGCCTTTTGGTAAAAGTCTGACTAATTGCATACACTTCCAGAAAAGCAGAGGCAAGCTCTTGCTTTCAAAGTTAAAGGAACAAATAATCACAGGCATAGAGAGCTCTGTGTTTCCTATGAATATAACAGAGTAGCAAGAGATGAAGTCCCCTTGTACGAAGACATATCATCACCATAAACTTTGTTGCACTAGCCAAAGGCCATGGCATCATTCACAAAGGGAACAAAAAAAAAAGCAACAATACAATTGTATTGTATTTTTTTTTTTTTTGTAGTGTTGTGTTTAAATTGTTGGAAAAGTAATAAATATTATTTTCAAAACAACAAAAAAGCAACAATAACCATAAAACATGACATATCAATAGTCCCCCAGGCCTAGTATGGCCAGCTCCACAAATGGGGAATCTGTGGCCCTCAAAACTGTTGGATTACAACTCCAATCATTCCATGGTGGCTGGAGCTGATGGGAGTCCAACAACATCTGGAGCCCCATAGATTCCCCATCCCTAGTCTGCATTGACTTGTGCAGCAAGTCACGGGCAGCCCTGCTATCCAGCTCTGTTAACTGGAGAGACCATGATCTGAAAATATAACCATAAATATGCAAAGCCCATATATTATTTCGGAGCTACAGCCCCCATATAATTGTATTCCTGATGCTTACCCTCACATCTCTACATTACTCTAAGTATAATATTGTCCTCTAATCCATATATTTCATACATTCTCTCACCGGTATTAAACAAACAGGTTAAGAATTTTGAGACCCACTCTCTATCATCTTGAGTGTCTGTTTCTTTATTATACTGAGTCCATACAGACAGCATGGGTGTTGGCATTTTCTTGAGAATCATGGTCCATATTCAGTACTTCTGTCCAAGTCCTAATGCCAAGATCAGTTTCATATCATAGTCTCATGAAATGGAACTCTGTGGATTCTTAGCATACCTGCATAGAAATCCTCTTCCTCTTCATGCTGGTGTGGCTGTTCTCGAATATGTCTTTTCCTGTAAACACGTCCTCCAATTCTTATCAGCGGTGGCCGCAGAACTTCCATTGTGTTTTCCCTTTGCTGAAAGACTAAGTGGAATTCAACAGGACTTACTTCTGAGTAGATGTTGTTAGAACTGTACACTAGTTGTTGTTTTGTTGTTGTTTAGTCGTTTAGTCGTGTCCGACTCTTCGTGACCCCATGGACCAGAGCACACCTGGCACTCCTGTCCTCTACTGCCTCCCGCATGTACACTAGTACAACAGCACAATTCTATACATGTTTACTTGAGAGTAAATCCAACTGTGTCCAATGGGACTTACTCCTGTGTTAACATGGTTAGGACTGCAGCCTTCACTATGATATCTAAACAGAACCTCCCATTAAACAAGGCAAGGCAAACTTGCAAATATTATGTGCTGGAAAGGAAAAAACAGGGCCATACTCTACTTTTAAGATTCCACAAACATTTGATTGGCAACTGTGCTGGAAACAGAATGTTGGAATAGAATGTTGGAATAGTAAATAGTAAATTTATGGAGAGAAAGAAGTCTTACACTATATATATGAGCTGGTTCTTCACACAGGGAAAAGGGCAAGTTACACAAAGGCTTATGCAAATATGTTCTCTGTCCCATCCATTTTGACAGGGAAAAAACCTCCAGATGTTGTTAGACTACAACTCCCATTATGCCTGACCACTGGCCATGCTGGCTGGGGTTGATGGGATTTAGAACTCCAACAACATTTGGAGGACCACAGGTTCCACATTCCTTTTTCGTTAGAGTACATCCATTCTGGGTGCTCCATTTACTTGTGGATGTGGATTTCAGGTATGTTCATACAAAGATCGGGCACTTATACATAACCCTGCACAGATCTTTGGTGGTCCTTTTCATGGCTGAGATGCAAAAACTTGCACTGCTCTCAGGACGTCCTGTCTACACAGAGGGAAAGGAGCACTGTTCTAAACAATTCTAAATGAATCAACTGGACAGTGTTTCCTGATCTTGCATTCCTCACTTCTGTGCCAAGTGACGGTGCAATTTGCCACCATTCTGTCATACTATGTGCAAATGTCTTGGGGAGATTTGTTTAAAATATTTTAAGGCACCCACCACCACGTGATATAGGTGCCAGGAACATTGATATAAATCAAATACAATTATAAACCCATATATACATAAATTCAGAAGGGCAGCAGTACCAAGAATAAAAATCTGGCCAGATGATCCATCCCCCGTATTTAGTGAGGCGTTGTAGTACACACTCTCTCTCTCTCTCTTTTTCTCTCTCTCTCTCTCTATATATTAGCAGGTCGGAAAACGTTATCACTTTTGCTAGGCAGTGTTGCCTTTTTTTTTTCCTTGCAGAGCTCTTGCTGTGACGTGACAGACCCAAATGCAACTGGTCGAGCTTTTCCCCCATCAAGGAATCCTGACAAAGCGGGAGGCTTTACTGGTTGAGTTTCAGCCTCTTGGGCATAAGTGGCAGATGCTGAAATGGGTTAAGGTCTCGAATACTAGGTTTTTTTTTTGTTTTTTTAACCTGCATCTCAATGCTAAACACCAACCTTTTTTTAAAAAAAAAAGTTGGCACCAAATAATATCTCCGTATTTCCCTCCCCTTTAATTTCATAAACTTCGGGGGGGACTGCGGCCTGCCTTCGAGGCTTCAGCGCTCTCCCTAGTCCTTCTCCTGTTGCCATGGCGCCCAACGGCCAGAGGAGAGAGGAGGAGGAGGCCCCCGCCTCCTCAAGCGACGCTGTACGTATTCAGGGCGTGCTCGTGGCCGCCAGCCTCCCAGGCGCGCGCACGTCTTCCTCGCCGACGTCATTCCGGTAAGGCTCTCGTAAGTGAAGTTGAGGGCGGCTGAGGGTAAGCGAGGTAAGGACGAGATAAGGAGGGGAGATTCTGCCGCGTTACTTACCGGGGGTGCCGTGGGGCGCACTAAAGCGACCGTGGCTGGTCACCGGGAGGCCAACGGGCGAGTAACAAAAGGCCGCGGTTGTTCGGCCTGGTATCTACCTCACATTGGCGGGGTGGCTGCGCGCATGCGTCTTTCGATTCGGTTGCCCGCCACGGCGCAAGCGCACTGGGCATTTGAAAGTCAAGTCGGCGGGGTGTAACGTCGCGGTGAGTTCCGCCGTTCCCACATTTCTTTCTGGACATGCTGCCACCCCTGTTTTCCGTGCATGTTTACTTGCGGAAACCGTCCTGCGAGCTCAGTGGGCCTTAGTCGCGTCGCACTTAAGAGCACGCCCCATTGAACACAGCGAGGGTTCCCTTCTGAGTAGGCACGCATAGGATCCTGCTGCTCGAATTAAGAGGGGAAATGTTTGGTTGCCAAATCTGCAGGGTAGGCAGACGTTTTACAGGCGTGTATAAAAAGTTGGGCAAATTTTACGTTCTTGAAGTCAATGCACAGGACCAAGTTTGTAGGTCTTTGGAAAATAAAGGGGGAAAGGCTGCTTAAAGCATAGCAGAAACACTTGCTACATAGCTGGCCGTGGTTCCATCACCTCCCTCTCCTCACCTTCCAGCATTTTGTATTCAAATAGAAAATATATTAATGACTTACAGTTGACACTTGCAGTGACCCAGAATATAGTAAATAAAATGTCTATCCTGCTTTATTGCCCTCATGATATGAGGTAATTATCATCGCAAACAACAGCGACGAGGCAACTGGGAAGCTAGCCCAACTGAGAGTAAAAAGAATTCACTGGGGCTGGGATCAGTCTGCTAGGCAAACCAAAGGATGTACATAGATATTGATTTATTCTTGCAATAGTTCTGTGAAGGTCACATTCTATACAGAACAGATAGTTCAATTAACGAACTAGCTAAACAGAATGTCTGTGCTTGTATCTGTCATGTCAAGAAGTGAACCCCTGATTGTCCATATGTAATAAGTGCTTGTGCAAGGGGGTGGCTTTTTTATTGCAAACCAGCAGAGCCTAAAGGTAGTTGCATGACTGTCTTTTGGTAGCTTATCATGTCTACGTGGGCACCTGGAAACTGTTTCAGTGCAAGCGTGTCAGTGCATGGTTGAAAAGAAAACCCTCAAGATGGTACTCAAAAATGTAGAGAGCGTTTAATAAGATGATGAATTCCCCAATGAGTTTCATTAGAAGTCATTCTTGAAGGCACAAGAATTCAGTTGGTTGGGTTACTCCAATAGTACAGCACCTCTCCCATTTGCTGACCTTGTGGTCTCAGTATGGCACGTGACATCATGGGCATAGCCAGCCCAGGATTTATGTTGAGGGGCAGGCTTTATATTAGAGGACAGAACCTCAGTTAAGTATTTTTATTGATTTACTTGATTTCAGGGGGGCAGCTTCTCCCCCCCTTAGCAACACCCATGTGTGTAATCAAGTGACAAGGAAAGTGTGTTCAGAAAAGTTCTATTCAGCTGAATGCATGGGGGTGCAAACTCAACCCATCCACCCATCAGCATTAGCATCCACCCCTGGCACTGAATGCAGGTTGAGTTGAACGCAGCCTCCTTGTGATCATAACCTGTGTTATCAGAATTCCTGATTGTGGAGAGGTTTTTAAGTATGTTAAGTTGAATATGCTTTGGATCTCCCTTCAGACTTTTGTGCTGAATATGGCATGGTTGGGAGTGGAGAGTGTGGGGCCAGGTGTGTTGGGGGTGGCCTAGTGACCTCTACATATTTTGTACAGCTGGACACCTAAACAGAGCTAAAGTGATTCTTGTTTCACTATCTGAAAACTTCTTTCCCCACAGTAGCCACTAACGTTGAGTTAAAAGTTCCTCAAAATGTCCTGCAGTTCCATGTCAGGACACAATTTAAAGATACAGATTTCGTTCTGCCTAACTTTCACCCTTCTTGCCTCTTTTAGATGGTGCCCTCCCTCATTACTTCATTAAACTGACCTGATTTGCACATCATTTTGTGCCAAACTATGGCTTAGAGGAAACAGGTGTATGGGCTCTTGGAAAGCCATTTTGCTCACATCCAGACTGGGGCTCATATTTAAGCTCTCTTAAACCACAAGCTGTAACCGAAGACCAAGGATGAGCAGAGTGGCTGTAGGGTCCTCTCCCTGAGCCCTGTGCGGTCCTACTAGGCCATAGTTTGATAACATGTAAGCCAAGCCATTGTTGATCTCTTCCAGGAGTTTGAGCCCTTGGCTGCAAAGTAAGGGGAAAGTGTGTTGTGGGGCTGGGGCGGGAGAAGCAATCTCTTTTTTAACAATAGGATGCAGAAATTGGTTAGGTTTGTGTCTTTAAATCTTTTCTTTAAACCTGCTGACACCTAGCTCAAAATTTGTGAGGCTATTTGCTACCTACATCTACTAACAAAGTAGTTACTACACAGTGGAATGAACCAACCTAGTAATAGGTCTTGCTCACTGGCCTACAACTACGTAGCATGATGAGTGGTCCTCTCCCAATTGTGACCCCACAAAGGTGCCCGCATATCTATGCCTGGCTCAGTGATATGGGGAAACACTGATGGCCGACCCTACTAGCTTCAGACATGTTATGCTATCTCTGGTGGACACTGAAGCCCCCGTTGAGGCTATGAGGAGGTTTGCTCAAAGACTGAAGAGGTACAGTATGAAGGTAGCTGGCAGTCTGAGAACTTTAGCAAGATATTTGTGGGGACACACCCCTCCAACTATTCCGATGTTGGTTCTGTTTCTGGGAAATGCCTCGTGTTACAGCCATTTATTTCATATCTCATATAAGCAATGGTATATCGCTCAAAGGGCCAAACTAGATGTGACATTTTTCATGTTTTTAGCCCTGACATGGCTGGTTGGTTTTTTTAAAAAATAGTCAATGTGAGGAAGAGCTAGATGGGGGTGTGGCCCCTGTCGCATGCTGACAGCTTCTAGGAGCCACAGATGAGAGCTGAGTGCAGGGTGGGGACCAAGGAGGACATACTGCCCCAGCAGGAGCACATTGTGTCCCCCACCAGAGGTATTACCCCTCCCCTAACACCCCATACACCCCCCCACAAGGCTAAAGGCATGTACAATGTCACATCTATTTTTAACCTATTGATTCTTTTGCATTTGTTCGGGTTCTAATATCTGTCTGCTGTAGATTATTTGATTTCCTTCTGACCATGTTTGCTTGAAGGGTAGAGAGCAACAGCAAGCGTCTTCTAGTGGCTTAGGTGATACAGCAAGTCTCTGACTGGGGCATTTTTATAGGTTGTGAAGTGCCGCATGATTCACTTGGGTGCACTTGTGGCTTCCTGGTTGGTTTCCCTGCAGTTCCTTTGTTTGCTCAGAGTGTGGCAGTGGCGCCCATGAACTGAGTTTCCACCCCAAGTTCAGGACTTGCTGTGCATGCCTTCATTACATTATTATATTACATATCCTCTTGTATTTTGTGGGATTTCTCTGACTACAAATTGCATGAAGCCACTTGTTGCCTTACAGAGGTAAGGAGATTAACAGTACAATTCTGTGCATCATTAATTGGAAGTAAGTCCTGATGATTTAAATCGGAATTGCTTTCTAGCAGATGTGCATAGGTTTGCATGGTTTGTGTCACAATACATTCGTTAGTCTTTAAGGTGTTGCAAAACACCTTGAGGTGTGTGGTTTTTCTTTTGTCACAACAGACTAACACTACATTGCTACTCTTTTTGAACTTGCTTTCATAAAGACCCCCAAAAGTGCCTTTTTTGAATCTGCAGTAGCTGTGATTCTAACCGGAACTTAATTGATGCAAGCACATTTCAGGTTATTAACCTATGTCTGTAACCATATGAGATAGAAAGAGGTTTGGGGTATGTTGATGGGTTTGCATAGCAGCAGAGGAATACTTGAAATGCCCAGGACCTTTCAGAGAGAGAGAGCCTACATTTACAGTCCAAAGGTCAGCTACTTGAATCTTCATGCTTAACTACTTAGAGAGATTCTAGTTGTACTAGATTTCTTTCCTTTGTTTATTTCAAAATCAGTGAACCGGTTTTCCCAATATTCTCTATCCTGTTGCAGAGAAGACACTGAAGTCTTTTAAAAAGAAGGCTATAAAACCCCTGTCTGGCTTATAGGCCATCCAGTGACTCCTGTGTACCTCAGAATTGATAGCTTTGTTGGCTTATACTAGCTAGGACAACACAAGGAAATACAAGCTCACAAAAAGCCATCCTTGATTGGATTAATTTACTGCTCCCACTGTGGCCAGCTTTTGGAAGATGTATTTCCTCCAGCAAATGCTTGGGTACCATGCTGAGCCATTGATCAGGTAGTCATTGGAGTATGGCGATTTACAAATGTGAAATGGGCTGCATGGCTCATAAAAGAGGAAGGAAGATGCTGTACATAATTGTGGTAGATCTGGAATGGATAATAAAAACAGTAGGTATTCAGTGACTAAACAGACAGCAATTGCTTTAACTGTGTTATGTGTGTTGTAGGTTGTTTTTTTTAAAAAAAAACTTACATTAACAGCTTAAAAGAGCATTTTCTTTAGGTTGTGGGAGTAGTTAATACTGTAAGATAGCCGGCTCCACAAAACAACCTAAAGGTTTTGTATCTTACTTTTAAAAGATTTTATATAACAATAAGGACTTCAACTGGGGAAGGTAACTGAAACAGCTTTAAGGCCTCTCCAGCCCATGTTAATGCAGGAAATGTGAGGAGGTGGCATTGTAGATCTAAGGGTGTTTTTGTTAGGGGGAGGGGGCTGAAAAAATGTTTCATTTATTCACAAGCAATGCTTAGATTGGGTTTTACACTTGCTGTATTTCTAAGCTGTATGAAGAGTTTGTGTTGACTAGGCTTTCCCCATTATAAGTAAAAATGGCTCTTTTCTGGTTTTCCTTTTGCATATTCTAATAATATTCATTCTGGCGGTGAAATGGTGTCCTTATCATTGCTTCTGTCCTTGAATAGGTGGATGACCCAAAAGGAAAGAAGCAGTGGGAGAAGTCCACTGCATGGCATTTAACTTGTCATATCCAGTTCCTCTTCCTGCTATCTGATTCCACAAGGTGTTTGGTAACCAATTCAGAACATTACCCATCTTTGTTAGCCTCTGATAGTGAAAAGAATCCTGTGGCATCTTAGGGCCAATTCTTTTGTTACTTTCTGCACTTGAGAACTGGTATCTGGAATGTGAAATAAATGTGCATGGCATCTCTAAAAAATGGCACACACCTATATAATGCACAGCTTTTTGCCTGCAAAACACACCCAAGTGGCTGGAGAAGCTGTGAGCACTTGGCTCAGGAGTGTTTTGCACGTTAAAGCTCATTATTTTATAATGATTTCAATCTGTTCGTGATCACAATACCAAGTTCCTGTCTAGGAGCACCTAAATTTCTAACAGTGAAGTTAAGAACATGTGAACCTAATGCGTCCTGGACCCCGGGAGATTCATGGAAACTTCTCTGGGCTTTGTAAACTGCTTTGAGGTTTTTTCCTACATTCGAGCAGTGTATGCATTTTATTCAATAAATAAATGCAAATAATATAATGAAATGCATGACATTGACCTTGGCCTTTGAGGTGCCACAGAACTCCAAAGTTTGGGTTTCTGCATTCTGGCTGCCACCCAGTGGTGAAAGTTTGTATTGCATTTTGTTTCTAAGAGCAAACATGTTGCGAGCAAATGGAGTAGTAGGGTACGGATACATATTGTGGCAAAAGGTGAAGAAGAGTCAAGACTTGAAAGTTGGGGATGGTGCTGTGGCTGCTTGTGGTCCAAATATTCTTATGCATTCCTGAGAACAAGAGCACCTGTAGCTTTTGTTTGTTTGTCCTACAGATGCAGATTCAAGTTTTATATATTCATCTTCTACCTCTTAATTCCTAATGGGTTTAAAGAAACCTGGGTCCCAAGGTTAAACTGTTTGATTTCTGTAGACTCTCTCTTTTTTTTTTTTTTTAGAAAAAGAAAAGCAGAATACCCAGCTGCATATTTTTCTACTTGACAGTGTTTGTAAGACAAATCTATTTTGATTTTTAAAATTCTGCTGCAATCCCATTCTCTCTCTCTCTCTCTCTCTCTCTCTCTCTCTCTCTCTCTCACACACACACACACACACACACACACACACATATATATAATTGAGCCATTTTTTTGTTGCCAGCCTTTGGTTAAGTGTACATAGTGCCAAGCACACTGCAACATGTCCAGCATTTTCTTTGATGGCAGGCTTGCCCACATCTTCTGTCGAGAGGTCCAGCAGTTGCACTTCTCCCCGGAGCCACAGTATGTGGGTCACTCAGAGTTGCTGGGTGGAGGTGGATGGTGTGGAACATGCAATCATGTTTTGCTCTGAGTACCTGACTTGATGAGAACTGTCTGAGTTTTAAAGCCCTGCAGCACTTCAATAAAACTACTATTTATTTGAATGAATGATGCTTTAACCTGTTCTCAGTGTCTCATCCTTGGGATGTTAGGCCACAGCCTGCACTGCGGAGAATAATCATTTCTGTCGGCATGGTGTCCCATCAGATTGGAAGGAATTTGCATCACTACCTAAGCTACATGTAATCTGGCTATCAGGGACATAACTTTGGTTAAAACCTTTCCTGGTACAAAGGTCTCTGTGGTGTCTGAAATAGTGTGAATTCATGCAGCTGATATGTAAGCTGCCATGCCTCTCTGTTATCATTTATATTTAACAATCGGCATTAACTATGTTGAGTATAATTAGTATAAATTAAGTTTTCAGCAAGTTAATCCTTTTCAAATCATATTGCTGTCTTAGCTCAGACTTTGTGCTGGGTCACAGAAGATGTGTAGCACAGCCTCCAGCTTTGATCTATTGAGTTATGTAAACTAGCTAAATTGTGGGAGGCGGATTTACACTGCGCTCCCTTTGAATCTTGATGTGTTTCAATAGTATGGTCTGGTGGGGGAATTAAAAAGTTGCCAATTCTAGCTCAAAGGCACACAGCTATATTGTGATTGTGTGATCTGTTTTCTCAGCTTGCAATCCTAAATACACAGACTTAGAAGCAGGCCCCATCGATAATGGTAGAGATTACTGTGTTTAAGAAGAAATAAAATAATAATAAATAGTCCAGTAGCACCTTAGAGACCAACTAAGTTTGTTCTGGGTAAAAGCTTTCATGTGCATACACACTTCTTCAGATACCAATGGATTTCCATTTCCTGTAGCTCAGTGTGGTGCCTTCCATGATTCTAGATTCAGGTAGATAGCCGTGTTGGTCTGACGCAGTTGAAATAAAAAAATTAAAAAATAGTCCAGTAGCACCATAGAGACCAACTAAGTTTGTTCTGGGTATAAGCTTTCATGTGCATGCACACTTCTTCAGATATGTTTAAGAAGATTTGTTTTAGGTTGGGTTGGCAGTCTCTGAAATTGGTTTTTCTGTCACTGTTCTCGTAATCACAGGCACCTAGATTTTGTGGGTTTGCAATTTAATTTGAGACATGGGTCTGGAATAAATACGTTGACCTTCCTTCTAGCCTAGGAAGCAGGGCTAAACCTTTTGACCAGAAGCTGGTACTAGACTGGCCACTTGAGCTACACTGTTCCCTTGCTAAGACAAACAGAACATTACCTCAAGCCAAGTCCCCCATTAATTTGAATATATTCCCCAATTACCTTATGTGTGAACAAAATGCTGTTTCCCCCCAGTTAACTCAGCAGTGTGCTGCTACACTCCCTCCACTGATAGCCTCACATAATGTAAACAACAGCACAAGAAGAAAGCAATCAAGATGATACATACACTTGAAGCACTTGGTTTTCATGTCTTCCTTTCTCTTGCCTTTAGGTTCAGATTGAGCAAAATGGCTGCCTCTTCGTCATCGTCTTCGGCTGGTGGAGTTAGCGGAAGTTCCGTAACTGGGTCTGGGTTCAGCGTCTCAGACCTTGCTACACCAAGAAAAGCTCTCTTTACGTACCCCAAAGGAGCTGGCGAAATGTTAGAAGGTAACTGCTCTGCATATCTCCTCCTTTTGCGTCAAGGCAATAAAAAGGGCACTGCTAAACATCACATAAACTTTCACCCTTGTGCCTGTGCAGCAGGGGCTTCTGTAGGTCGTTACAGTAAGGTGGTTTTCTCTTGGTGCAGGCGAGAGTGGTTAAGAGCCAGGAGATAGTAGCGGTAAAACAGTTTTGTGTGTGGCATACGGGCTCTCAACTTAAGCTGCTTTCCAGGGAGTGAGCCCCAATAAACCTGGCGGGACTTTACTTCTGAGTAAACCTGCTCAGGATTGCCCTGTGCCGTGTGCATTCCAGTGGAGCTTGTGCTACTTTTGTTATCCCTTTGCATCTGTTCAACGTGCATAGTTGGATGGAGTCGTTCGCCCAGTAAGCTGCATTGATTCCAGGCACCACTCTGCTGATGTTGCATTGCTGATCTGATCTATTGGGTTTGGAATGTCGGCGATGTATGATTTGCACCCTTGTTTCAGGATTCGCTGCAGATAATTATAGAGCCCGTTTGGATACTTAGGAGCTGCCCGGTATTAGCCAGGAGACTGCCTGTCTCGGAGCCTCTGGGCTCATAAAGGAGAGCATGCAACCACAGCACCTTCTACTCAGTTAATGCTTGACCCATCTTTCTGTCCTGCCTTCTGCGTCAAACAGGACTGGTTGTGCTCTGCAGCAGGCAAGATAAGCCAAAGAGGTAAAGTCAGAGGCTGCAGCATCTCCAAGCACTTAAACAGACAAGCAAAGTTTTTAGGTTAGCATCTGGCAATCCTATCAGTAATAGATCTCCAGACACACTTAAGGACATCATAAGAGCACAGCTAAATCTGGTCAAAGGCCCATTTAGTCCAGCTTCCTATTCTTACAGTGGCCAACCAGATACCTTAGAGGAAGCCTACAAGCTGGACTGGAGTGCATCAGCACTCTCCCCATATGTTCCTATTTTGCCTTGGCAGTTCTTGGATTTTTCTCCTCCTCTTGCTTACACTTACCCATCTTCTCCCTGCTTAAACCTTGAGTTCAAGCAGGAAGACGCAAAAGCATTTCATTCCCCCGCCTTTACAGAGTCCCAAGTAGTCTTTAGACTCTTGTAAGGGCACTTTGCCTTTTGACTGAAACTCAGACTTTATTTCAGTGGCTTAGATTTCTTGGCCAGTATGCTATGCTGTCAGTACAATTGCTCAGGCTTGATGGATGGTGGCCTGTTCATTAAGATCTGAGGCAGTAGCTACTGCTTAGCAATGCAAATACGTATCAGTCAGAATAAAGCTGCCCTGGGTTCTGCTGCTGGAGCAAGATATTGAATTCTAGGTAGCTTTATACTTACCTGTATGTCTCTTAATCCTTGAAAGCAATAGATTGCTAGTATATGTAAAGTTTCAGTATAGATTATATTTATTAGGATAGAGTTGGCCATTTCCCCCAACAGCTCAGGACAGTTAACAGTATGACAGCAAGAAAGGATGGATCCTCCTTACATTTACGTTTTAGGAGTAGGAATGGAACTGAATTGTACAATTACTCTCACGCATAGCAAGAACAAATTATATGCTTATTTATCCAATTGTCATATCTGGGTATGGCATGGTCTGCTTTTACAAGCTGTCTTCCCTATAACAGGTGGCTCACAAGTCTTACCAATATCAGGAATAGGATGCACCGTTCAGCTGTGGGACTTGAATCTGATGTGTCCTTAAGGTTTGCAATTGGCGGCAGTTTCCAGACTCACTCATCCTAGGTCTTTTTGCTGAAAGAATGACTCTTTTCCCCATAGGCATTTCAAGACTAAAAACTAACATATTGAAACAACACAAGGCATAAGCATGGGGACTTGCTTGTCGCCAAAAAAAATAGCTTTGGAAGCACTTGCCATCACATAGTGTAGCTTCTCCATCCAAGGATGGTAGGCATTTATTTTTTTAAAAAACAGAAAGTTGGGATGGAACTCTTCCTTTATAAAACATGGCAGGATGGGTGGGTATAGTTGCTGTTTCCTTTCTTGAGAGGTAGTTGCTTTTCATTAGAGTTTTATATGCAGAGTTCGGTGTGGGAGGGAAGAGCATTGTACTCTGTAGATCATGCCATCACTTTGCATGAATACTTGCCATGTTGCACTAATTATATACTGTGTCACAACCCTAATTAATATGTATACATATTAGCATCTGTATGCCAAACTGTTGGATTAATTAAGATTAAATGCTTGTCCTCAAACTTAATGAGCCTCTAGAACCAATTAAAATATTGAAGTATTTTTGTGTTACTGGGCATGTGCCCAGGAGAGAATGTCTGGTGAGGCTTTTTGTTCCCAAAAGAAGAAATAAGACTCCTCAGCTGCCACATATATTTAAGAGAAGTTAAAAAAAAAAAAAAAACCTTCCTACACTGAAAATCACCCATTATCCTTCCCCCACTTTGTTGCAAATAGTACTGGAAAAGTGTGGGGAGGGGGTGATAGTTTGTGAGACTTATACTAAATGGATTGCTCATATGAGGAGGGGAAATGTATGGCTCCACCACAGTTAGGAACGCTTAATATCTCCAAAGCAATTGCCTCCACCACCCCCTGCCTTGTCTCATGACTACAACAGTAAAGATTATCATAGCTGGAGGAGAGATTTCTGATAATTTAATAATATTTTTCTGATAGCATAACGATAAATCAGCCTTGCCTAGAATTGCTTACAGGGCTTCCTTATTCGGGTGGGCCAGTTCATGCCATTTGTCAAGTCTGGCAGCATGTTGAGCAAAGACGTGGAGCTTCTGGCCCTCCAGATGTTGATGGACTACCACTCTCCTCATCCCTGACCATTGACCATGCTGGCTGAGGCTGATGGGAGTCCAACAGCATTCGAAGGGCCACAGGTTTCTTACCACGACCTCATCATGCCCTAAAGCAAGGATCTCAGATTGTAATATACCTTTCTGAGGGGATACTAGACAAGAAACTGAATTTTGATTGTTCAAAGAGCATACAGTAAGATTGGCTGCAAGTTGGTGAAATGCCAAAAGAACCATAGTGTTATGCATCATCTTTCATGAATTTTAATATGCATTTCTAGCCCTGTGATCATTCACATGGATCAGAGTATCTTATCATCCCCCCCCAATCAAAGATTGAATGTTTGTCTCTCAGTAGTGTTTTCTACCTTTCCATCAGGCATTTGGTTGAAATAATCAACTATTTGCAGACCTACACCCCACACACAGTTTAAAAGGCCATTTATTGTTTAATTAGCCAAAGGGCTGGGACGAAAGACATGCTTTTGCCTGGTGCCTAAGGATATGTAACAAAGGTGCCAGGTGAGCCTCCCAGGGGGAGAACATTCACAAACAGGGAGCCACCACAGAAAAGGACCATTCTTGTGTTGCCACCTTCCGGACCTCTCGTGGAAGAGGCAAACGAAGAAGGACCTTAGATGATGATCAGATGGATGGTATTAAATAAAATAAAACAATCACAGGGTCTGGGTCAGTTCATATGGGGAGAAGCAGTCCTTGAGGTATTGCAGTCCTGAGCCATTTAAGGCTTTATAGGTCAAAACCAGCACTTTGAATTGGGCCCGGAAACTTAATTGGCAGCCAGTGCAGTTGGGCCAGGATTGGTGTAATATGCTCAAAGCATCTTGCCCTGGCGAGCAACCTGGGCACTGAATTCTGCACCAGCTGAAGTTTCCAAACCATCTTCAGAGGCAGCCCCATGTATAACGCATTGCAGTCATCTAACCTGGCAGCGTTAGCACGCTTATACCATGGAACATAGTAGACGCCCCCACCCACTCTGCAAAAACAAGCTGCTTGAAAGAGCCTGCAGTGCCTTCCTTGTACACGGAGGACTCCATGGTTCACAGGTTAGGGAGACAGCAATTGACACCTTCAGTCACAAGTTCCAGGGCTCCTCCATGCACCCAAACAGAAGTTATAATCCCCTGGTAATCCAGATATAGCCACCTGCAGCCCACAAAAGATCCAATTTTGTGAGGGAAATGGGCAGAGAAGGAAGACGCCTCGCTTGAATTGCAACAGCAAGCCCATACAAGGGATCGCATGTGGAATCCCTGCTTATGGATTCTTAGGAGAATTGAAGTCACTGTTCCACTAATCAGAGTGACGGGCACAGACAGTAGGGTCCTAAGACAATGATCCGCATGTTTACTTGGATCATTGCCGGCACCTGCTGGTTATTTCTCCAGCAGGCCTCCTGACTGATTTTCTCTGCTCCTTCTCCTTCTTTGGTGATCACTCTTGGCCGAGTAAGATTGTCTTCAATTAACACAGTCTTAACGGTGAGTCCGTAAGTGGCTGTGGAGGCCAATTCTGGATTCACACATCCTTCCACAGTGGGGATGTAGGTTTCTGGGTGGGAGTTAATCATGGTGAGGGTTTGCCAAATGTACTTTCTTCTTAGCACATTTCTCCCTTTCGTCCTGAATTAGACACCATGAGACCTTTGGTGAAGGCTGTTCTCCAACTGGAGCGCTCATAGACCAGTGTTTCCCAGTTGTCAGTATTTATACTACATTTTTTTAAGATTTGCCTTGAGAGAGTCTTTAAACCTCTTTTGTTGACCATCAGCATTACGCTTTCCATTTTTAAGTTTGGAATAGAGTAGTTGTTTTGGAAGTTGATAATCAGGCATCCGAACAACATCACCAGTCCAACAAAGTTGATGTTGAGGAATCATTGCTTCGACACTGGTGATCTTCGCTTCTTCCAAAACACTGGCATTAGTTCGCCTGTCTTCCCAGGTGATGTGTAAAAATTTTCGGAGACACCATTGATGGAATCTTTCAAGGAGTTGAAGATGACGTTTATAAGTGGTCCATGTTTCACAAGCATACAGTAAGGTTGGTAGTACAGTAGCTTTGTAAACAAGTATTCCCTGCGAATGTTCCGGTCCTCAAACACTCTGCACTTCAGTCAGGAGAAAGTTGCACTTGCAGAGCTCAGGCAATGCTGGATTTCGGCGTCAGTGTCGGCCCTTGTGGAAAGATAACTGCTCAGGTAGGAGAAGTGATCAACATTTTCCGACATTGCACCATTGAGTTGGATTTGTGGCGCTGCAGAGGGGTTGTTTTGAGCTTGTTGGTGCAGCACTTTGGTTTTTTTGGATGTTGAGCAATAGGCCAAGCATTTTGTAAACTTCTGTGAAGCTATTTAGGATGGTTTGGAGGTCACCCTCTGAGTGTGCACACACCACGTTGTCATCAGCATATTGGAGCTCTGTGATGGAAGTTATAGTAACTGTACTCTTTGCTTTCAGCCGACTCAATGTATAGGATCATGGCAATGAAAATAATAAATAGAGTTGGGGCGATAATACAATCCTGTTTAATACCTGATCCCACTGTGAATGGTTCACTTTGAGAACCAATGTTACCTGTGATTGTTGCTGTCATATTATCATGGAGGAGCTGAAGGATGTTCAGAAATTTATCTGGGCAGCCAATTTTCAGAAGGACAGTCCACAGGCCATTACAATTTAGTGTTGAAGGCTTTAGTCAGGTCAATAAACGCCATATACAGCGGTTGATTTTGCTCTCTGCATTTTTCTTGAAGCTGTCGAGTGAAAATTATGTCCACTGGTCCCCCTATAAGGTTGAAACCCATTTTGAGACTGAGGAAGGGTAGCCTCAGATATAGATAGGAGACGGTTTACTAAGATCCTTGCAGGAATTTTGCTGGCTGCAGCTAATAAAGAGATGCCTTGATAGTTTCCACAGTCTGTTCTATCACCTTTTTTAAAAAAGGTTGATCATTTTGGCTCCACCACGTAGCAACAACATTGCTTGGTTTATTATCACACCGTTGTTATCTAGGGGTGGAAGAGACAGGAGAGCACTGAGTTTTGGGGGCTCCACCTCCTTGATCAGTGATCCAGTGGAATATTTAAGGAAGCTTGCCTGGCCTCTAGTGCAGTATCATTTTGGTACCAGGAAAACATCTTTCCTGCTTGGCAGGGGGTTGGACTCGATGGCCCTTGTGGTCTCTTCCAACTCTATGATTCTATGATTCTATGATCTTCCAAATGAGCCATCTGCTCATTTCGATTTTATTGCTGTTGCTTTTATTGCATATATTTTCATTGCTTTTGTTATATATAATTTCTCTCTCTCTCTTTTGTTTTGCTCTTTTATAGCTGCCCTGGGAAAGTTTCTTTGAAGGGTGGGGCATAAATAGCTTTAAATAATGGGTAGAAGCTGCAGCTAGGTGCTCATTAGGAGTTGTTGAGTGAGTAGTTTAAAGAGGGTGTTGGCCACAGAGGTACTGTTCGATTTTTTGCAGGCACCATCTTTCCCATTTGTAGGCTTGCTGCTGATAGCACTGTTTTGAGGTTCACCAGTTTCGGGAGAACATGCACTTATGGAGATAATATTCACCCCATGCAGGAAGTTGCATCGGAATTATCTCTCTGATTACTGTGTGTTCTGCTTGATGTGCCCTGGAACTGATCCTGTGAGGAAGAATGCATTGTATTGGCTAGCAGTACCAATGAGCGAAGTACTTGCTGTTTATCAGTGACCGTGTCTGTGCTCCTCAGTGTGTTGGGGGGGGGCTCATTTAATTTTATTGTACACAGGTTGTACAATGACAATAAATGTATTGTGATTATTATTATTATTATTATTATTATTATTATGTGTGGTGTAAGCTTATGGGAGGCAGAACCTGCAGCAGGGTAGTCATGGGAAAAAGAGGCTCCTGCACCTTTAGTAATTGCACAAAGGAGGACATTTTCAGCTTGGCTACACCAGCTGCAATTCTCTCTTCTATGCAATATTAAATATTAAAGATGCAGGGCCCCGATTATCTTTTTTCACCTGGCCACCCTACTCCCCTTCGTTTCTGGAAACCACTGGGAAAACTGCTGTTTGGGATGCACAAGTTGAGAGCACTCCTTTAGAAAAGCAGAACTAGCTACCCAGTTCTTTGGACTCTGACTCTAAACCACTTCAGAAGTTTATAGGTTCCAACACATAAACATCATTTGTCTGCCTTTGTCAGTGACGTACCTCTGAGCCATGGTGGCTGCATATTGCATCAAATGTCTCATGTCTCCTTCAAGTTAGTATATATGTCCAGTTTTAAAATAATAAATTTTACTTCTTTGAAAAGTATAATTTTCTGTTCAGTTCTGGCTGAAGGATTACAGATTGCGGCTGCTAGACATTATGTGGAAAATTCCACGTTGTTTCCTATCTGGAGAAATCTAGCTTTTAAGAGAGTTTCATTACAGATCATTCTGCACGAACATAAATGCCATAGATTGCAAAATGGTTTGTAGTGTTCAGGAAGCAATATGTTCAAAGAAGAAAAGGAATCTTAGAAGATCGACTAAAACTGATTTATTTTTTTCCAGCCAAGTGGTTCTCTTGGCTTAACGAGTTAAAATGCTTTTTTTGGCCTGGTAACCTGTACTGCCTTTGCCAGTTGCACTTAACTGACACCTTTCAACTTCTATACAGTGGTACCTCGGTCTACGAACAGCCTAGTTCACGAACTATTTGGAACACAAACACTTCAAAACCGGAAGAAGGTGTTCTGGTTAGCGAACTTTTTTTGGAATCCGAACGTACTCCGTTCAGGGGTGCACTTCCATTTTGAGTGCCACACTTGCATAGGAAAAGCACGCCTTGGTTTAAGAGCACTTTGGTTTAAGAATGGACTTCCGGAACGGATTGAGTTCGTAAACCGAGGTACCACTGTATTAGAAATGACAGGACAAATAAAAGATAGTGGGTGTGATCCAGCAGAACTTAAGCACGTTCTGGTCCCACAAAAACAATTAGATTTAAAGGTGCCTAACTGTGCTTGGACTGTGGTCAGCAATGACCTAGGTGGCTAATAATACATCACTAAACTTTAATGCCTGTGCAGCTTTACTCAGATGAGTTATAGAAGTACAGTCTGGCAGAAGCAAGATGTTTGTCCTTCAAAGGGCTTTTTGTCCTTATGGCTGGACTGTGCATTTTGCAGTCTTAAGTGCATCATCTATCTCATCTCAGACACCGACCATAATATGGTGTTGCTGAGTTCCTTTGGGCTGTGTGCTGGAGGTCAGCTGTATGTGAGAGTATGTAATCTCTTAGAACAATCATTTGGATATTTCACTTTCACCTACAATTCTCACACTACAGTGGTACCTCAGGTTAAGAACTTAATTTGTTCTGGAGGTCCATTCTTAACCTGAAACCTGAGGTTCTTAACCTGAGGTACCACTTTAGCTAAGGGGAGCTCCCACCGCCGCCGCGCAATTTCTGTTCTCATCCTGAAGCAAAGTTTTTAACCCGAGGTATTATTTCTGGGTTAGCGGAGTCTGTAACCTGAAGTGTCTGAAACCCAAGGTACCAGTGTATGGGGAAGGATGTAACCCACAAAAATACATCTGCAAAATCAAATGTGGGAGGTGCAGCTTGGCTCTGCCTCTCCAAGGTATAGAGCATAATAGAAGGCTGCCCCACGGAACAACCTTCCTTTCCTCCACCAGACAACTGTTGTGCATGCTATGTTGTGACCAGGCCCTTTATTCCAAGGCCCTCCCGGACCTCTCCAGGTACCTCCTGCAGTTGGTTGCTTCCTCAGGCCCTCTGCTTGTAGTCTTCTTTGAGAAAAGCAAATACCTTCACACATCCTATTCAGACACATCAGATGGGGCTATGTTGGTAGCATGTTAAATATAAAGCCTAAGAAACTCCTTTGCACGCTTTGCAAGTATTCATGAAACTACAAGGCAAACTCTTCGGGTAATCGTCAGCAGACTAAAGAGATGTATAGGATTCAAAACAGACCGAAGTTCCTCCAGTTAAAACAACCAGCCCTTGCATGAGTTAGACTAAGGTAATTAATCCCTGTACTAAATTATTTCTCAGATCCTGCAATTGCAGGGCGGGGGTGAGCCAGGTGTATAAGGCCAGTGAGTGCCCACAGAACCAAGAGTGCAGAGGTGGCTCCTTTGGAAGCAGTCTACACACACAGTCACTGACCAGTGTTGTCTAAGTGTAAATTTCCTCCAAGCCTTGACTGCTCTGTTTGAGCCGGTCACCAGTATGAAGCAAAAACCCTTCCAGTAGCTGTAGCCCCATCAGTAAATTATTTGGGGCAAAGTACCACACATCCCTGCTTTGTTCTAGTTGTGGGTGCCTCCAAGGAAGAGGGGAGAAAACACAAATGTCTATGGTGAGGCAAAATATTCCGAACTGTAGTTGGGCACAACCGAAGCACAATACTGTTCTATTTATGTCCAAAGTCCCTGTAAGTGCAGATTGCAGGTGCATGTTAATTTCAAAATGTACGCTAAAAGTGTACAGTGTGCAGTAACTGATTTCAGTTTTAGTTTTCAAAATCGTCCAACTTCATCTGGAACCCTTGCCTAATAGCATGAGACTCTTAATCTCAGGGTTGTGAATTCGAGCCTCATGTGGGGCAAAAGATTCCTGCATTGCAGGGATTGGACTAGTCGACCCTCGCAGTGCCTTCCAACTCTAATCTATGATTCTTTGTAGCTACCACTGTTTAAGATGGGTTTAGGGAACCTCCTATGTCTGGCAAACCTAATCTCACTTGCTCTACCCCTTCCCAAACACCTGTCCCTTTCCACAGGGAAGAAGTCTCTTTCTGAGGAAACTGTGTGCAAAACTTCACACTTCTGGTAGCTGAAATCTTTCTTCTTCTCTCCAACCATAATTTTTAGTGATATGCTTTATAACCATTTGCTCCACTAGCTCCATTCTGTCATAACTCTATACTGCCTTCAGTGTATATAGAGTGCAGTCATTTCCCCTCCTGCCCCCACCAAACAATCAAAGGCATGTTTAATGCATTTTCCTCCCTTGAAACTCTATAGTAGAATCTCTGAAGTCTACGTGATGGTCATGGGGAGTCAAAATGGTGTCTCCTCGTCTCTCTTCTGTATGACTGACAACCCATTCCTAACCCTGTTTTCTGGGATGAGTGGATTTTCTTTCTGAGCAGGGCAGCTGGCGGTCTTGTGCAATTCCAAGTTAGATGAATCCAGTGCTAACTACTCTCTGAAGATTGTTCCCATAAGGTGGGAGGTGCTAATGCACTCTCTTCAATGAGTGATGTGGCCACGGTACATCTTAGAGGTTTTGTCCCAGGGATTTGCACAGTGGCCTATTTTCGATGTTGGATTGCCTGTACTTGACAAGTACCCGTGCTCATATTGATTAACATTCTGCAATGTGAGCACGAGTTGCCAGCTAAAAAAACCGGCTGCTTTTGCCACTGTTTCCATTCACTGCTAAGATTGCACCTTGAGACGCTCAAACATGTATTGTCCTATTCTTTTGCATTGCTCTCAGGTAGGCAAGGTGTGCATTGCCATTATGGATGAGTCATCTATAGTCTCCTGAGATTAGCAATTCCTGGGGAGAATAGGCTCCCCCCCCCCCACCTCCCTAAAGCCTTGTGTTGAGAATCACCTACAGTTGCTTTTGGGCACTGACATGGTGCTCCGTCTTGTAGCTGCTTTGAAGAGCTATTGAATCTTAACTGAAATCTTTGTGACACTTCCAGAAAACCAAAGAATTGTTTTCTTTGAAGGGTGAAAGTCATCGTCTTTGTATTTTAAGGCAATTGAATTGGAGTTCATTTGCCTTTTTGAAAGAAAGAAAGAAAGAAAGAAAGAACAATACTAACACAGGCTAGTCAAGAACAGGTTTTCTGCACTTCAATTCCATAGATGTTAGGAGGAGGTGTCTGCTTCAGTTGATCTGTTTTTCAGTCCAGATATCAGGGTGCTGTGATAATGAAAGGAGCAAATTATGTGCTAGGGATAATTGGGAAGGGGGTTGAAAATAGACTGGCCAAGGTCATAATTCCTTCATATAAAGTTTGGTGTGGCTGCATTAGGAACCCTGATTGTGCCCCATCTCAGAAAGGATACAGTAGAGCTGAGAAAAGGGCAGAAAAACAACAACCAAATTGATCAAGGTATTGGGAGCATCGTTCTAATATAAAAAAGCTGAAGCATCTGCAAAACACTCTTTAGTCATTTTTCTCCCTAAAGAACGAAAGAGGGGTGTGATAGAGTTTTACAAAAACCTATGAACAGAGAGCAGTCCCCGCCTCCCCTCTCATAGCTCTAGGTCACCTAAGGAGATGATTGGCATTATTATACTTGGGGCAGACAAAAGCATACTCCTTCACACAACACAAAAACTTAATTTGCAGGATTTGCTTCCCTGAGATGTAGTGATGGCTTGGAAAGGCAAATCTGTGGAGGGTAGATCCATCAGCAGCTATTTAACCATGAGGTATCATAGAATCCTAGAGCTGGAAGGGACCACAAGGGCCATCTATTCTAGTCCAACCCCCTGCAATGCAGGAATCTTGCCCAATGTGGGGCTCAAACTCATAATCCTGAGATTAAGGTTTTCATGCTGTACTGACTGAGCTAAATCTATGTGATGGTTAATGGAATGGAATTTCTAGGCAATATTTATTTGCTATATTTGTAGAATGCCTTTTGTCCCTAACAGCTAGCAAGGCCATTTACGAGAAAAACAAAGGCGAGGGGCTTGCTCAATTTGTACAACACACCCTGATTCAAATTCTGCATTCCAGTGTCTCTGTTTAACGTGGCTGCAGTAGCATAGGAAAGTGCCTTATAAAGAATTAGGCCTGTGGTCAATTCTGCTCAGTAGTGTCCGGGAAAAGTGGTCATCCAGTTGCTGCTGGACTCCGCAACTCCCATCATCCCTGACCCAGCTGTGGTGGCTGGCGCTAATGGGATCCAGAGCCCAAGAACATCTGAAGGGCCATAGATTCCTTCTCTCTGGTGTAATTGCCTGGCAGTGGCTTTCCACGGTTTCAGGCAGGAGATTTCCCCAGCGTTCCCTGGAGATGCTATCAGGCAGAGTTTTTGTGAAGTCTTGCAGGCGGTTGTTTAATTGTCACTCCTCACCCCCTTTTTTCTATTAATGATAACAAAACCAAAAACCATTTTCTATCTCAGTACTCCATGAGTCCAAACCCAGGTTGGCTTGAATCCTTGGTCCAAAAAGAAATGGTTGTTGTTTCCAGTGGCACCGTTAGATGGACATAGGGAGGCATAAAAAACGTAACGGGACCCCTGACCGTTAAGTCCAGTTGCAGACGACTCTGGGGTTGCGGTGCTCATCCCACTTTCCAGGCCGAGGGAGCTGGTGTTTTGTCTGCAGACAGTTTTTCCGGGTCATGTGGCCAGCATGATTAAGCCACTTCTGGTGAACCAGAGCAGCGCACAGAAACAGAGTTTACCTTTCTGCTGGAGCGGTACCTATTCATCTACTTGCACTTTGACGTGCTTTCAAACTGCTAGGTTGGCAGGAGCTCACCCCGTTGTGGGGATTTGAACCGCCGACTTTCCGATCATCAAGCCCAAGAGGCTGAATGGTTTAGACCACAGCGCCACCCGCATAGACAAAATTATCTTCCCCTTCTATTTACAGATGGCTCAGAGCGATTCCTATGTGAATCCGTTTTCAGCTACCAGGTTGCATCCACATTAAAGCAAGTGAAACATGGTAAGTACTCTCCAGCTTATATAAGAATTGTCAATGGATATATCTATAGTAAAAGTTCCATAATCATAGAATTGTAGAGTTAGAAGGGACCCTATTTGCAAGTGGTTTTTTTTTAAAAAAAATCTTAATCTAGTTGATCTCTTGTGAACCTGTTGACACAATGTTATCTCATATAATAGAATTGCAAAAGCAATATTTATTTATGCAGTCTAGTTCTTGAAACCTCTATTACTTAGTCCTGCATTGTATGCATAAGAGGAGTAGTATGAATGCTGCATTCATACTAGGTAGTCTTGTGAGATGCAATTCTGCTGTTAAAAGCACACTCTCTGCCCCACGGGTCAGTTGGTTTGAATACGACCTCCTCTGCTCCTTCCTGGCTCACATGGTATATTGGAGATCAGTTGGTATTTCTGAAGTGCCATCAAGATGCAAGAGATCTCTACTGGATACATATATATATTTTTTTGTACTGCAGTTCTGTGAAAAATGTTCAAAGTGTTATCTGGTTAGATTAACTTTTTGTGTACGAAACTAGATAATGTACTGTTCCAGCCATATTCTGTGGCCCGGCAGATTGGACAAGAATCCTTCAGTTGCAATAATCAATCCAAGTGGACTAAAAGTTAGATGACTGTTCAGAAGTCACATTCCCTTTCAGATCTTCATGTTTACTGTGCAGAAGCAGTTCTACTGGTGTCTTTTTCCGGGGAGTAGATTCTGGTTATATAAAAAACCCTTCTTTACATTTACTGAAAGCTATTGTAATTGTAATCTGTAGCTCAGTAGTGTAAAAGGGTTTTCCTCTTTGAAGACATTAAGAGTTTTCCTGCACCCCCTGGGGAATTGAGTCTCCCACAACTAAAGGAAAGGGGGCTTATTCACACTTACCTTTCATCCTGCTTTTTCTAGGCACAGGTGAATGTACATCTAGAATACATATATAAATAAAAACAAAACTTAAATTTTGTTGCAGATTGAAACCAACTTGCTGAAGCGGGGGGGAGACCTTTTCTGTAACCAATGAAAGAATTGTCTGCCGCAAGAGACTATTCATGGCTGTTAATGTGTTTCATTTGAAAAGCTTAATTGAAAGTTTATTGCTAACCACAGTCAAATTTTCTGTTGCAGATCAGCAAGTTGCTCGGATGGAAAAACTTGCTGGTTTAGTTGAAGAGCTGGAGGCAGACGAATGGCGGTACAAACCCATAGAACAGTTGCTGGGGTTCACTCCTTCATCGGGTTGAAAGTTTGCTGGTGTGGAAAGATAAATCACTTGCACGGTTCCCTTTTAAAACACTTGGCTGTTTTCCATTGCTTGGACTGCAGTGTAGTAAAGAACGGTCCATAACTGGGCTGCCTCTTACCAGAGCCAGTAAACTGCAGACACACAAGGTTTTATTAAAGAAAAAAATTTATTCGGTTTTCCAGCAGCCTCACTCAAGAGCTTGTTTCAGGAGGGTGTGATTGCTGTAACTAAGGAGATACAATCAGTTTTTGAAGAAGAACCTGTTTGCTCAAAAGGGAAGGGGTGGCTATTTAAACTTACAACCCTTTATGCTGACCTTGGAGCATGTGTGCTGAAAGTTGGCTGGGTAATTGGACCCTTGTTACTGTTCAAGTTAAACTCCTGGAGGGCAGAGTCAAAAGGCAACAGGCTTTGGCCTTAAGCTGTCCCTTTGAAGATGGATGTGATAAAACAATAGGATAGGATCACTTGAAGGGCAGAAGAACATTAACTGTTTCCTGTATTTAGATTCCTTGGTTTTTGCTGAGTCTGCGTTTTGTCAGCTGTTTCTCTCTCTTAACTGACTGTGGAAATATTGGCAGAAGATGACTGCTGTTAAATGCAGAGCAAGCCTCTGAAAAGCAGCGTTGGCTGTCCTTTCCTTTGTTCCAATTCACTTGAACCGTCTGTTTGGCAATTAAATTATTTCTACTGCTATGGTGTCTGCTCCTGTATTCTTTTCAAGGGCTCTGGAGTCGGGAAAACGGGAATCAACTGGTGCCAACACAAGCTTCTATAAAGTAGCTGCCCATATTTAAATCTTTTTTAAAAATCTACTCCATAAGGATGATTATGAGTCAAGTGGATGAGTTCTCCTGCCAAAGCACCATAGCGGCATCTCATCTTAAGCACTTACTTGCTTGTAGAAGACATTTTACGGTTGGGCTTTGTGTATCCTGGTTTCTATCAACTTTTAAGGACAGAGTCATATATTACATTCAGGAATGTTTTTGTGTATTTTAGCAGTGCTCCACCTACACGGGCAGTGTAGTGTGGGAGGCAGGAACTGCTGTAATACTGCAGCCACAACTTTGCAAGCAGTGGGTGCTCAAAACCAAAAAGTTGCTGCTGCAATTTTGCACCAGATTTTATCACGAGTCTGCTGTGGCTTTAATACAATCAGAATAAGATTGGTAAGAAAAACACAGCTCCTGTACAACTTCTGTGCAGCCTTAAAGGGTACTAAAACATTTCAGTTTATCTTCTTTGTTTTTAGCTCTCATGAAGAGTTGGAATGTTTTGAAACGTATATAGAAGTTCAAGTCCATCAAATTTGTCAACTCTCAGCCTAAGCCTAACCTAAGTTACCTAGATTTCTGTGGAGCTTTCTTTTAAGTAAATTATGCTGAGGCTCAGCAAACAGCGCTTTCTCGCCTTTTGTGCTCTGTATGGACAGTTGCTATGTACCAGGGCTTACGTGGAATGTACCATTTGCAAGGAATCCAGGTCCTCGCATCATCTTCTGATACTGGGATAGCTGCAGGAGTGAAGAAGTCCTTAAGGTCTCTGGAAGACAGTCCTGCACTCCTTTTTTATTGTAACATTCCAGCATTATGCAAGTTTATGCATGCCCTGTTGCTTTCAGGTTGAGGAGAAATTCCAGATCTTGAGTGACAAAGAATAATAGCCTTGCTGCTGGGACAGGCCAAAGGCCCATCTAGTCCAACATCTTGTTCTCATGATAGCCAACCAGATGTCCATAGAAGCCTGCAAGCAGGACCTCAGCTCAACTGACAGACAATAGGACACACAGGCATGATCTTTAACCAACTTGAAATGCTGAAGAGCATCTCTAGCTACAACTGCAGACTGTCCATTAAGACTGGACTTCCAGTTCATGTGTTTAATTTTTGTTACAGATTATTCAAATTCGTCATAGTTTGAGGGTCATAATTTTGCATTACAAATACTATGGAGTTGATGTAGCATGCTAGCTTACTGCTGCTCCACATCTGCATTCATAAAAAAAATGGTAAGCAAAGGATATTAAATTGCAAACAGCTGAAATATCTAACAAGTTGACAACTAGTGAATCATTTCCATCTTCTCATGACTGATCAAGCTGCCCTTTTCTCTCTCCATTGTTAACTGTCCAGAAATGTGTCACATGCAATGGCTATACGGAAAAGTCTCGTATCCTTTACACAAAGCCACATCTCAAATTATTTCATAGAAAGTGGGTGATCATTTGAAGAAGAAGAAGAAGAAGAAGAGTTTGGATTTGATATCCCGCCTTTCACTCCCTTTAAGGAGTCTCAAAGCGGCTAACATTCTCCTTTCCCTTCCTCCCCCACAACAAACACTCTGTGAGGTGAGTGGGGCTGAGAGACTTCAAAGAAGTGTGACTGGCCCAAGGTCACCCAGCAGCTGCATGTGGAGGAGTGGAGACGCGAACCTGGTTCCCCAGATTAGGAGACTACCGCTCTTAACCACTACACCACACTGGCTTTGAGGCAAAGCATTCTTAATCCAAGGTTTAGTCTGACTAGAACTTCTCAACTGCACAATACATCATTCTTTTAAGCATGCACATACTGAAATTTGTTAGCAATCTGCATTCCACAATTTTTATTGCAGAGCAGATTATATAGCAAACTTGTTATTAAGCAGGGGGAAAGTTTTGTGAATTATCTATCCCATTCTGCATCGGCTGAAGTTTCTGAACTGTCTTCAGAGGCAGCCTTATGTATAATGTGTTGCAGCAGCAATCTAACCTGGAGGTTACCAGAGCACAGACAACAGTAGTTAGGCTGTCCTTATCCAAATAGGGGCACAGTTTGGCCATAAAATAATTTTTTTACCCATGTTGGTTTTCTAAAAAGAAAACTGCAACATCTTCATTAACATTTTGACCCTTTTAAAAAAAGAAAAAAGAGGTGGTGGTGGTTCTTGACTTGTTTTCATTCTGAGAAACGGAGGGAAGGGGAAGATTATTGCGAAGTAAGTTTGATCAATGCTTTCCATTTAACGTTTGGATCTTTGACCCATCCCAATCCTCGTGGTGGAGGTCACCATGTCGAGTGCATCGTCCTTTCTTAGAAGTGGGAGGATTGTGGAACGCCAAACATGCCGTAAAAATAGTTTGCAAGCAGAGAGAATACAACAAAAGGCCTTGTGCAGTGATGTTCTCAGGGTTTCCAGGAGCTGCCAGAGGAACATTTTGTACTGACTCAAGCCTTTTCTGCAGCTCTTCCCTCCCAAAGTGCTACAATCTGTACATGAACTCTAATTATGTACAAACAAATCTCCAGCCAACATCTCCAGATTCAGACAGCAGAAGGGAGGCTTCTTAAATAACTTGGAGCAAACGGCACAGCAAATATTACCGATCCGAGCCAAAAGGAAGCCGTACAGCAAGCCAGTACTTCTGACCTGGCTTGCTGCGCTGTTGTGTGTGCTTGCAGAGCTGAAACTAGCACATTTTCTGACATGTTCCCCATCATGTGGCTTCAGTCACGCATCTATGTCTTGTTGTGCTGGACTCCTGCATCCTGGAACGGGGCCACTTGCTCCATTGTCCGTGCTAAAGGAGCAGCACACCCTTCTGAACAGCTTTGTTTTGTTTCTCCTTGAAGGGCACCGGTAACCCATGAGCAGATCAACTGATGAAGTGATGGGGATAGCTTCACCTGCTAAATTCGTGCTTGCCGTGTGGTGGTTAACAGCAACATTAATGGAAGGGGGATAATAGACAAGATGCTTCCACCAATACTTCTGAATAGCAGTTGGTGGAAGCCACTGGAGTGGAGAGTGCTCTTGTTTGCCGGTTTCCCCATAGGCTGGCCACTCTTGAGAACAGGATGCTGGCCTGGATGGGCCTGATCCAGCAGGCTTTTCTTATATAGGCAGCTTTGGCTCCTACAATAGGTCCTTGCATTAAAGTGGCAGGGTGGGGACACCCTCCACATCACGAAATGGTTTGATCATGAAGCTGCAATAGAAGACCCCAATTTGATGTTCTATGTCTTTACCAACTGTCTATTGTTCAGGAATTGGAGAGATGAAACATGAAGGGTGCGATGAGAGGAAAGCCTTCAGCCGCTTAATTTCTGCATGTCACACATGTTCACAAATGCATACCAATGGGACTGGTGGGGAGGGGAGTTGGTTATTGTTGCCTATATAGGTTATCAATTAGTAAACAGACCTAAGGAAGATTACACCAGGTGATCGCATATTCCCTTTCAGCCCTAGGTGTCTTTGTTTCGGTTTTTTTAATTTCTCAGTACTCGGTGTCCTGGAACGATTCCTGGAGTTTGTTTAAGGAGTACTCAGACAATTCTCTTATTTTGAAAACGCATTTATAGGAGGCAGCATGGAACAAAGCACTTGTTAGAACATTTTTGTAATGACAGCAAACATCAGTCAGAGAGCGAAACGATTTCCTATGCCAGTGTCAACAGAGAGTTGCACTCTGCATATGGTTTATTCTCATCTGCTATTAAGCATCATCAGACTCTGCAACTGCCTGAGGATACGGGTAGCATCTCGTTGGGAATGGCCATCCCCAATGAATACAGTGGTACCTTGGGTTAAGAACTTAATTTGTTCTGGAGGTCTGTTCTTAACCTGAAACTGTTCTTAACCTGAAGCACCACTTTAGCTAATGGGGCCTCCCGCTGCCGCTGCGCCGCTACTGCACGATTTCTGTTCTCATCCTGAAGCAAAGTTCTTAACCCAAGTTCTTATTTCTGGGTTAGCGGAGTCTGTAACCTGAAGCGTATATAACCTGAAGCGTATGTAACCTGAGGTACCACAGTATAGGACAACAATGCAACTTGCAATCTGACATCCTCCGAGAAGATAAGGAGAAATAACTTGGCTTTGATCCATCTGTGAAGACATAGCTATCATTTCAAAGTCTGTTCGCAGGCTATCTGATCAATCTGTGAGGATATATCATTTCAAAGTCCATTCACAAGCTGTCTGATCATCTTCTCTTGAATGCATTGTTGTTGACATCCATCTGTCTCTTAGTCCTTATAGTGGGCCGTGCCACTGGTCCACCTAGTCTGCTATTGTATGGTATATTCTGATTGCCAAAGGCTCTTCAAGATCTGCCCTCTATCTGGAGGTGCCTGAGGTTGAACCTTGAGTGTTATGTAAGCACAGAACATGCCACTCGCTGGGCTGTGGAGATTTCCATTGCACTGCGCTGGAATAAGGAAATTGGATGTTTGCTTAACTTCATAACTGAATCCCATAATGCTTTCTGAATCTTCAGCACAGTTGTTAATTTCCAGGAAGTGACATGCCCTGGACATTAAATATAACCTATCATTAACGCTCTCTGGTCCAAGCAGAAAATTTCCACCGGGGGTGTTGGGCAGGGAGAGAGAATTCCACACTCACTCTAATGTTTCTTTTTACTATTTCTGCATCAACACAGTAAGAGAACTGAACACAGAAATGATACTCATAGGAAAATAACTGATCCTGTTGCTTCATGAGTTTCTCCGGCAGCTGGCATTGCTCATACTCTAAACACAAGGCCCTGATTTAGCTAAATCTATTGTGAAGTAACCTGAAGTCTTAACATCCATTAGGAAATCCAGGGGGATGTCTGTGCTGTGACACATTGTGATGTAGGCATTGCCTTGCTTGTGGAATTTTTATGCCTTTAGCTGTTTGTCCTTCCCTATTTTTCCTTACTTGCCTTATTAGTAACTGATACTTGATATGCCAGAGTTTGTCCCCTGATTTCTCTGAGGGAAGATGGACAGGTGTAAGTCTCACTGGCTGCATTTAAACATCAAACTGAACCAGCATTTAGCTTTCCCTGAATCTTGCACTTCTGGACCAAGGATGATGCTAAGTCTTCTTGGGAGGAAGAGCAGGTTATAAAATTAATAGAAAGCAAATACCAAACACTGGTTGGTTTAACAAATCAGCTTCAGCAACCATGGTTTGACTGGAGCTTGTTATAAATGCCGATCCTTGGTATGGATGACACAGCGAGCCAAGATTCAGGGAAAGCAAAACTAAATGCTTCCATTTGCATACCCTCCAACATTTTCCTGATGAAAATAGGGACGTCCCATTCCATAATGATAATTGTGCTGTTTATACCCCCACACATCTTCTTGGGTTGCCCTAACACTCTGGGCAGCTTCCAACACATATATAAAACACAATAAAACATTAAAAATTAACAAAACTTCCTTATACAGGATTGCCTTCAGACTGCTTGGGGTTGGCTAACTCCATACCCTTCAGCGTTTCTCAAATGAATCTAGGGACATCCTAAGGAAAAGCAGGACATTCTGGGATCAAAACAGAAACCAAGATGGCTTCTCTAAATCAGGGACATCCTAAGGAAAATAGGGATACTTGAAGGGTCTGCATTTGGGATGTGCAGGAGAGGGGAGGTGGACATGTGCATAGCGTGCTTGGACTTACTCTAGCGCATGCATGCCACACTGATTAAACCAAAAATAGGGAATCCCAGCTGAGTGCGACCCTCCTTTTCAGCTTCACTTTCTCCTCTTCAATTGCTGTGATGGCTACAGAGAGACTTTTCTTTCTCCCAGCCTGTGTGTGTGTGCATATATACCATATATATATATATATATATATATATATATATATATATATATACACACACACACACACACACACACACACACACACACACAGACACAAATACTAGGGGCTACCTACTCTTTTGCCAATTGCCCTTTCCCCACATCTGACCACCCCGTTTTACACCTCACCCATCCCCTCATTTATTCCCCCCCCCCAGCTTGCCCCAAGCCCCTTCCCCTCGCATCCTCTCCTTTAAAGGAAAGGTAGGCATTTCAAAGAACAGTTTGTTAAACCGCTGTGTGAAGCACCTCCATTAAACCTCAGTGCAGCTATGTTTAATGGAGGGGGGAGGCACTTGACACAATAGCTTTCTAAACTGTCCCCTTCCATTAAACATCTGCTCTGGGATGCCTGCTGCCTGCACTGCTTCCCCACTCACCTGGCTGCCATTTCTCACATTGCAGTTGGCATGGCCGACTATCAGCAGCCAAGCCAACTACAGCGTGATGACAGCCTTACATTTTTATGTCTATAGAAAGATAAGATAGATAAGGTGCTTATCTGTCTTAGCAGGCACTTTATATTGTTGATTATGTAATGCATGTAGTCTTGAAATAAACCACACAGAAAAAGGACACGTGTTTTTAAGTGCTTGTCTCGCCCACTCTTTATATTTTTAAATGTGCACCTTAAAAAACAACAACAACCTCTTAGGTATACAAACAGACAACCCCCCCCCCCCTGCTTATCTGGTGCTGAACAGTAGCTCTAAAATCTGCCAAAAGCAGGTCTGAAAGGGAAACAGCCTCAGCAGCTTTGTGGGTTTCCTTTCAGCTGCTCTCTTAAGTTGTGAAAAAGGTTCTTAAGGAGTTCTTAGTCTCCCACATAAGCCACCAGTGGGAGGGTTTTGATTGCCTTGGAACAAGAGCAAAACCAGAGGCCCCTTGTTTGTTGCTGCTACTTTGGAACTGGTTGTACTAGAAGCAAAGGAAGTGAAAGAGCAGCTCCCTGAAATGGGCTCTTCACTAAGAGGGTCTTAATGTTGTCGCTTGCCACTGGTCACCACAGCGCAGGAAACTTCCACGCTTTTAGAGCGTCTGGGCAGACTGGCTGAGATTCTGCTACATGCAGAGGGAGAGACTGAGCCAGCCAGCTTGATGGGCTTCATACCAGGAAGCAGAATAAATGAAAAACACGCATTGGGGCGGGGGCAGAGTTGCCCAAAACATATCACTTTGTACTTGCTTACATTGAACTGGATTTCTCATTTTATTGTCCATTCATCCCATTCGGAAATTCTTTTGGGGATTTTTTTTTTCCTACCTTGGTGTTTGTCAGCAAACCTGGACATTTCAGTGCTCCCCTCTAACTCCAGATCACTTGTGGGCAAGTAAAAAACCAATAGTCCCAATGAGCAGTGTGGATGAGCAGGAGTTTGAGCCTACCTGCTCACTATCCCACCGATCATCTGGCAAATAGCCCCATGACAGAAAGCCTAATAACAAAATCCTGCAACAGCCTATTTTAGTACCTGGGAAAATAGTAATTCTATGCACACAATTAGCAACTTAAAATGCTGCAAGATTGTCCCCCCCCCCCATTATGTTTCAAGTTGCATTTTAACGTTGCTGTACAAACCAGAGGGAGGTGGGGTAGGAATGTCTTCCCTCATTACCTGATGTATTTCCCCATGCTGGCAACCCCCTTCAACTTCTATTCAAAGATGATGGCATCTAAGCACATGCTGTCATCTGGTCATACGCAAAAAAGGCTGTCAGAACTGTCCACACTTCAGCTTAACTGGCTTGTGTTTTCATATTGGATGGAAGCTGGTTTGAGGGTGTATTAGGAGTATCTCTTGAGAGTCTACTTTGCACTTCAGTTACAACAGGATGCAGATGGATTGTGGCTAACATCATGTGTGCCCGGCTTCAAAAACCAGCGGTGGGAGTCTGATGGATCCAGAGTAGACGCTATTGTGTACGTACTGTAGCATTCAGCTCTTAAACTCTTGTTATGGCAAGGTGAGGATCACTAATCTGGTTTTCTTGTTCTTCATAGGTGATCACAGCACTGAAAGTAAAATATTGCAGCCACACTGTGGGAGGTGTCATTGAAACATTTCCAAATTGCATGCATCCTCTGTGCCCATCCTGAAGCACAGAGGATGCATCCATCCACTGCTCTGCTGAAAAGGCAAGACGCTTTTCAGTTTTAAAAGCAAGTTGCCTCTGCAGCAACCTTTCCTCCCTCTTATTTTTAACTCCTCTGGCTTTTCAGGATCCTCTTTATTATTTTCATTTGGGGTCCCCAGCCAGGATAAGAATCACAGATCCACTCTGAAGCAAGAGGAGGGGACAGCCAATCCCTGTCCAACCTAATCGGAGCACAATCCTGCACAAAATGCACCCCACAGAGCCAGAGGCAGCCCATCGGTCATGCGGTCTGCCAGAGGCTGCACGACCCCTTTGTTTGTACAGTTCCAGGCAGGAGATTTATCAAGCCCCCTCCTGGTGTGCCTGCCTTGCAGAGTTGTGGGCTGTGTTGGGTGTGATGGATTGCAGGTTGTACAGGCCTGATCTAATCTGATGGCATCTCTCATCCCGGCTTTGCAAGTGCACAGAGGGAGCTGACAGTGCAGAGTAGCTCTTTCCCAACCCGGTGACCTCAAGATGTGCCGGCCCACAATTCCCAGCCCTGCTGGCTGGGAAAGGCGGCTGCTGCAGAGGATGTTTAGAACTCCTTCCCCGTCTCTAATCTCCTCCATTTCCCAGTTTGTCCTCCGTTCTCTGGGAGGCGATACATGATCCAGCACCCTCACGCTCCAGCAATGCGACGGCCCAGACGATGAGATGGCCCGCATAAGTGCAGCTACACACCACCAACAACAAAAAAGGCCCCCAATTTAGACAACACCGGGAATAGCGTAGAAACGAATCCAGCAGAGAAATGCCCTTTGCCCTTCGTGCTTGGATGTCTGGATGCTGTTTTATGAAGCTAGCCGACCGGGTGCATGAAGAATTAGCATTCATGGAGACCGGTTTGGCAGCTAGAAGGGGAGGCGAGGGGGGGGCAGGGAAACGGAGACCATCTCTGTCTAGACCAGCTACTTCTGGCAAGAAGCCCAGCTTTAGATTTCCTCTCAATCCCTTGAGCTATTGAGGATTGCTCTGGAGTCAGGAAGCAAAATCCAAACACGAGAAGAATCTCCCTTGGACCTCCTTATTTTGGCATGCACAGAAGGTACAGCCATCTTTATGTCCCCTAAAAACTGGTTGTGGCCCTTGGGTGCCCAAAGAAGTGGTGAAACAATTTCTGCCTCCCATGTGGCCCTGCTATGCATGGACTCTGACCTGAGATACAGGCTCAGTTCGGGGCTTACTGGTCTTATGCACAGCATCCTCGTTATAGATGGCAATGTGCATGACTTTGTATTCCTTCAAAGTGTGGCAGACCAGCCCTGTCGCATTGGGGAGCCCTCCCACTCGTTCTGCTGAGTGGGGCCTCAGACATTGGCTCCAGTGTCCTTTACCGATGGTACCAGTCAGACAAGACATATTCTCCCAGGCATATGGGCATATTTAATTCTATTAATGATGCAGGAACGCAATCTGGGCTTTAGGGTGTGTTTGTATAATGGTTTATTGTATTGATTTTGTTCATTATCATGCTTTTATTATGCTGTATTAGAATCATTACACTATATATGGTTGTGGGGGTTGATTTGGACGATTTCTTCGGGTCACCTGCAGGGAGGTTTTGTATCTGGAAGGTTAGAGTCTGTAACAGAAGGACCTGCTCTTGTTAAGCATTCTCTTTACATGTCTAAAGAGTTGGTCAACTACAAGGGTGTTGTCATAGAAGCAACGAGCTTGTGAAGCCTTTGGAATGTACCATTTGTACAGGAGGCTAGTCTCTACACACACTCGCACATCCCTCTCTAGCATCCACCCAGACCAGCAAAAGACATAATCAGAGTTCAAGAACATACTCCAGCCAGGCAAGAATATTTGAGGGTGCAAAGCCCCCCAGCCATAGGTGACATGTCTGCACTACCAAGCTCAGCTGCTTGGCACCCCCAAGCCTGGCCTCCTCTCGGCCTAATGCTTCAGGCAGTTACCTGGGTTGTCTGCCCCTAAACCTAGCCCATCTGCAATCCATGTGTATTTTCTCATCAGTGAACCCTACACAAATCTGGAGTCCCTGAGATGGTCGGATGGCGCCTTGTAGGCCTCCTTCCAGCGACTCCTGCAGCCAAGCTGGTGACAAACGTGTTGCTCTGCTTTCCTTTGGACCACCTCAGCAAGGCCAAGAGGGGATATCGTTGTCTGGGCAGCCCTGGACCTCCGTACACGCTGTCCAGGCTTGTTCCCCAGAGAGGTCACTTTGGTGCTGCTAACACAGCAAAAGCAATGCAGGGGAGGTAGCAGTTATGAGCTACCCGTCTCTGCAGCCACAGCAGGAGCTGTTAACATTCAGCAGTTCGACTTCACCCTGAGTGGTTCACTCCATTGTCTCTCAAGGCAGACAACAACAAACTCCCTTCCCTCTTGTCCCTCCTACTGTTGATCTGTAGTTCCTTGGGGCGGAGACTTGCCTTTTTATTCACATTACTCCACAGTGCAACATGAATACTTAGGAGGAGGAGGACACTGTTGTCTCCTTGCTATCTGTCCCTCCCCCCCCCCCAAAAAAAATCCCACCTCAGTGGCTCTTTCTGAAAAATGTGAGAATGCTACATGGAGGCATAAAGGAAGCTTTGCCCTCCTGTTGCTGTTGGACTTTGGCTCCCAGCCTCCCTGGGATGCCTGGGATTTATGGGTACCAGAGTTTAACAACATCTGGAGGGCCACAGGTTCCCTTCCTGGCACACAGGAAGAACTTGATAAACGCAGGCAGGAAGGCTTTTTCAGTCATCCTTTAAGTGCATCCCTTCAGCCCTCAGGGAGTTCCCAGGACTGTCCCATCTTCTGCACTTCTGTATAGCTGCTCCTGCTTCCTTCTTTTGCTGTGCAATTTGAGCAGACCCCCTAATCCCCTCCCTCAGGTGAGCAAAAATCACTGAGCTCAGCACATGCCTGCCTTGGAGCTGGGGGG